AGAAAGTAAAAACTTTATGAATAGATCCTACTAATTTTGATCAGTGATTTTTTAAAAAAAAATACTGGAATTCTTGTAGAAAATGTTTTTAAACTGTGTAAGCCCTAATATTTCTAGGAATAAATAAAATAAAATTGCATAAAATTGCAACTTTCTTTTTTTTTAACTCGGTCATAAAATCAGCCACATACAGAGGTGGATTTAAACTGAAGGTGCTAAGAGCTGTATCTGAATTGTAGTCCACAAGGTGGAAAATAAAGGCACCGGAAAAGAAAACTGAATTAGAAAAAAAAATAAACAGAAAAGTTCAGTAAAAGGACCAATGCTTTTATAGCTTTTTGTGAATAATAACTGCATTATCCAAATGGTTCCCCCTTTTTTACAATCATCAATGCAATAAGATAAGGGACTCAATAGCAATACTATGTAGAAGTTGATTGCTTGAAAGTTTGTGGATATCTATTTTTACATTCCCAGGGAATAATTCACATGGGAATAATACTGTTTTTGTTTTTTCAGATGCAGACTACCTTGATTAGAAAAAAATTGAACTGGTTGTGTACTAAAACTATCTTAAGAGTTACAGTTTTTTGTAAATTCTGGGAAATACATAGAAGTGTTAAGTTTTTGTTAAGTTGTTCAAGTACTGATGGTTGTTTAAATAAAAATAGTTGGTGTTGCATCAAAATGTCTTTATAGTAGTTTATGTTTTATTTAATAAGTAGGGATAGGAAAAATATTTCAACGGCTTCGAGCATGGAACTTCCTGACCCAAGAGCAAAAACTGTTCCTTCAAATGCTGAGTAAGAATTCTGGGAATTAAAGTCTACAGATCTTAAAATTGCTAAGTTTGAAGACTACCAATGTCAATTGTCCAACCACAGAATGATTGTCAACCATCCCACTCAGTCATGTAGCAAAGAAAGATTCCTGGCCATTTGTTTTGCCAAGAGTATACTTTACTGACGCTTAAATAGTTATAGAAATAGCATAAGACGAATCTGAGGTTTTCCCATGCAAACAACACAAAGGAAAGTTAATGCAAATCAGCTCCTCTATACAGTATCATCTCTTAGAACAGATATGTCAAACACAAGGCCCAGGGGCCGGATGCGGCCCGCGAAGTGGTTTCATGTGGCCCATGAAGACATCCTGGAAACAGTGAGGGAACGGCCCCCGCTGCCTTGGCCCTGGCCCAGGCCAGCTGGGAGCCAATGTACAATTTTGTGGTGGCTATCTTGGCACTTGCCCCAGTGGACCATGACTTGGCACTTGCCCCAGTCCCAACCTTCTGTCAGAGACCCTCAGATCTGTCCCACTCCTGCCCAAGCCCCCACAGGCACCCTTGACATGATGTAGAACTGGCCACGCCCACCCAGTAGGCCACACCCACTCCATCCACGCCCACCCAGTAGGCTGCACCCACTCTGGCCACACTCACCCGGCCCCCCAAGGGCAACCGCAATGCTGATGCGGCCCTCAGTGAAATTGAGTTTGACACCCCTGTCTTAGAAGCTGTTACAGACTACCAAAAACAATTGGCAATATATTATCTGCAAATAATTTGGTACCCATGTCCCTATAATAAAGCTTCCAAAATTTTGGCCAGTTTTAAAAATAAATTCTTTCAACTGTTCCAGGTAGTTGAGCCTGCTTTTCTAGGCTTAAGATTGATTATTTTCATTCTAATTAGAATACTTGCTTCTTTATTTTAAAAAATGTATTGGAATGATATGATCTAATAACATAGTTTGGAATTTAAAATTCTTTACACTTGGTTGCAGTTTTTTTCTTCCAGTGATTCACACCAGTATTTTACTGATTAATACAAGCCGAAAATTTGCAGATTGTGCTTATTTGAGTAACTTTCCTAATAGAAATGTGGAGATGTTAATTTCACCAAAACATTTGACAGTGTTGCCCATTACATTATGATTAGCAGGTTAATTATTTATTGGCTAGATGGCATGTCTATTAGGGAATTGGCTTGAAACTAATCTCAAAGAAAGATCATAAAGCTTCCTTAACAAATTACAGTGAAATCATAAATGGAATGCCACAAATTTGGTTCAAGACCTGTACTCCAAAAATTTTACGTGGAATGAATGCTTATCAGATTCATAGGTTATACAAAATTGGGTGAGTAGCTAATACAAGAGAAATGGTTTGAAAATAAAAGTGAAATTTAATAGTCAAATGAGTTATTTAGAAAAAAATCAAATCACTGGTACACAATTGGCTATACAAAGACAAGTGTAAATCTGCATTTGTAATTCATATTATTTTAGATAATAATAATATAATAATAATAATAATAATAATAATAATAATAATAATAATAATAAAGTTGGAAGGGTCCTTGGAGGTCATCTAGTCCAACCCCCTGCTCAGGCAGGAAACCCTACACCAGTGGTTCTCAACCTGTGGGTCAGGACCCCAGTTGGGGTCGAATGACCATTTCACGGGTGGTCACCAAACCATGCTGTCCGCCATTTTTTTCCCTTTTCCCTAGCTGTCCTACTCCCTCTTATTGGTGGCCACACCCACTTGGGGGTCACCACAACATGGGGAACTGTATTATGGGGTCACGGCATTAGAAATGTTGAGAATCACTGCCAACACCATTTTGGACAGATGGCTGTCCAGTCTCTTCTTAAAAACTTCCAGTGTTGGAGCATTCACCGCTTCTGGAGGCAGGTTGTTCCATTGGTTAATTGTTCTAACTGTCAGGAAGTTTCTCCTTAGTTCTAGGTTGCTTCTCTCCTTGATTAGTTTCCACCCATTGCTTCTTGTCCTGCCTTCAGGCACTTTGGAAATAGCTTGACTCCCTCTTCTTTGTGGTAGCCCCTGAGATATTGGAACACTGCTATCATGTCCCCCCTCGTCCTTCTTTGTTAAACTAGACATACCCAATTCCAGCAACCGTTCCTTATATGTTTTAGCCTCTAGTCCCCTAATCATCTTTGTTGCTCTTCTCTGTACTCTTTCTAGAGTCTCAACATCTTTTTTACATTGTGGTGACCAAAACTGGATGCAGTATTCCAAATGTGGCCTTACCAAGGCATTGTAAAGTGGTATTAATACTTCACGTGATCTTGATTCTATCCCTGTTAATGCAGCCTAGCACTGTGTTGGCTTTTTTGGCAGCTGCAGCACACTGCTGGCTCATATTTAAATGATTGTCCACTAGGACTCCGAGATCCCTCACACAGCTACTACTATTGAGCAAGGTACCCCCTATACTATACCTGTACATTTGGTTTTTCTTGCCTAAATGTAGAACCTTACTTTGTTCACCATTGAATTTCATTTTGTTAGATAGCGCCCAGTATCCTAAGCCTGTCTACTGGAGTATTCACTATTCCTGCCAGCTTGGTGTCATCTGCAAATTTGATGAGTTCCCCATCTATCCCCTCGTCCAGATCGTTGATGAAGATGTTGAAGAGCACTGGGCCCAGAACAGAGCCCTGGGGCACCCCACTACACACTTCCCTCCATGTAGATGCGGTTCCATTGAGGATCACACGCTGAGTACAGCCGGTCAGCCAGCTACGGATCCATCTGGTGGTGATGCTGTCTAACCCGCATTTTTCTATCTTGTCAAGTAGTAGGTTGTGGTCTACTTTGTCAAATGCCTTACTGAAGTCTAAGTAAATTATATCCACAGCATTCCTCTGGTCCACTAATTTTGTCACTTGATCAAAGAATGCAATAAGATTTGACTGGCATGATCTGTTTTTGACAAACCCGTGTTGGCTTTTAGTAATGACTTTGTTTGCCTGTAGGTATTCGCTGATTCGTTGTTTGATTATCTTTTTCCAGAATCTTCCCAGGTATTGAGGTCAGGCTGATAGGTCTGTAATTTCCTGGGTCCTTTTTTTTTCCTTTTTTGAAGATGGGAACTACATCAGTTCTTTTCCAGTCCTCTGGTAGTTCCCCAGTGCTCCAGGATCTTTGAAAAATATAGTTCAGTGGTTCTGAGATCACATCTGCCAGTTCCTTGAAAACCTTGGGGTGTAATCCATCTGGTCCTGGTGATTTGAACTTGTCTAGGCTGGACAGGTGTTCACTTACCATTTTCTTGCCTATCTTAACTTGTATTTATATTTTGTTTTTTTATGGCACTATTTTTGATAGGTTGGTCTGTTTTTTCCCTTTGTGTAAAGACAGATGCAAAAAACAAGTTAAATAGTTCTGCTTTCTCCCTGTTGCTTGTCACCTTCTTGCCACTTTCACCCACTAATGGACAATCGTTTCCTTCACTTTTTTCTTGTTCTTTACATGTTGAAAGAAGCGTTTATTGTTATTTTTGACTTTGGTTGCAAGCCTTAGTTCATTTTGAGCCTCAGCTTTCCTCACTTCGTCTTTGCAGACTCGGGCTATTTGCTGATATTTTGACTTAGTTATGTGTCCCTCTTTCCACTTTCTATACTTGTCCTTTTTATCTTTCAATTGATCAGAGAGTTCTTTATGCAGCCATGCTTTTGAGAGCTGTTATTTTTCCTCTTTGTTGGTATTGTGCTAGACTGGGCCTTTATTATCTCACTTTTCAAAATTTCCCAAGCCTCTTGAGTTGTTTTCCCCTGGAGGATTCTCATCCATGGAATCCTTCCCAAACCCTCTCTAAGTTTATTGAAATTAGCTCTCCTGAAGTCCAAGACTCTAGTTTGTGTTCTATTGCTTGTGCTTCCATAATGTTGAATTCCAATATTGCATGATCACTTCCTCCCAAGGTTCCTATGGCTTCAACACCTTCTATCATTTCATCTCTGTTAGTGAGAATTAGGTCCAAAATGGCTAATCCCCTAGTTCCCTTCTCTACTTTTTGGGAGACAAAGTTGTCTGCTAGGTTTGTCAGGAATCTGTTTGATTTTAAAGTACAGTTCCCCAGCAATAGGAAGTAAGAGTTCTACAATATTCTGCATTTGTCGGACTTCTATTGTCCAATTCCAGGTACGATATATTAAGAGTAAGAGAAATGAAAGTGCAGAGAAGGGCAACCAGTTTGATTAGAGAACTGCTAATTAATCCCTGAAGTGATGGAACAAGGTGGTTTAGTCTTTTTAGAGAAGTGGGTTTTGTTCCTGATGAAGCTGTGTACAGCAATGGTAATATATAAGCATTAGACATCTAAGTTTTAAAAATAATTTATTAGGAAGTTTATTGCATGTGTACAAACATAGAGCTTTTAGATTTTTATGCAAACAAGACAACATCTAGAAAATATAACAAAGAAATGTTGATAAATATTAAGATACAGCAAAACATAAAATGTTCAAGGATGAGTGTCCATGACAACATCACCATTCTTATTTTTAACTCTTAGTCTACCAGAGGCATATTGAGTCTCTTGATGTCCATCAGCATAAACAGTTTTGATTGTGCCATCAGGATACTCACGTCTTTTGAAATCAGCAGTATGTACTTCTTGCTGACCATTGCTGAACTCTATAATCTTACTTCCATCTCTACATTAAAATATAAAAGAATACCAATACCTTGTCTTATTAAATTCTGCAGAAAAGAAAAATTAAGAACTGGGAAAAAGAATATGATTTTAGCCTACTTACTATTTGAGTTCAATTGCTATACAAGGTGATTTTCCATAAAATATGCATACCTCAAATACTATTTTATATTTCTGGTATTGATAATCTTCCTGCTATATATTTTGCTTCTTCCCTTTTCTCCCTTTGCCACATTATGTTTCTATTATGAAAAGTCTAAATAACTAGAATCAACCTAATTTTTTCACATGTTTACGTCTCAACTGCCATCAGTCCAAGAAAGTCCAGTTAATACGGTAATACAAGAGTTGTCAAAAATATTTGGAAGCACTCTAAATTTAGAATAAGTAGTAATTATGGAGAATCTTACATTTAGAATAAATAATTATTCTGGTCCATAACTCTTTCTCACCCTCTTTTACTCTTTAATATGGGCAGATGGACTGGGACTCAAGACAAATGGTCATCTGAAAGACTACCAGTAGAATTTGATAGATTATTCTCCCCACCCAGCACTTATCCTAGGTTGCTCCCAAAGCCAGACTTAATGATAACACCCCCCCCCCATATACTTGCAATTAAATTTAGATCAAACTTTCTCTAAAATTATATTTTATCAGGGTAAAAACCTTACTGTTGCATGTGGACAATGGTGCCATCAGGAAAAATATTTACTTCTCGCCCATCTGTGAATACATTCTTAATGGTTTGATCAGGGAATGTAATTTCTTTTTTTCCATCTGGAAAATGCTTTTCTGCAATAATATATTATGCATCAGATTTCTCTTATACTGTATGTACAAAAGAAATAGAATTCTCAATAACTGCATGCAAGCACTCCTCAGCTTACCTATCTGTCCATTTGAGAAATGGAGAACCTCTAAACCTGTAGGGTAGGTGGTATGTATAGTTTTTGCATCTGCATAATAGTATATCTGTTGAGAAAAGTTATAATGTTAATGCTAATGCATAGTTCTGATTATGTAAGACTGCCATTTGATCGATACATACGACTCTCTGATCTTCCAGGACTTGTTTTACATCCCCATTAAAAAAGGTTACAGTTGTAGTCTTTCCATCGTAGCTTACTTCTTTCCTTGTGCCATTAGGGAAGATAATAAGATGGCAACCATTTTTTAAAACTTTTTCAACCTAAAAGGAAGCAAATGAAAGGTTTCATTACTAATAATTCTAATCTGGGAAAGTTTAAATGAAACACTATATAGCTTTACTTTTATAAAGTCACACAATATTTAAACTGGTGAACAATCCAACATTTAGAAGCAAAGAACTGGAAAAAGAAATATTTTTCTCCCCAAAGAAATTAATCTGATTAGAATCAGGTTTCCTTCCTTATTCCAAAAAGTCACAGATAAGACTTGCAACATAAATTATTACTATCCTGACCCCTCCAGTCTGGGTTCAGCCTAGGCCATGAGTCAAAAATAACACTGGTTGGCCTTGTGGATGATCTGCAGTGGACACTGGATGGGTGTGGTGTTTGTACCTTTATCTTGCTAGCTCTCTTGGCAGCACTCAGAGCAATTTTGGCACACTTTTGGACCATCTACGAGGATTAGGAATCGAGGTACTGTTTTACAATGGTTCTGCTCCTTCCTAAGTGGGCAATTCCAGTGGATATTAATGGAGGGTATTTTGATCTATGGATTTATCAGTGTCAAGGTTGCATTGTTCATTGTAAAATTATACTGGGGCCAAATATGAGTAGGTTCCATGTACTTGGCATTGCATGGGAATAGCTTTAAAGATTGGAAAAATAGCAATCTGCTTTATTCCATTCAAGATAGCTCAAATGTACAAGATTGAGTAGAACATATAAATAAACTGGTACAACTTGGTCTAGGATCCTTCAGCTCCTACCCTTGGCTGCATCTCCTTCGCCTCGAGCCTACCACCTCCGCCCATTTGTCTGCAGCGTTCCTCAGTGGCCCTCTGCCTCGCACCTTCAGCCCAGCCCATTCGCTGAGGTCCCCTTTGTTCCAGGCTTTTGGCCTCACAGGACAGTTAGCTGCCAGCCAATCAGATGGGTGGCAGGCAGCAGCCCGTTGCTCTCGGGGGCAATGTGCAATCACGGGATGTGTTGTGAGGCAGCAAGCGAAAGGCAGGGCCGGTGCAGCTTCTCCAATTGTGTGGAGGGGAAGCCTGGCATTGGGGCAGCAGACCAATGCCCATTCATTGTGAGGATGGAATCCAGGAGCCAGAGGCAATGGAGGGGAGGGTGGAAGAAAAAAAGGAAGCTGGTGCTCTCCAGGCTTTTTTTTTAAAAGTTGCCAGAGACTCCATGCAGAGAGGGGAACAGGCAGGCAGTGACGGGCCTCTGCCATTCACCTACTGCCCACAACACAGCCCCTCCGATTGCCCATCACTCACTGCCCCCCTGAGAGCAACAGGGCTGCTTCCTGCCATCCATCTGATTGGCTGGCAGTTAACTGTCCTATAAGGTCAAAAGCGCAGGACAAAGGGGGGCTCGGCAAATGGGCTGGGCTGAAGGGTGCGAGGCAGAGGGCCAGGGGCCTGTTGGCCAGGGAGAATGGGCGGGATTGGTCTAGCCAAGGAAGAACGCTGCAGGCAAATGGGCGGAGGCGGTAGGCTTGAGGCAAAGGAGGTGTGACCAAGGGTAGGAGCCTAAAGGTCCCATTACGCACTTTGAGCCAATATAAACATCTCTATTATGGTGTCCATTCTCAGTTTGAATTCCAAAATTCAGATAACATAGCACATTTTTAGACTAAATTTAAAAGACCTACAAGATGAGGTTTAATATTTTTTATAGGTCCAGATACGGAACAAGAAAATGTTCCCCCTGTACTTCATTACTTCTTAGCCCTGCATCCTAATTTAGGGAATGAGAGGAACTTACTTTTCCATCAGGATGACTGGCTTCTCTCTCAACTTCTTCTTCACTTTCTGAAGAATCAAAAGTTACTGCTGCTGATGATTCAACAGTTCCATCAGCAGGAAAATTCTAAAATGGCAAAAGTAATAGTAACTTTCTAAAGAGGCAAACTATATTGCTATAGATTTTGTACAGATATACCTTATGATATTGAGAATGTTCTTTAGATTGACTGAGGCAATTCTGCATTTCATACAACTATAGAAGCTGGCCCTCAAGAAAACTGTGTTTTCAAAGAGATCTCATTTCCAAAGAAAACAGGGTTCCAAAAAATATATCATGAAAATCAAAGGTCAGAATAAAAATTATTTAGTTGAATTTCTTGCATCTGAGCTGCTCAGAAGACAAATTCTGCCTATTCATAGTCTAAGAATAAAAAACTAGGGTTTTCTAATGTATATGTACATTATACATAATTACACATAATTTTAAGTATCAACCAATATTTTTCTTAACACTTTTTACAAATTTCATCATGGTTAAAAGTTGCATATAATGGGCATAAAGATATATTTTGTTTAAACCATTAAATTAACTGTCTTAGTTGTAATAGTCATTCTATGGTTAGTTTTAGGTATCATACTAGCATGCCCACTTTCAACAAAAAAGTGAACTTACTGCCATAAATATTTGGGAGGAATCTTCAGGTTTTATCTTTTTGTCCAAATCAGCTTCATATGCTTTTGCTGGTTCACATTTTGGTGACAAGCTTTCTATTTCAAATAAAAGATTCATTAATAAATATGAATATAAACCTTACAAAATCTTATCAATTACATTAATCCACTTACGCAGACCAATAGTAAAGCACTGATAATTGATGTGGCTGAACATATTTAAAATCAAATAGATTAAAGAAAAAGATTGTTTTAATCCAAGAAAGAAAACACCTTGCAGATTCATATACAATCATAAATCCATTCTAACACATTCAAAATTCTGAAGGGATAATAAACTGCTACTTCTGGTTACTAGATCCATTTTTTAATCAAACAGTTTACCTTCTGATGGCAAATCACTTTTGACATTTATTTTACTGCTCTTTTCTATTTGATTCATTGAAGACCCATTGTGAGATTTTGGCAATGCTGGCAAATGCTAGACAAAAAAAGGGAGAATTTCTTCGTCAAATGTCTACTATCGCAAAAGTTAAGATTCTTCAAGAAACAAATTACGTATCATTTTTTAAAATTCACAAACCAACAAAATACGGTAAATATTAGTATTCATGTTTGTATACTTCACAAAAGCAATCAAGAAATAGAATGTTATAGTAACACAATAATAAAAACTTTAGAAATTATTTTATAAAGTTGCAATTTTTATACTTCAGTTCTGCTCTTTTTGTATACTTCTCCAAGATCAAGGTGATCTCTAAAATAGCTATTTCTAGGTGCTTACACAGAACATCGAAAAGCAGTTTATATTATAACAAAAACAAAATGTATAGTTTGGATTTAAAAAAATCTTCGAAATACCTAGCAATGCAACGCAATACAGATCACTAGGGGCTCAACAAATATCCTGGAAGCAAAGCCATATTTGTAAAGATTTGTGGTACCCTTATAGGATAAGCGCTTGCAAATCTCCAGGGAAATGCTGTTCCAAAGGATGGGTACTGTATAAGAGAAGGCACACTACTAGAATCCCATTGGTGGCATTATTTAATCACTTAGTGGGATCCAGAGCACCTCCACTCTGCCTATCTTTAGTAGACAGACAGAAATTATTGAGACAGTCCCTCAAATATCCTAATACTATCAAAATACAGTGGTACCTCAGAACTCTTTGTTAATTGGTTCCGGGAGGTGTGATGAGCACCAAACAATTTTTTCCCATAAGGAATAATGAGTCACAAGGCAGCCAACACCTACAAGCTTGTGCGTTGAGTACAATACCTCAATACCAGGATAAAATATTCACGTCAAAATGAATACCAAATTCGATGAGTTTCAAAGCAGTTGAGTATCAAGTTACCACTGTATTTAGGGTTGCTTGAATAGTGAAACATACCCAAATGCAATAAAATTTTCAAAACAAAGAGCAAAACAGATGCTTTCAAAGAAACAGCTATCTGGAAAAACCATGTATTCAAATGTAAAATACTTGTCACCCATTTAGGTAAAAGTTTATTTTAAATTCACTTGAAAGAAAGCTGTATATGTATCAGTAGACTATCTCTTCAAATTCAAAGTTGGAAATATGCTGAAGCTATATGGCAGACATGTCAAAACACAAGGCCCGGTGGCCGGATGCGGCCCGCGAAGTGGTTTCATGTGGCCCGTGAAGCCATCCTGGAAACAGTGAGGGAACGCCCCCCTCTGCCTTGGCCCTGGTCCAGGCTGGCCGGGAGCCAATTTACAATTTTGTGGTGGCCATCTATGCTAAAACACATTCAGTCTTAGCTCCACAAGGCTATCTGGAACCAGCAAGGAACCAGTCCCTGCCGCGTTGGCCCCGCCCCCTGGGTGCATGCTGGGGAGGTGTTGCCCTTTGTGATGAATTCAGAAATGCACTATTGCCTGGAAGTGGTGAGCAAATGGCCCTCGCCTACTTCACCTATCTGGCTTGATGGGCTCCGGGGGAGGGGGTTTGGCAGGCAGTGGGGCACTCTCCTCACAGCACTGAGAGGCTGAGCCGGACGGCACGAATACAAAAAGAAGCACGACGCTACCAAAACCCCAGCATGCCCAGTTTCGGCAGGCAGCGGGGTGCAAAGCTGGTGAGCTTCGCACTACCCGGCTCAACCTCTCGGCGCTGTGAGGAGAGTGCCTCGCTGCCTGCCGAAACCGGGCAGGCTGGGAGCTGGGCGGCATTGCGCAGGTAACGTTGACTCTCACGCTGCTCATGGCATCTTCTCTCCCAGAGCCTGGGCAGGCAGCCCAAGCCAGATATGTGAAGTAGGTGAGGGCCATGTGCTGGTCACTTCCAGGCGATGGTGCATTTCTTCATTCCTCACGAAAGGTCACATCTCCCCAGCTGCATTTCTTGCCTGTTTTTCTCCCTCATCTCAAATATTTTCCCACCACTCTGTACTTAGGAAGGAAGGAAAGAAGGAGAGGGAGGGTCTGAGGGAAGTCCTGCCTTAATCCTGCCCTGCTGCCCTTTCACCATCCCCTTGCCCCTCCTCCTGGCCTATTCTGGGGCTCTCCCATCCTATTGCTAAGGAAGCTTTGGATACAAAGCCATATCTCCTCCCATGGAGAGGGAATGGGCCTCCCTCTGACTTTGCCCTCATACCCATCATGAGCAACCTGGCTAAGGAGAGCAAGCACAGCAGCAGCAGCAGACTTGAGGAGGTAAGTGCAGATGGGTGCCTCCTTGGGGAAGTGGGGCTGGCTTGGTGCTGCAGTTGCTCAAGGGCCAGGCTGGGCATTTGACCTCTGCTGCCCAGGGCTCCGGGCAGCCCGCACCACCATCCAACCCCCCCCCCGCATGGCCTAAGAGGAACAGTGAGGCTCCTCCAATGGACCATGCCTTGGCACTTGCCCTGGTCCCACCCCCTTCTGCCAGAGACCCACAGATTTGTCCCACTCCTGCCCAGGCCCCCACAGGCACCCTTGACATGAAAAATGTAGAGCTGGCCATGCCCACCAGTAGGCCGCACCCACTCCATCCACACCCACCCAGTATGCCGCACCCACCCGGTCTCTCAAGGGCAACCGCAATGCTGATGTGGCCCTCAATGAAATTGAGTTTGACACCCCTGCCATATGGGTTTTAGAAAATGAAAAATACAGTGTCAACTATCTCTGAAGACTGTTTCTGCTGCAATTTGATACCTGCAGTGGAACTCCAAATAAATCCTCTCAGGTTTGGAAAACATTGGATGCCATGGGAGCTGCTTCTGAAGCAGTGCAAAATCTTTGTGTCTCTAGTTTTCTGAAAACATTTTTTTTTTCAAAAAGAAGAAACTCACTATAGATTCATTCTTGTCTGAGTAACCAGAATTACTATTTTTCTTTTTCTTTGTGGGGGCTTCTTTTCTCTTCCAGGCCTCCAAACGGAATCTTTCCATAATTTTGATTTCTTCTCGCAGTTGTGTATTCTCCTTCGTTAAGGCTTCAATCTGATCCCTCAGACGAGTATGAGTTGCTGACCATTTTGTTTCTCTCTTTTTTACATCTTCCTGCAATGTTGCTATTTGTTGCTTCAAAGCCTTAAGAAAAAATAGACAGATGAACATCTTTCCACATATTAGATATCAGAATTGCATTGATTCAGTTTAGATACGAATAATGTACTTTCCCCCAAAAGACTCGCTTTTATACTTTTGTACTCACTTTTAATTAACCTGTGTTCCTCACTTTTAACACATAATTGGATTCCCCCTTCCACAGATTGTGAGAATGAAGAGGTAAACTTGCAGAAAGGATATATCAGGAGGGCCTCACAGCAAGGCCTATTGGACTTGACGAGCACTCCAACTGGGGAATAAACTGCAAAGCATAATTGTGCAATAGACACAATCACTTTTATAAGCAACAACTGAAGCAATCTTTAAAAAGTGGTAACTTTTACTTTGCTGTTTGATGCTAAACCACTATCTTCATGTTCTCCCACAGCAAATGCTGGTGTAGAAACAATTTATAATGCTTCAGTTGTGGTATCAGTGATAAGACAACCAGGGACTGGCATCTGCCAACTTCCTGTTAGCCAGCTGCTGTGAGCAGAGCTCTTCAGCTCCATCACCAAGTACTGCCATTTAATTTGTGATGCAGAAGAGACTAGACACTGGTTTCTGCAGGGGTATCTATCTTCATCCTGTCTTCACAAAGTACTATTTATAGACCTGCCTTAATATTCGTGGGTATACTAGTTTTCTGGTATTAAATGGGTTCAAGACCAACAGACCTGTCTTGAAAAAAAAGGGCTAACAATAAATTTACCAGAGATGTGCTATTGATTCTTCCCTAATTAATGCCTAGTAGGTTTTTACCCACTTTTGCAAACAAGGGATTCAGTCTAGTCAAGCTTTCTACTGCTTCATTATTCTGTTACATTTCACTAATATTTAAAAAAAACACAACATATATAAGTGATTATTCAGTAAACACAACAAAGGATTTTTACGGGAATTAAAATAAGTTGAACATAATTTAAAAAATAGAAAAAAATAAGACCTATGTAATATCAGTGTAAAAATTAATTCAATTTGTTAAATCTAGAGTCTACAGAAACACACTTCATCTTTTCATTTTTAGAATATAAACGTTTCAAAAATGGTAACGCATATCTGGAATGCATTCTTTAACATCCCAAAAATGTTTCTTGTTTCTTTCAATCTACATAAAATGATTTTTTGCTGAACTGTACTGTTTTATTACTGAGGGTGGGACAACACACCATGTGCCTTGGAATGCCTCCATGAAGTATGGCTAACTCATCCCAAGTGCTATTGCTTCTTTCTAGCCTTCATCATTAAGTGGGAGCTGGATGAAATTCAATGCCAATGTCCCCCTTTGGCCCAAGGGAAAGGAACACAAGTAAACTGATGTCTAAATAGCTCTGATGGCAACAGACCCAGGATGAAATGAGAGCTCTCTGGATAGGCCAGGCAAGCTCGTTCCCACTTGACCTCAAAAGAAGGTCTGTCAGCTGGTCTATATTTTGCCTGTTTTCTAGAAAACTGGTAAACCAATGTGATAAGTTATTATTAATGCCCCTATACCAGCAACTCTTCCTAGGCAACTTGAAATATGCCATCCTTTTAGGTACACATCCACACCAACTAAGCCTCTCCCACCAGTTTGACTAAATTAAGAAGAAACAGTTCATTATCCCATAGCAATGGTTTCACAGCCAAGCTTATTGAATGAGCCAGTTTGGTCTAGTGGTTTAGGCACCAGGAGAGGCCTAGAAAGCAGGAGATTGTGAGTTCAAGTCCTGCCTTAGCCATGAAAGCCACCTAGGTGATCTTGGGCCAGTCATTCTCTCAGCCCAACCCATTTCACTGCGTTTTTGTTGTAGGGAAAATAGGAGGAGGAAGGTGGGTTAGATATATTTGCTGCCTTGAGTTATTTCTAAAAAAAATATTAAAAAATAAAGGGGGAAATGAATGAATGATGAACAAATGAACAAGCGAAAGAACGAACAAATGAATGAATGAATGAATAAATAAATAAATGTTTTCTCCTAAAACTTTCACAACTGGAACAGTATAGGAGTGTAACTGAATCTGGTAGCAAGCCACATTGCCTATTCTTTTCATTAGCAAGCCAGTTGTTTTACAGGAAAAATTAGGGAAATCTCTTCAACTCTTGATGCAGTCTTCTGTTCACCATAGTATAACAAAAATTAATCTCTTTGGTCCTATGGTCATATTTGCTTTTGTGAAAAAATGTCCAACTCCCCCAAAATTTATCTGATGCTTTAATTTCTATTGTTAAGTGGAAAGCATACATCTATCTGAAAAGAAGTCACTACATAATGCATACTACTGTACCACAAGTTACTGAAATTAATTATCCAGCTGCCACCGCTATCAGAATTAGATAGGATAACTGTACAGTGCATGTAGGACACATCTGGTTTTACATTTGAATTTAAGTTAATTGTATATGGAACATTGGTTATGTTTTATAGAATGAACGCATTAAAAACAATAATCTATATTTACTTTTGATATCTTTAGATAATGGGGAGTTTTTCCCATTATTCATTTCCCCCAATTAGGTTGCTTATTTATGTTGCATTCATACCTGAATTTCATCACGTTCTTTTTTATCTGGAATGGCTCTAGCTGCCTGTGCATACTTCTCAAAAACTTTACGTTCTTTCTGCAATTTTCTTGCTTCTTCTTTTTTAAGTTCTTCTATTTGAGCAAGCTGTTGTGTTTTATGGTGTTCATAGTCAGATTTTTCTTTCCTGAAAGTTTACAGAACAAAAATTAGAAAATATTTATCACATAAAAATCAGATATCACAATGTAACTTGGAAACATTGGTCCACGTTTTTTTAAAAAAACGGATGTGCATGAAGCTGAACTCTTTCAAAGACTTTTAGAATATCCTTTTCATTAATTTATAATAATAGGCTTGACATATTTTCAAAAAACTGTCCATGGATTGTTAGCTGGAAAAATAAACAAAAAAGAAGTTATATTTGTAATTCTCCCTGTTAAATCAGCAATTATTCAAAATAAAAATTCTTGGTCATTGGACACTGCTAATGTATGGTCAATTACTTTTTTTGGGAAAAGGCACTTATAACATTTGAATATTATTTTTAAATCTGGAAAAAGTTACATATTTTATGTTAATAACAGCTCTAATTTTGACAAATACGGAAACAATGACTGAATTTTGACATATAGTGTTCCAGGACATCAAAGGAAAAACAGCCCTTCCTATTAATGTGTCTAGGGTGAATGAGGAGACCAAACTCTCTTGTACAAAAGGAGCATAATTTGTTAATCATTAATGATCTTCTTTCTCTCTCTGCATAGAGACGGAAGAAAGGAAGAAAACACTACAGGGATAAACATCATCATTCTAGATCAGGGGTAGGCAACCTTGGCTCTTTTATGACTCGTGGACTTCAATTCCCAGAATTCCTGAGCCAGCATTTAGTCATAAAAGAGCCAAGGTTGCCTACCCCTGTTCTAGATCATTTAGCCTGTAGAGACAGAACTTAGATTACCTAAGTTTTTCCAGGGCAGTTTCATGCTCTTCTCTAAGTTTTGATAGGGATGCATTTTCAGTCCTGAACCTTTCAATTTCCATTTCCAATTCAACAAGTTTCTCTTTCAAGAGCTGTGAGCGCACACTTTCTCCTAAAAGGGAACAAATTATACATTTCAATACGTATCAAATCTCATGTACTCATCTCATTGTAAAATGGGATTAATACCTACGATTCTACTGAGGATTCTATAAGGTTAGTGGACTTTAAAAAAACCCCATTATTTAAAAACAATACTCTAGTTTTAGCTATTACAGTTACAGAACCATAACACTGGAAAGGTTCTAAGAGGTCATCAAGTCCATGCTCCTACACACTGCAGGACTCACTACCCCACCCTCACTAGATCATTATCCAGCCTCTGAAAACCTCCAGTGAAGGGCAAAAAACATTGCAATGACCTATTCTACTGTTTGAGAGCTATTACAGTTAGGTTTTTCCTAATGTCCAATGTGGATCTACTCCCTTGAAGTTTTATCTCACTACGCTTACCCTCTGAATGTATCCCAACTTTTCTAGTGAAGGTAGTACATTAGAAATTCTGTTATTGAGCAATCTGCTAAAGAAATTACCCTGGAACAATGACCTAAGGGGTCAATGCTTGTCTAGATTTAATTAAAACCATTTATGACAGCCTGCAAAATATGCATCAAATAGATCCCTAAAGCCTCTATATATCTTACATAAAACTGCCACACAATTTGAAAACCATGTTTTATATATGCATTCCATAATTTCTGGCTCTTGGTTATAGTTTAAGAGTGCAGTGAAACTATATGCCGTATAAAAAGAACATGCACATATAGGAAATTCTGTATGAAATGATATAGAGCTAATTCAGTAATTGATTTTTATAACTTTTATAATCGATTTTTATAATTGATTTTAGGAATTGATTTAATACAGTAATTGATTTTTCTCTCTCCCTTACCACTTGATTCTTCCTGAATCATGTTCGATTTGCTCTCATGTCTTGATTGTGCATCTACCTTCTGTTTAGGTTTTAGGGAAGGAAAGAGTTTTAGCATCAAAGCTGATGTAGGAGGCTCAGTTTCCTCATTAACGGCCATATTTTGTTTTAGCAAAGCATCTCCTTTCTTTACCATGGCAATCTTCCTCTTTATTACTTTATCAGGAAAAGGCGTCTTGGAACAATCAGGCGTCAGATGTACTTTAGAAACCATATTGCTACAGAGATTGCTATTCTCAAAGTCAGACCATGAGATTTCATCATCAAACTGAAAGTTATTTCTGTCGTTACAGAACACACTTGGATATGCAGCGTCTCTATATAGCTCATTAGACTGGCCACCGTCTTTTTCCATTGAATCAGGACTCTTAGCACTCTCTGTGCTCTCCATTGGTTCTTTGCACTCTGAAAATTCAGGACAGCCGCTTTGCTTTTTCAAAGTAATCTTATCAGCTCCCTCATTGGCAGGTTTTATGGTAATCTCAAATTCTTCTTCACTTTCAGACGTCATCTCACTGCTTTCATCAGATTTATCTTCATCTAATTCAGTGTTTTTAGTATCTTGAAATTCGGCTGAGGAAGAAGTTTGAAGTGCTTCATAGTCAGCTGAACTTCTGTGAACCATGAATGGTTCTGGTACCTGGGAACTATCCTGGTGCCTCTCATGGTTAGATCCTTGGGAAACCCCATTTCTTCCATTTATGTTAGCTGCAGTTGTGACATTTAACACATTAATCTGCTTCTCCTGCAAACTTGATTTAATAGGAGTAGAAGACAGTCTATGCCCTGAGGAAATTTGCTGGCCTTGATCCAAGATCCTTATTATGAGTGAAGAGTTACTGGCGAAAGATACTTCATCAGCAGCCTGCTCTAAAAACAAAAATTCATCCAATTCATTTTTTTCTTTTTCTTTTTCAGCTTCCCAGTTACCCAACTTTTTTTGGAAAGAAAGTTCAAAAGACAACTCTTGATCTTTTTCACATGGATTTATAAGAAATTCAGTTACTTCCGACAGTGCCTCTTTTCCTGCTGGTAATTTGACATCAGTTTCATGCAGCTTGGCAAGTGGCATTACATTTTCTTTATTCTTTTCTTTTTCCCCATTTACTTCTGATCTTAGAGAATTTCTCAGTACTTCTGGTTTCATTTCATTAGAGTTTTGCCTTGTGGATGAAGAAATGCCTTTTCCAGTGCAATTTCTAAGTCCTGTTGTCTTTCGAACAGAAAAGGACAAATTCTTTTTTGTTTTAATATTCTGATGTACAGGTTTAGGCACAAAATTGTCAGAAATTTTATTTGAAGAGGCAGTTTTCCGATGAAGCTGCAGTTTGTCTGTTTTAAGTGTATTTTTAATTTCTAAGGGATCAGGCTGAAGAATTGTCTTACTTTCCTTTTGTTTGGCAACTTTATATTTGGCATTAGTATATCTATTTAAGCCTTCACCTCGTTTTAAAAAGGGTTGCTTTGAAACTGGTTTCTGGAATGCTGCTTTTTCAACAACCTAAAAAACAAGCAATTTATATATGGGTAAGAAATTCAGTTATTTATATCTGTTAATTTATTACTATCAAAATAGTACGTTGAGATTCCAAGTTTGCTAAAATCTGTACAACATGTACATGAAAAAATTATTCTCACAATGAATATGAAAACTGAAATTGGCATATTTTGTATACTGTAACTATTAACCTTGAGATTTGCTTTTTCATTCAACCTCTGTTCCTCCAACCGTATCTGCTCTTCTAGAAATTCTTCAAATGTTTGCTTTCTCTCTTGCAAACAAGTAGCAATAGGCCTGTTTCAAGAGAATCAAAACATTGTTATAATTGTGTATATTTTTCTTGTTGTAATTTGTTAATTAAAAGAATTAAAAATTGTTAGATCCTGCAGCACTATAACAGTGTCCTAATGTACCCAATACTCATGAATGAAGGCAAATATACGTGTCCCACGGTAAAGTTGCAGGATTCAACCTGGGTTGGTCACCAGGACCGGAGGTTTAGTCTTCTGAGCTTTCAGACTTATGCTAGAGTCCCTCCTCTCTCTCGCCAGAAAGTGAAGTTTCCTAAGGATGAGCTCTAGCAGGAGTCCAAAAGTCTGGAAGATTAAACCTCTGATCCCAGTGACCAATCTAGATTGGATCCTGTATACAAAGCTATTGCTTGTTTTAGTACATTTTCACCTTTTGCCATTTATATGATGCTATTGCTTCCCTCTACTATCTACTATTAGTTGGACCTTTTCCTCAGAAATAGATATCAACACACCAGCTTTGACTGATATACTAACTCTGCTGTTTCCTGTACAAATGCAGCCTAGTTACAATTGTTCGTGTGCTGGTCACTTCTTATTTAGATTGCTACCATATGCTTTATGAAGACCTACCTTGTGTCTGATTCAGAGGTTGCAACTGCAAAATGTTGTAGCCAGATTACTGAGTGGACCACTTTACCATATACTACTTACTGAAACAATGAGTTACTTATCCAGAGAATCAATTATGATGTACAAGGCCACCATTATTGCTTTTTTGATTGTAAATTGCTTTGAAATGCTGAGGCATAAGAAATGGTATATAATATATATTAAATAATAACTAATAATAATATTTAGTACTTTCTTGCTCTCTTTTTAAAATTTGGTTACATTGACCATCTCCTACAATAGGTATCTATTATATTTTCTATTTTAATGAAAAAATGCAAGTGAAGGTTATTCTTGCCTTGATATTTACTATACATAGTTTGACATTTCTAAATGGATATAAGGATTCTGGAGTCATCTAGGAAATATTCAAAATAGTACTGACCTTTTGAAATCATATTCAATTTCTCCCCATCATTTTATAGATTAAATTGTAATGAGATTATTCTTATGAAATTCTTCTTTTTTAAAGTTATATATTCCTGCAGATGTCTATAGAGATTCTCAATCATCTAAGTCACGATTGTCCCAAAGGACAATCAAAAGGCAACTGGACTTTCCTGTTTTTTTTTACCCTGGAAAATGTCTTGCTTCTCATCCAAGAAGCTTTCTCAATTCTGGCTAAATGGTGGGGAATGGAAGGATTTATATTTTTAGCAGTCATCTGGTCATTAGTGCTCTGAAGGTTGGTTGTTAACTCCCTGAGAGTCATTAAGGCCATTTGGGGGTTTATCTGTACCCTCAGAGTCACCTGAATCAGAGTGAAAATGGTGTGGAACCTTCTTGGGGAGTGCTAAAAGAATTGTGTTGTAGATAGGAGATAGGAATATCTGAAAAGCTCAGGCTTTTCAATCAACCAACATAGGTGCATACTTTAACCCAGGAATGCATTAAGACAGAAGCTTGTCCAACTCAAGGATAAAACACCCAGAAACAAATTGAGTAATGTGGTATATGCTGTACATTGGTGAAACAAAACAACCACTTCACAAATGCAAGGTACGATAGAGGAGAATAAACCCATCAGAACAAGATTTAGCAGTCCATCTGGATCTGAAAGACAAAGGTCACTCTTTTGAAGACAATAAAGTCCACATTCTGGACAGAGGACTACTGGCTTGAAAAAGGAGTCAAGATGCCATCTATATTAAAACTGAACAGTCTTGTCTCAACAGAAGGGTAGGAATATAATACTACCTGTCTCCTGTCTAAAACACAGTCCTTTCAGCAGTCCCAAAAAGGTTCCACACCCATTTGCGCTCTGAATCAGGTGACTCTGAGGGTACAGATAAATTCCCAAGTGGCCTCAATGATGCTCAAAGAACTAACAACCAACCTTCAGAGTGCTAATGACCAGATGACTGCTAAGGAATGTAAATCCTTCCATTCCCCACCAATCAACCAGAACTGAAGAAGCTGCTTGGATGAGAAGTAAAATATTTTCAGGAAAAAAACCAAGAAAGTCCAATTGCTTTTTGAAAAGAACCTTTGGGATTCCTGCAGACTGGAATTTTCTTCCAGGCAAATAATTTTGCTGCTTTTAGTTTCAACTAAAATAAGTATAATCAAAATTAGTAAGCTTAATTGCTTTTACATTTTTTGTCAGCATTTGTAATACTGCACTGTTACTGTTTTACCTTTCTTCTGCATTAACAGCTTCTGAACACTTCCCTGCAGTCGGATTTTTAGAGACCTCCACGTTCCTTTGATCTTCACAATCACTGTCTCCTTCTATACTTCCTTGTAGACTTTGTTCTGGAGATTGTTTAGTTCTGCCTACAAAAGTAAAGGACATGCCCAGCTACTCCCTGTTGTCTTGTGCAAGCTTTGTCAAGAAAGCAGTGAAGTTGCCCTTCTGGCCAAGATTGTGATTTTCTTCTCTTCTAGCTTTTGTTAAAATTAACTTTATTTTCCTTAGAAAAGAAATCTAACCACAGAAACAGGATGTGGGACATATGACTTAGCAATAGATAATAAAATATACATTGAAAAAATATTACAGTGTAAAAGACAGGATTTAAAATTTAAAAATTTTTAAATCTATTTTAAAAGATTGAAAAACAAACTGAAAGCCAGTTTGGTGTAGCGGTTAAGGCATCAGAGTAAAAACCATCTTAGGCACATAGCCAGTTGCATGACCTTGGTCAAACCATTTCTGAAAAACCGTGACAAGAAAATTGCACAGACTTGTCCAGATAATCCCCAAGAATCGGACATGATCAAATGGGCGGGGGAGGGAAAGAAATCAAGACTCTAAAAATATTTTTTCTATGAATTGGGGTAAACAAAAATAATTTGGATTATTACATTTGAAAAAACAATAAAAATAAATAACACTCTGAGCAGCTTTAATTGGTTGTTTTAAAAAATGCTCCTCAGGAGCAAATCTGAACACCTCCGAAGCTCCAAGCTCACCATATTTCTCCATCTAGCTCCAACCAATATAGAGAAGGATATGGAAGGTTATGATGAAATTTGGAAATACTCTGAAGTAAGGAAAAGCTTCTTACTTTAGCACTGAACTTCAATGCTAAAACTAGAAAAAAATCCATTTTTTGCAGGATCAAGGGAAATACTGGGATCTCCCAGTAAGAGAGAAAATCATAATCTCCAATGGTAAAAAAATTTCTGTATAATTACATATATATTATGTCAATCATCCTAGGTTGGCCTGTGTTAGACATACATGTATTTTTAGTTAGGATAAAGGTTTGCTTTACCTGAAATAATATTTTGGTCTTCAACTTTCAATTCATTGTTTCCTTTCAAAGACATGTCTAAAGACTGATTCTTATAACAAGGGTCTGCAGAATGATTTTTCTTCAATATTTGATTATTGTTGAAATTTTGTAAAAAATCTCTTTGGTCCACAGGAGAAGAAACATGAGATGTACTGTCCCAATCAGTGTTGCCTCTACTGTGACATAGTGGAAAATAAGGGATAGGAGACAAACAAACCGATCCAGCATAGTTCTGGGTTCCTTCATCTTTGGTTGCAGGAAAGCCTTTCATTTAAACACAAAATGACATGTACTAAATTGATTTGTGGAAAACTGGAACATTCACCTTTTCTATTCCTTTCTGCATCTGCTATTTATGGTCAAGGAAAGCCTAAAACACTTAATACTTTGAAGTTTTACAGATATATTTTTTGAACTAATTGTATAGTTAAAGAGCTTAGAAGAATTAGCCTGACAATCTTGGGCTGAGAATTTTTTGCATTTTCATTCATGTGTCTCTTACCCTTATTTTTAAAAAATATTTTCAAAAATACAAATATATCATTTTCCTATAGTCAAAACTAATATTGGACCATGTGAATCGTATTTATTTTAGAATTCTTGAAACAGCTCAGTCATTGATTTGCTTTACAAAGCTTCATAAGTCTCCTGTTTTTACAGCCTTCTTAGTGTTTAAAATGGGTGTCAAATTTTCCACTCCTATTTAAAAAGAAGATCTACAGGTAGTCCTTGACTAATGACTGTTCATGTAAAGTTACAATGGCCTTGGAAAAGGTGACTTATGACCTGTACTTACACTTACAATTGTTGCACCAACTCTGCGGCCACATGATTGCAATCTGAGTGCTTGCAATTTATGACCAGTTGCACCTTCCTACTATCAAGCAATTATCACAATTTGCAATCTTTTTTGCTGATATTTGGCAAAAAGCATCCATTGGGGATGTAGGGTACATTTAACAGCTTTGTGATTCACTTAACAGCATGATTTTCTTAAAAACTGTGGTGATTTGTTTAACGGCCACTGTAAAAATTGTCATAAAATCAGATCCAACTCAATTTACAATCATGACTTACAACAGAAATTCCGCTCCCAATTGTGAACGTAAGTCAAGGACTACCTGCATTGTGATTTTATAAGAAGGGTATGTTTTAAAAACATGAATTCTATGCGTGAAATGCAATCTGAAAATTCAAATTTCCAGAATTTGTTATGTTTAAAACAGGAGGGTCTTAAAAGTAGCAGCCATAAAATGTCTCTCTAATCAAGGTTTTGGAGAAGGGCCAAAGTATGTTTAAGCAATTATATAGTAAAAAGAGAATTATGTCACATATTTATACACGTATGAAGATGTATGAAAAAAAGAGGTGTCAGCATCCATCTTCAAAAAATCTTTAGCAAGATTCATATTTCTTAATTTAGATGATTACTGATTAGCTAGATAGCAAGAAAAGTAGATTTTACCGGCTATCTCAAAGCACTTAAAAGAATATGTAAAATGAATGTCTATTATAGATGTTAAAATTAGGTCATTACTCACTCACCAGTGTGTTCCTGCTGCTCAGCAACCAGGGAAAGTAAGTTTTGTTGCTCTTCCATTAATCTCTGAATTTGCTCCATTTGCTGCCTTCTCAAAAGTTCCTTCTTGTGGTGTTGCAATTCTTTCAGCTTTTTGAGTATAATTAGACAGATTTATTCTTAGACCTTATGCATTAGACTAATTAGCTGATACAGTTAAGTGAAACAGTTTTCAGAAGAATAAGAATATACTTTAAAGCATTTCTAGCATTGAAGACTAAGTACAAGTACCATCTGATTCTTATAATTTGTACATTAGAGTCTGGCATTAAAAGAGGTAAGAAAATATGTATTTGTTATTGGTTGATAAGTACCACACTGAAATTCAAATGAAACTATAACATTTCTCCTCAGATCTGGCAAGAGTAGAGAAACCATAACAACAGATATAGAAATGGTTTCATGAAAGCTTCCTGGGCAAAAGGATAGTTATGTACTTAATTTTCACAAGGAAGAATATTTTTAATTTGTCTAAAAATATACATAGTCATCTTAGTGTTTTTTTACCTGTTCCAGCTTTTGTAATAGTAATTCAGTGCAGCATCCTTCATCCAGATCATCTAATTGATCAGAACCAGGCTTAGTTTCAGTGGAGGTCAACTGAGCTGGGACATCTTTAACCATTGATGTTTGCTCCTTGTTAGAAGCTGAAGTTGAAAAAAGTATCTTGGAGGAATTCACTTTTTCCTCAAAAGAACTTTTAGGGTCCAGTATTTGCTCTTTGTGCATAGTGTTTTCACTTGGAGAAATGCTACTTGATCTATATACCAAATTAATACCATGATCTGATGAGACACTTTCAGTACTGATTGCTCTGGTGGTTTTCAAACCAGGGACAGTAGGATTTAGTATGACTCCAGCACGGGCAGCATTAGACATCCAGTGCGAAATCAAGTTTTCCTCCCAATTCAGATCTGTGGATGTGGCCATCTGGAAAAGTAAAACAGTCCAATCTTAAATAATCTTATTTCTGGAGAGTTTGAGAAATCCAATGCCTCACTTTAGTTCCTGAACAATTTAAAAAAGAAAACAAGAACATAATTCACATATAGTGCTCGACATGATGGCAGTTGAGACTGGAATTTCTGTCACTAAATGATAGGGTTGTAAAGCTTGACGGCAATCTTGTAGTCCCAATTGTCATCCTTCACTGAATACCTCAGTGGTTAGGAAAGGCAATTTCCAGCTAGCTTCCCATAATCAAAGTCAGTGGGAAATCTGGCCGGATGTTACATGTCCCAGGCCGACAGCCAGACAAATGGCTTCTGCCAGGCAAGGGAGTGAGTGGGGTGAAGCATAGAGCTGTGAGGGAGGGTCAGGGAGGGTGCACAAAAGAGAGAATTCTATCTCTATTTGTATTTATTGAATACCAAGACAGGTACTTTTTTATTCACTTATTTTATTCACTTTGTAATAGTATTATTTTTCTGTGTTCAGAACACACATTAAACCCAAAGGTGATATAATGATGTTTGTGTGCAAATTCTTTGTTGTATCAGTATTCAGCAAGAAATTGTGCAAATTATAGTTGGTAATTCTTGAGGTAGGATGGGGTTTTGGTGATTTATCTAAAACATGCATGTGGATTCAGCATAACCTGCTCCATTTTAGAAAGAAAACAAAAGAAGCTTACTGAAGGATCTGGATCATTACCACAACTACTAGAGAAAAAAAGACAGGAAAAGACTAGTTGATTATAGAGCAATTTTAAATTAAGATGAAGGATGTTATATAAATCCTTATACTGCTAAAGTTGAACTATTTAGAGGATGTTTATTTCCATATAATTGTCTCCATCATAGATATGCTGATTATCAACACACAATTGTACATTTTCTGTATCTGGGCTGATTCTTTCAAACAAATTACAATGCAGTTGAAGCAAGTGTTAATTTATTAGAGTTTATGAGGAGCTAAAATATATTCATTCACCCAGGTCCTTTTAATGCTTTAGTTTAATTGTTTCATAAGCTGCTTTCAACTGTTAGAGCAGCAGAATAGCTTGAATTTATTTATTTATTTTATTTATGAGACTTATATACCGCTTTAAATGCAAGCACTCTCTAAGCGGTGTACACCAGTAAGCAATGTATATATATATATTTACATTGCCCCCAACAATCTGGGTCCTCATTTTACCTACCCCGGAAGGATGGAAGGCTGAGTCAACCTTGAGCCGGTGAGATTTGAACCGCTGACCTGCTGAACACAGCTAAAGTGGCCTGCAGTACTGCACTCTAACTGCTGCGCCACCTTACAGGCTTTCTGCAAGACCACCTTTCCCTAAAGACATCTACACATCCTACCATCCCGTCAGGGTGGGCATGCTCCTAGTCCCTTCCCACAAATATTGTCATCTAATGGAAACTAGAAAGCATGCCAGCAAGGCAGCCCGTCTTGCAGAACACCTTGTTCCCCAAAGTTCAGCAGGGCTCCACCCATTCATTCATTTATTAAATTTATTTGCTGCCTAATTCACCAGAGGATTATTCTAGGCCGTTTACAAAAATAAAAATGGAGAAATGAAAAGAAGTGTAAACGTAACAGTAATAAAGTAATGGAGCAATAGAATAAACAATGACAAAGAAAAACCTGACTTTTCTCCATGCTTTGGGAGAGGATTAGATGATGTTGTATTAACATGGATTGGCAAGGTTTTATTGTTTTAATATTTTAACTGGTTGTGCTTTACAGTTTTAAAAATGATTTTATATATCTTTTAATTTTTGATCGGGAACAAACCAGAGCTGCCTGAAAGATGACCAGCTATATCAATGTTTTAAACCAGGGGTCCCCAACCTGTGGGCTATGGCCCATTATTGGTTGGTGGCCTATTTGCAACCGGGCCACAAGCACTCTTGTCCCCATTCGCGCATCACAGGTGCTCTCGGCCTCACTCGCAAAAAGCAACAGGTGTTCGTGTGCGAACACGTGCCTGCCCCTCCCACAAAACCATCCCCTCTTTCCCCCCCCCTCAGGCCACCAACCGGGAACGGTTAGGGAACTCTATTTTAAACAAACAAATAAAATACTCTTCTAGACAGCCCATGAGGTTTAGAAATGACAGTCATCTTTCTCTTGAGTGGATATTTCATTAGACAGTAATGGAGAGAAGAAAAGTTAAGTACCTGGGCCTTCTATTATGGATGCCACAGGGTTAATACATTTGCTCCTCTTATTTTATATCTACAAGAAACCACAGAAAGATCGTTTGCTGACAAAAGTCAGGTATCATTTGTAAACTAATAAGGATTTTCCTATGTGAATGAAAGTAGCCATGTAGTGCCTCCTGGTGGTTGAAAATATCACACAGTAAATACAGTACACTGATTTTGTTCCCCACCCCACCCCAAGAAGGAAATGTGGAATTCGTGACATAGGGAATGACATAATGTAAGATCAGTATTTTTTTTTCATAGGGAAAGAGGACTTCTATATAATACTTTGGTAAACTAATTCTCAGTGGAACATCATGACTGCAGGCCAAACAAGAGATGCAGTTGTTTTTCCTGATGCCTGGAAGCTACTAGGGTGTGGATAGGGACAAACACTTAGTCTCAAGGCAGAATTACTTTGTGCATGAAAGCCTTCTGAGACCAAAGACCATCTTAATTAGTCTTAATTTAGCAAAAGTAGATTGTAATCCACAGTTCTTGTTCAAAAACCAGGTACTGTGCAAGGACCTGTACACAGAGCTTTTTTAGATTAGGACACCCTGCTCACTGTCACTCTGATTTGGACTACTGCAATATATTCCACATTGATTGCCCCTGAAGATTAACCTGAAGCTTCAGCTGGTCCAGAAGCTGAGTAGTTAGGGGTGCCAGTCATTTTGGTCCATTTAACACTATTATATTAACAGCTACATTAGATGCAATTTGAGGCAAGGATTGTCACCTATAATACTTGACTATTTTCAGAACCACATATTCCCAGCAGCTTTGCTATATGTTTTAAGATTTGGAAGCTAGAGTTTTTTCTGGGTCCTTATATCTAGAAAGTCATTTGTAGGGACTATCAGACAAGGCCTTCTCAGTCACTGTCCTTACCTTTCTTTGGAATTATATCTCCCAGAGACCAGATTGTTTTCAAAAACTCCATCTGATGTACTATATACAAATAGGAGAACTGTTTGCATTTGAACAGGTTGTTCCCTAGTACTTAGAATAATTAGATATAATTTTTTTAAATTAAGTTTTATTTATGTTACTTATGTAAGCTACTCAGAATCATATAAACCAAGAAAAATAAACAAATACATAGTCATGTACTAACTAAATATTTTTCAGCTTATTGGACCATATTTGATCAGGCTAATTCGGAACTAAGCTTCTTCTTTTGATGGGAAATACAATTTTATGATAATTAAGTGATCAATGTTTTAAAATCTATTTATGCTTGTGTTTTTTTATTTGGCTACCAAATTTATTTATTTACAATATCTTAATGCCATCCAATCTTTCAGTTCTAGATGGATTACAATTTAAAAAATACAAAAAAATCTATAAAACATATACCCAAAATATGAAAATATGACCAATCTCGCATGATAGACAAGTAATCCATATTGCTGTCTTATTGGTGTGAGATCAGTTTTTGCATTTCACAATTACCTTGACAGAATTCAACAGAACTTTGTTCCACCTTCTGATTTAGACAGCATTCATAAACTAAAAATATTTTCTGTGTTGATTCTGACAATATTTTTATTTATAAATCTCCAAAGTTTGCAGTATCTTTTCCCCCTTTTTATTATGTTGTTATAAAGTTGTTTATTGTTAGGTATCATTTTAATAGTGATGTTTATATAATTAAAGATAATTAACATTCTACTATTTAGATAGTTTAGAGAAGAAAAAGAATTCTATTAACATTATTTACAGCTTAGGATGTCAATGATGCAAGCATAAAATTATTTGATTTTTTCATCCAAAGTTGAGAATAATAATAATGATGATGATGATGATGATGTTGGAAGAGACCTTGGAGGTCATGTAGTGCAACCAATAATATTCCAATAACATTGAAAAAACATTACATCAAAGTATTTGTTTTATAATAGATGGTTTAATCTTAAACTAATTACTTAATATTAAAAGTAATATTACTAGTGTACTGTTGATTATGTGCCATTAAGTCATTTTTGACTCCTTAGCAACTAGATATTCCTCATCATGACCTATCCTTAACCTACTCTGTCAAGTCTCTCAGTGTTGCATACACTGTAACTGAGTCCTTGTTAAAAATTATTAATAATTGTCAACTGTTTTGTGTGTATACACACAGTACATGTTAATTAAAGGAAAAATAAAGTGTTCAGCTTTAGCAGTATAATAAGAATTAAATATCGAACAAGTAGAAAAAAAAGGAAATTTTTAAAAAGAACTATTGGATTTGATTCCATCATTTTTATACTTCTGATAATTTGCATGTTTTAACATAGAAAGATGAAATACAAGTGTCATCCCAAAAGTTTGATATGCACCCAAATAAATCATAAGCCCTTTAAACTCTGGCGTCTCTAAGGACAATGGAGTCCCAACTCCAAGAATTCTCCAGATAAGATTATATTCCTCATATATTTGGATGGCAGCACTGCAGACGTCCCGAACTCTATCTGACTTAGTGTAACAGGGATGGTGCCAAAGACGCCAGTATGTTCATTTAGGTAACCTTGGGGCCCTTTTGACTTCTTAATAAAAACTCTTAATCATCTGGTGTGACAACGAGAGAAGGCAGACAGGAAGCAAATACAACGAGACGGCGGGGCTTATCGCCCAGAGCGGGCCTAAGGTGGGCTAGAGATCCGTTTTCCTCAAATCCTGAACATAAATATATCTTATTTAAGACAGAAAAAGAAAAACAGACTACAACAGCCTCCATCTCTTGCCTCTCAGTCTCCTCACTCACCTCGCTCTACGTCCAACCTCTTTCAGCACAAAGCGCCGACAGTCAGATCCTTTACAGTACAAACCTACCGCCACCTTCGAAGCAATCAGCGCCACAGGCTGAAGAATAGGGAGCGCAAGGCTTTCTGGGAGTCGTAGTTCTCTGCCGGTAAGGTCACCGTTCTACGAAGCAGGCCAGCTGCCATGTAAATGACTACAATTCCCAAGAAGTTTCGGAAAATATTACTTGGCGTCATGGCTCTTGGCTGAACTTAATGGCAGTTAAAGGGAGGGGTGAGGTCCCTTTTTTTGAAGGAAAGACTAGCTCTAGGTATACACTACTGTAACCATCATCACCGCCGCAACAATATTAAATATTAAAGTGAGGAAATAATTTTAATATGTAATGTAAAAGTTAAAAATGATTTTAAAAAGTACAGAAAAATATTGTGGTAATCTGGCAGGATGAAAATAAGTTCTGTGTTGCCTTCAAGCTCAGAGAGCACCAAGGACATCATCATCATCATCATCATCAAGTTGGAAGGGACCTTGGAGGTCATCTAGTCCAACCCCCTGCTCAGGCAGGAAACCCTATACTATTTCAGACAAATGGCTGTCCAGTTTCTTCTTTAAAATGTCCAGTGTTGGAGCATTCACCGCTTTTGGCAGCAGGTTGTTCCACTGGTTAATTGTTCTGTCAGGAAGTTTCTTCTTAGTTCTAGGTTGCTTCTCTCTTTGGTTAGTTTCCATCCGTTGCTTCTCGTCCTGCCTTCAGGTGCTTTGGAGAATAGCTTGACACCCTCTTCTTTGTGGCAGCCCCTGAGATATTGGAACACTGCTATCATGTCCTCCCTTGTCCTTCTCTTCATTAAACTAGACATACCCAATTCCAGCAACCATTTCTTATATGTTTTAGCCTCCAGTCCCCTAATCATCTTTGTTGCTCTTTTCTGTACTCTTTCTAGAGTCTCAACATCTTTTTTACATTGTGGTGACCAAAACTGGATGCAATATTCCAAGTGTGGCCTTACCAAGGCATTGTAAAGTGGTATTAATACTTTGTGTGATCTTGATTCTATCCCTCTGTTAATGCAGCCTAGCATTGTGTTGGCTTTTTTGGCAGTTGCAGCACACTGCTGGCTCATATTTAAATGATTGTCCACTAGGACTCCGAGATCCCTCCCACAGTTACTACTATTGAGCAAGGTAGCCCCTATAATAACATCTCAGATTTTTTAAAAAAAAAAACTTCATGGGAATGAAGGCCAACACAAACTAAAGAACAGACAGCTATGATTTATTTAAATAACACCAACAATAAAAATAATTCAGAAAAAGAAATATATATCGAAACTACAAAAAATATACAGCTATTTACATCTTAACAACAAACAAAACATAACAACAGAAAAATGGAAATGGAAAAATGGAAAACATGTCACAAATTACTCAAAAGTCAGGCAAATTTATATAAATAAATGAACCAGACATTTTATCTTTCTGTAGCATCACAATGTATAAAAACTCTACGGCATAAAAACAGTGGTGGACCTAAATATACCGTAAACTAAACAAGCTAGAGCTTAAGGCTTTACAGAATTTCAGATTTTCTTTTTTCAGTTTTTAGAATTTTACATGGCTTTTTATGTGTAATCTGAGAGAGATCCAGCAGAGAAAGGATAAATATGCAACCAGGAAATCATTTGAAAATAACATGTAATTTCACTTTCAATACCTTGTTCTTAAATGATTAAAATATGTGCATGAATGTACATTTTGGGGGGAAGCAACCCCAGGTGCTGTTTTCCGAAATGCCTCGGTGAGATCTTCTGGGGTAACTTTTGAACAAGGAACCGGCTGTGGCTGTCCAGGCTACCCGCCTCACTGCCTGCTCTGGGTTCCTGGCCCGGAAGGTAGCTGTTTTGGGGGGGGGGCTGGGGAGGACAAGCTGCCCCAGGTCTGCCGGGTCTCAGGGAGACAAGGTGGTCAGGCTGGCTCCCCTCAGCAGAAGCTGCGGCCCTGGAGCCTGAGAGCCGGTGTGCTGAAGAGGGCATCCAAGCAGGGGCTCCTCAAGCTTTCAAAACCAGGGAATTGTACCAAGACCTCATTCACATGGTCTTCTGGTTGCGGGTTAGGGCTACGGGTAAATGTATTGAAAAGCAGGATCTCAGTTGTGATACAAAGGCATCTGAGTTTCTCATCCAACGTTGCCCCTAGGAAGTCCATGTTTTAGTATGAAAGATCCTTCCTCAAGAAGAAGTGGGTTGAAGTTGGCCCCTCAAAGGCTTCTAGGATTGGCCACCCAGACGTTTCCCCCTCCCAGAAAACCATGAACTGAACTCAGACTTCTTTCCAAAGGATCAGGAGAAGCCCCCCCCCCATTCTTTATCTAATTGGAGAGGGGTCTGGGGCCTGCTGTGCAGATTATTTAGCCTCATACTCCTTGGGGACCTTTCTGCCACTCCTCATTTGGGTCTCTGTGTCTATCTGGCAGCCGGAAAATTGGCACAAGAGGGCATGACTTGTCTCAAGACTCTCGCTGTGAGGAGCCAGGTGGACAGCCGGAGGCACAAGGGCTCCTCATGCCAGGTTCTGCCCTGTTGCAGTGATAGGTACAAAGGGACGGGCAGCTCAGCAGAAAATCAGGCCAGGAGTTGGAAATGGATGCTGGACAGAGACGGGATAAGTTGAGGCTGAATCCCTTCTTGTTCATGCCTGGGAATGTTAGGGAGCCTCCCTGCCTTTGGGACGCCTGGAAGACTCTGCTGACCACTCTCATCTGAGGGGCCCCCAAAGAGATCCAGACCTCCAGGCTCTCTTTGTCTGACCTCAGCTTTAGGGTAGGACCTGGGTGGGTTTAGGGCCGAGAGGAGCTCCATGACTCAGCACGCACCTTACCACAGGGGAAAGGGAGGCCTGGCGCTAAGAAGCCATCTTCTTCCACCTTGCCTTTCCTCCTGAAAGACAGGTGGAACAGGCGGTTGGCAGATGAGACTCCCAGACGGGAGAGAATTGAGGATGGGGAGGGAGAGAGAGGGGGATGTGGTGGGGAGGGGGCTGGCTACCTGATGTGCCAGGTGTGTCAGCTGAACCCCACTTCTTTGTTGGTGAGACCAGAAGCTGAGGCGGAAGCCCTGCAGCCCCAGACCATCAGGAACAAAGAGCGCTGGAGTGAGGCTGAGGAGCAGTGAAGCCCCAGGGCTCCAAGCCAAGGCCCAGGGTGGCAGCAACGACCGCAAGGGTGGCGAGGCTGGTGGTGGTGAGACTGGAGGCTGCGCTCAAAGCTTCGGAGTGCCAGGGTGAGGCCGAGGGGCAGCAGCGATGAGACGGAGGGCCCGGCCCTGGTGAGGGCAGAGAGTCCGGCCGGAACAGGAGCCGAGAGCCGGAACTGGGCAGCCGAAGGAGCCGAGCATCTTGCGGGAGAGGAGGAGAGAGGAGAGGAGGTCGAAGCCAAAGGGGGAGCCAAATGGAGCCCAGCAGGGGCCTTGGGGCAGCGGAGACCCCCAGAGGCAGCGAGGCTGGTGGAGGTGGAGGGCAGGGCTGGAGGGCAGGGCTGGGCTGAGGGTCTCAGAGGCTGGCTGAAGCTCCTGGTCCTCCAGAGCCTGGTGGGGGCAGCAACTGGAGGGTGAGGCCAGGGCCCGGAGAGCCCCCAGGACTTGCTCCACAGAAGGCACGGTGGTCTTAGGTTCCCTAAGATGATGATGGGGATGATGGGAATGAAAATGATAGTATGCATTTAGTCTGATTCATGGAGATTCTCTGGGCCTCTCCACCCCTCCTATATCTTGTGCTACCTCTTTGAGTTGCTCTGTTGAGGAAGACTCAGAGCACCCATCAGAGCTGAGAAGGGATTTTCTCCAGGAACCAAACAAGATCTAATGTATCCCTGTCCTTGTCTAGAAGAGCAACAAAGATGATTGGGGGACTGGAGGAATTGGGTATGCCTAAGAAAACCAAGATCATGACATCCAGCCCTCTCAATTCCTGGCAAATAGATGGGGAAGAAATGGGGGTAGTGACAGATTTTATCTTCCTGGGCTCCAAGATCACCGCAGATGGGGACTGCAGCCAAGAAATTAGAGGACGCTTGCTCCTGGGGAGGAAAGCTATGGCAAATCTAGACAGCATACTAAAAAGCAGAGACATCACCCTGCCAACAAAAGTGTGTATAGTCAAGGCCATGGTTTTCCCAGTTGCAATGTATGGCTGTGAAAGTTGGATCATAAGAAAGGCCGAGCACCAAAGAATGGAGGCCTTTGAACTATGGTGCTGGAGAAGACTCCTGTGAGTCCCCTGGACTGCAAGGAGATCCAACCGGTCAGTCCTAGAGGAGATCAGCCCTGACTGCTCTTTAGAAGGCCAGATCCTGAAGTTGAAACTCAAGTACTTTGGCCACCTAATGAGAAGGAAGGACTCACTGGAGAAGAGCTTAATGCTGGGAAAGATTGAGGGCAAGAGAAGAAGGGGACAACAGAGAATGAGGTGGTTGGATGGAGTCACTGAAGCAGTAGGTGTGAGCTTAATTGGATTCCAGAAGATGGTAAAGGACAGGAAGGCCTGGAGGAACATTATCCATGGGGTCGTGATGGGTCGGACACGACTTTGCAACTAACAACAACAATTTAATGAAAAGAAGGATGATGGGCAACATGATAGCAGTCTTCCAGCATATCAGGGGCTGCCTCAAAGAAAGGGGGGGTCCACCTATTCCACAAAGCCCCTGAAGGCAGGAGAAGAAGCAATGGGTGGAAACTCATCAAGGAGAGAAGCAACCTAGAACTAAGGAGGAATTTCCTGACAGTTAGAACAATTAATCAGTGGAACGGAAGTTGCCTCCAGACGTTGTGGGTGCTCCAACACTGGAGGTGTCAGTCTGCAGCGCCAGTGGGGCTCTCCAGGTCCCGGCCTCACCCTCCAGTTGCTGCCCCCACCAGGCTCTGGAGAAGCAGGAACTTTGGCCAGCCTCTGAGACCCTCGGCCCAGCCCTGCCCTCCAGCCCTGGCCTCCACCTCCACCAACCTCGCTGCCTCTGTGGGTCTCCGCTGCCGGGTTCCATTCGGCTCCCCCTTTGGCTTTGAACTGCTCTCCTCTCTCGTTCTCTCCTGTAGGATGCTCGACTCCTTCGGCTGCTCGGCTCCTTCGGCTGCCCAGTTCCGGCTCTTGGCTCCTGTTCTGGCCGGAGTCTCTGCCCTTACGAGGGCCGGGCCCTCCGCCTCACTGCCGCTGCCCCTCAGCCTCACCCTGGCACTCCGAAGCTTTGAGCGCAGCCTCCGATCTCACCACCACCAGCCTCGCCACCCTTGCGGTCATTGCCGCCACCCTGGGTCTCGGCTGAGAGCTCTGTGGCTTCTCTGCTCCTCAGTCTCACTCTGGTGCTTCTCATCACTCTGGGGCCATCAGACCCCCAGCTCAGCCTCCAGTCTTACCACCAGTGGTCCTGTGGTGGTCTCTAAAGTGGGGCAAGGCTGGTGGTTCACCTGGTAGGTGTAGGATTCACCTGTCACCAGGCATACTAGATAGCTGGTCAAAGGAAGAGAGGGATGAATTTTGTTTCTCAAAAGGGTAGGAGGCCATCACTTCTGAAGTCCAGATACGGGGATAAAGTGCAGGTGAGTTCTTCTAGGTGCTGGTGGCTAAGGACTACCAGGAGCATTTCGGCAATGAAGTATGGATTGCAGAAACGGGTGTAGGCCAAAACCAGTCCAAGGAAGAGAAAGCAACCAAAGAGCAGCATGAAGAGGATTTTGGCTGCCACCCACCACCAGTCCAGAATCTTCCTGGTCTTTGAGCTGCTTCCGGCCACCTCCCTCAGCTTGGCCTCCGCTATTTCCGGGAGCAGCCAGCCCTTCGGCATCTGGTCTTCCTGGGCCATCTTCAAGAATATGGCCTGCTGCAGACAGAGCTCTTGATCCTCCTGCAGATCTTTGACCCGGTTCCTCCTGGTTTCTCTGAGCCTCTGAAGAGCGATGACTTTTTCCTTCAGTTGGCTGGAGTGGCTTTTCTCCAGGAGGAAGTTGTGCTCTGTCTCAGCCAGGTCATCCTCCATACTCCGGATGACCTTTTCAGCTTCTGATACCAGGCCGTGCATCTCTTCAAGGTCCTTCTCAGAAGCAGCCTCGCCATCCTTGAAGGAGGCTACTTGGCTGGTGACCTCGTGCATTTCCTCATCGAGTTCTTCATTGTGCTTCATCAGATACCTCTTCTGCAGTTCTGACTGATGGATCTCCGTGTTGGTGTGGTCCAACCTTCTGGTGATGTCCTCCAGAGATCTGTGCATGGTGTTCTTGTAGTGATCCGCTCTCTCTTGAAGAACTTTCTGCTGCTCTTTCATGAGTTGTTTCGCTTTGAGCAATTCCTGGTTCTGAGATTCAGACCTGGCTAAGGTCTCTCGCAGTTCCTCCATCTGCAGGCAGAGAGCTTTGTTGGTGGCTGAGACTTCATCCAGGGACATCATCCACATTTCTCCCACCATGTTGTCCTGTTTGAAAAATGGAGAGACACAGTCACATCCTCTGCTCAGCTCAGGGGGGGAGATTTTGCTGCCCTTCTCCAGTCTGGCTCTTCCCTAAAGTTTTGGAATTCACCATCTTTGGCTAGCATGAGAGAACATGGGAGTTAGGAACCCACCGACACATCTGCAGAGTGGTCTCCTGCAGAAGGAGGAGGTCTACACTGACCACTTGATGCCCCAAATATTATTTTTCAAAAAGACAATTGGACTTTCTTGTTTTTTTTTCTTTGAAAACATCTTGCTTCTCATCCCAGAAGCTTCTTCAGTTCTGGCTGAATGGTGACAAAAGGAAGTCAGTTAGAACTGAAGAAGCTTATGGGATGAGAAGTGAAATGTTTTCAAAGAAAAACACCAAGAAAATCCAGTTGCCTCTTGGAAAAGGACCTTTTAGGACAACCGTGACCTGAATGATTGAAAATTTCTGTAGACCAGGGCTTCTCAACCTTAGCAACTTTAAGATATGGCCGGCTGGGGAATTCTGGGAGTTGAAGTCCACATATCTTCAAGTTGCTGAGGTTGCAAAACACTGCCACAGACAATCACTTTATGCATCACATACATAAAGAGCCAAAAGCAAACACAACTAGTAGATTCACCAAGTGGGTCTGATTTTACTCAGATGTGATGACCTCTCAAGCCACAAAGGACCAGGCTCAAATGATCATTTTGGGGGCATCTCTGAAGAAGTTGATAATGCTGGGAAAGGGGAGGAGGAGACGACCATCGCTGGCAAGGTGGGTGGATGTGATTACAGTGGTGATGGGAGCATTGTTAGAAGACCCGAAGGACTAGACTGGGGACAGATCATCCAGGATAAAATCTACCCCGGTGGTCACTAAGAATCCACATGCATTTGATGGTGCACAATCAGTCAATCAATGCAGACCAAACTCCCTGGAGAAGTCAGTAATCTTGCAAAGGTGGAAAGAAAGAAGAGGAGGAGACCCTCTCAAGCAGAATAACAGAATTAAGAGTTGTAAGGCACCTTGGAGGTCTTCTAGTCCAACCCCCTGCTCAGCTTGGAAACCCTACACCAGGGGTAGGCAACCTTGGCTCTTTTATGACTCATGGACTTCAACTCCCAGAATTACTGAGCCAGCCATGCTGAGGAGAAAGGGAGAGGTTTCCAAGCTGAGCCATGCTGGCTCAGGAATTCTGGGAGTTGAAGTCCATGAGTCATAAAAGAGCCAAGATTGCCTACCCCTGTACTTACACCATTTTAGACAAATGGCTATCCAATCTCTTCTTAAAAACTTCCCATGTTGGAGCACCCACAATTTCTGGAGGCAGGTTGTCCCACTGCTTGATTGTCCTGTCAGGAAATTTCTCCTTAGTTCCAGGTTGCTTCTCTCCTTGATAAGTTTCCACCCAGGTTGACCCCCCCTTCTCTCTGTGGCAGCCCTTCAAATATTGGAAGACTGCTATCATGTCATCCCTGGTCCTCCTTTTCACCAGATTTGACGTACCCAATTCCTGCAACTGTTCTTCATATGTTTTAGCCTCCAGCCACCTAAGCAATTGAAGGAATGAGAGGTGCAGTTTGGGAGACCTGAAGGACCAGGTTGGGGACACATCTGGAAAGGTCACTATTGGTGGTCACATGACCCCTGTGTTGGGGTAAATACATATAGCTGCCAAGGGGAGGCTGCAACGGTCAAAAGTGTGAGAACTTTTTTCCAAGCTACTTTCTTCAGTAACTGAGCAAATGGTTATAAGTCAAGGATTACCTATAATTAGGTAGTTAGTGTTTCAATATCTGAGGGGCTGCCCCAAAGAAGAAGAGGGGAGTCCACCTACACTCCAAAGCCCCTGAGGGAATGACAAGAAGCAACGGATGGAAACTCATCAAGGAGAGAAGCAACCTGGAACTAAGGAGAAACTTCCTGGCAGTGAGGACAATTAATCAGTGGAACGACTTGCCTCCAGAAGTTGTAACTTTGGAAATTTTAAAGAGGAGACTGGACAGCCACTTATCTGAAGTGGTACAGAGTCTCCTGCTTGAATAGGGGTTGGACTAGAAGACCTCCAAGGTCCCTTCCATTTCTGTTATTCTGTTATTCTTTCTTTAGCCCGCATCCCCACCAGCTGGAGACATGTACCTTTGACCTGGAGGATGAGGAGATTTGGTCATAGGTGTGGAGGCTGCAATCAGAACAGGTAGGAGCACTTCTCTGCTCTGGTGCTGACCCCATTTTTCCAATCTCACCCCCTCATTCTGTCTCAAGGTGAAGTGTCCATTCCTCTTAAGAAGTACCTCTTTGCTCCCAATCTTTGGGTTGCAAATGAGGGAGATCCTTGTGCCAGATGAGGGAGATCCTCAGTGCCAGCTGTCCAGTCCGGTCGCTCTCCAGGGACTTTGAGCAGAGCATCCCAGCGCTCGGTCCAGATAAGTGACCTATGCTGGAATGTTTGACGTTTGCCATGGCAACCTCCAGCCAATGAGGTTAAGAGGAGCCTGTGATGTCACAAACCAGGGTTCTGTTTGGAGTTGAGATTTGAAAAACAACCATCAACTGGCCACTTTCACACCTGGCGGCCTGGTCTGCGAGCTGATTGGTCAGCTTTTAAGGGGCTTTTGCAAGCAAGCCCTGCAGGAGCCTCAACCAGGGCTGGTCCATCTGGATCACCTGGTTGCTGCTCTGGCTTGATGGAGCCATGGTTGGGACCAGCCGGTTGTGGCCAAGACCCACCTGGACACTGAAAGAGTCGGGTGCAAACCCTTTGCTCATAGGGAGTGTGAGTCTGGCTGGCCGGTTGTGGCTTTGCGACTCTGCTGAAGGACTGTGTCTGTGGGGCCATTCCTGGAAAAAGGGAAAGTGGCCTTTTGCTTAAGCCCTGGTCAAGAATGTCCAGGCAAAGGTCCGGAGACACAGAGCCCAACACGAGCAGGTTAAAAACATGCCCCCAGAGGCGGAGAAATTAGATAATTACAGGCAGTTCTCTTAGTGACCATTTAAAGTTATAGTGGCAAGGGAAAAACTGACTTATGACCATTACTGCATCTCCTTAATCACATGATCAAAATTCAAACGCTTGGCAGCTGACTCCTACTTATGACAGTTGCAGCGTCCCGGGGTCACATGATCCTCTTTTGTGACCTTCTGACAAGCAAAGTCAGTGGGGGAAGCCGGATTCAATTAACTATGTTGCTAACTTAATAAATGTTGTGATTCACTTAACATCTGTGCAAGAAAGGTTGTAAAGTGGGGCAAAACTCACTTAACAAGGATTTTGCTTAGCAACAGAAATTTTGGGCTCAGTTGTGGTCTTAAGCTGAGGACCCCCTGCAGTTGTAGCTTCTGGGTGGTCTTCAAGGGCGGTTCTATGCTCAGCACAATACAGCAATGTGGGATCCTCTGAGCTGGTGAAATGTCTGCAAGAAAACCACCCAGCTCAGAGAGCACCAAAGACCCCATGTTTTACTCCTAAGCTACAAAGATTCCTTTCCATCCGATACATCAGATGTCCCCAACCTTCTGGGCACCAGGGACCACCGGTTCCATGGAGAGAGGATATTCCGTGGACTTAAGGGTGTGTGGTTTTTTTTGTGCTGCCTGCATCTCACAGATGGGGCTTTGCTTGTTTGTGTGGACCGGTTGCTGGCATGCAGCGACCTAGTACCGGTTCACGGACCAGGGGTTGGGGACCCCTGCGATACATGACAATAGTTCAGCCATGGAAAATAAGTTTTGTTCCATACAGTATTAACCTTGTGACCTGACCCAGGTAATTCAGGATCCGACCCATAGGGGTGGTCACACACTCGACCTTGTGTTTCTCTCGGGGCAATGGAGACATGATCTGGAATTAAGGGGAATAGAGATCTCGCCCTTGTCATGGACAGATCATTTCCTATTGAGGCTGGACTTCAGAGCATCACCCCCCCATCGCAGGGAGAGGGAACCGACTAGGTGGTTCCGCCCCAGGCGCCTAATGGACCCAGATCGGTTCCAGGAGGAGCTTGGGGAAATACCTGACTCCCTTGTCCACAACTTGTCCGGGTCCCTGGTTGCGGCCTGGAATGAGGCGGCGTCCGGGGGCCTGGATCGAATTGCGCCTTTGCGACCTCTCTGTGGTGGTGGTCCCCGGAGGGCGCCTTGGTTTACTGAGGAGCTCCGGGAGATGAAGCGCCACAAGAGACGTCTAGAGTGACGTTGGAGGGCCAGTAACTCTGAATCTGACCGATCACTATTAAGAGCCTGTCTTAGGACTTATTTAGTGGCGATAAGAGCGGCAAAGCGTGTTCACTTTTCCGCACTTATTGCGTCCGCAGAATCTCACCCAGCCGCCTTGTTTAGGGTGACCCGCTCCCTTCTTAAAGTGGAGGAGGCGGAGGAACCCTTGCAGAGGATAGCTGAGGAGTTTGTTCAGTTTCTTTCGGACAAAATCGCTCAGATTCAGAGGGACCTGGACTCTGACTGGGCAGTGCCAGCCGAGTTGCCAGGGGCTGGTCTTAGTCATATTATCTGGAGTGAGTTTGAGCCTGTGACCCCTGATGAAGTGGACAAGGCTGTGACGGCAATGAATGCCGCCACCTGTTTATTGGACCTGTGCCCCTCCTGGCTGGTTTCGGCCAGTAGGGAGGTGACACGAGGCTGGCTCCAGGCGATAATTAATGCTTCTTTGATGGAGGGGTCTTTCCTGCAACCTTTAAAGGAAGCGGTGGTGAGGCCCCTCCTCAAGAAGCCTTCCCTGGACCCAGCTGTTTTGAAGAACTTTCGTCCCGTCTCCAACCTCCCCTTTGTGGGGAAGGTTGTAGAGAAGGTGGTGGCATTTCAACTCTTGCGATCCTTGGATGAAACCAATTATCTGGACCCTTTTCAATCTGGTTTCAGGCCCGGCTACAGCACTGAGACTGCTTTGGTCGCACTGACCGATGACCTCTGGTGAGCCCGGGATAGGGGTTATTCCTCTATCCTGGTGCTTCTTGACCTCTCAGCGGCTTTCAATACCATTGACCATGGTATCCTTCTCGTCGTCTCGGAGGGGTGGGGGTGGGCGGCACCGTATTGTGGTGGTTCTCCTCCTACCTCTCTGACAGGTCGCAGTCGGTGTTGGTGGACGGACAGAGATCGACCCCTAGGCGCCTCGATCATGGGGTGCCTCAGGGCTCGGTCCTGTCCCCCCTCCTGTTTAACATCTACATGAAACCGCTGGGTGAGATCATTTGGCGACACGGGGTGAGGTATCATCAGTACGCGGATGATACCCAATTGTATATCTCCACCCCGTGTCCTTTCAGTGAAGCAGTCGACGTGATGTGCCGCTGCCTGGAAGATGTGAGGGTCTGGATGGGGGTGAACAGGCTTAGACTCAACCCTGACAAGACCGAGTGGCTCTGGGTCTTGCCTCCCAAAGGCCAACTGGATGGTCCATCTTTAGTCCTGGGGGGGGCAAATTTACCTCCCTCAGTGCAGGCACGCAACTTGGGTGTCCTCCTGGACTCACAGCTAAATCTGTAACAACATCTATCGGCTGTGGCCAGGGGGACCTTTGCACAGGTTCGCCTAGTGCACCAGTTGCGGCCTTATTTGGACCGGGAGGCTTTACTCACAGTCACTCATGCCCTTGTCACCTCAAGACTGGATTACTGTAACGCGCTCTACATGGGGCTACCCTTGAAGAGCGTTTGGAGGCTGCAGTTGGTTCAGAACGCAGCCACGAGAGCGATTGTGGGCGCGCCAAGGTACGCCCACGTGTCACCTATCCTCCGCGAGCTGCACTGGCTACCTGTGGGTCTCCGGACGCAATTCAAGGTGTTGGTTATCACCTTTAAAGCCCTTCATGGCATAGGGCCAGGTTACTTACAGGACTGCATACTGCCCAGAGACCGGTGAGGTCCCATAGATTGGGCCTCCTTCAGGTCCCGTCGGCCAGACAATGTCGGCTGGCGGGCCCTCGGGGACGGGCCTTTTCTGTGGTGGCTCCGACCTGGTGGAATCAACTTCCCCCCGAGGTTCGAACTACTCCCACCTTGCCGGCCTTTAAGAAGGCCGTTAAAACCCTCCTGTTCCGGCAGGCCTGGGGCTGATGTCCCCGGGGGGCCGGGATATGATCGGACTCGCGGTATGACTGCTTTATTTTATTGTTTTATCATTGTTTTAACTTGTACGCCGCCCTGAGTCCTTTGGGATTGGGCGGCATATAAATACTATAATAAAATAAATAAATAAATAAACTCTACTATACCTGTACATTTGGTTTTTCTTGCCTAAATGTAGAACCTTACTTTTCTCACCATTGAATTTCATTTTGTTAGATAGCGCCCAGTGTTCAAGTCTGTCCAGATCCTCCTATACCCTAAGCCTGTCTTCTGGAGTGTTGGCTATTCCTGCCAGCTTGGTGTCGTCTGCAAATTTGATGAGTTCCCCATCTATCCCCTCATCCAGATCATTGATGAAGATGTTGAAGAGCACTGGGCCCAGAACAGAGCCCTGGGGCACTCCACTACACACTTCAAAAAATAATTTTGCTCTGTGGATAATGATGTTGCCTAAAATTTTAGACTTCATTATTAGCGTTTTAAAAGGTGACATGGCAGTCTAAACCTCTTTTTAACACAGTTAAACACAGGAAAACCCAGTGTTTTTTTTTTCTTTTTGGTCAATGCCAATTTCTTTTGCTTTGCGAGAATTTGGCATTTGGCCACTAAACAATTGAGATTGTATTCTGAAAGTCCTTGAATAGACTTGCAAGTTTTAAGAAACATACAAACCCAGCTGGAAAATAGTAATATAATCCATATTGGACAAGATGACCTCCAAGGTCCCTTCCAACTTTATTATTATTATTACTACATTTGCACTTGTGGAATGTTTTCTAGAATTAACGTTTTCTATTGTTCAAGTCTCACATGTAATCAATGTCTTTTGTTGTTTCATCACTTGCTTTCTGATGTATCACACATCCAAATATATGTATCATTTGTTTCTGTACCTATAAAAGGACTTGACCTCCCCTTAATAAATGCTTTTTGCTTTCCTGGTGATTTGTATTTGCCGATTGGGAAAGAAGACTCTTTTTGAAAAGTAAAAGTCTCAGAGTTGGGGATCAAGTTCTTATCAGTCCCATGCCAAACTGGGAGTGCCTAATTCTGGAAGCAACAGTCAGAATTGTAAACAATACAAAATAATACAAAACAAAATACAGTGACTATGGTTTTCCAAACAATATTACTTATTTAATTTGTATACTGCCTTTCTACCTGGCAAGTACAACCTTAGAATATTTTAAAAAGAGAACCAACTTGGTCTAATGGATAGGGCACTAGTCTAGAAAGCAGGAGACTGTGATTTCTAGTCCCACCGTAGACATGAAAACTGGCTGGATGACTTTGGACAAGTTATTCTTTCTCAGCCCAACTATTTCATAAGGTAGTTGTTGGGACAATAGAAGGAAGAAGCATTATATATGTTCACTGGCTTACGTTACTTATAAAGTAATAGAGGCATGATTAAAAAATGCAAATAAAAGTCTCACTCTGTGAATCATAAAATATAATGCAGAAGTGAGCCTTACTGAGAATCATGCTTTTGTTAGTTCAGGTTGCAATCTGCTATATATGCCTTTCAAATCTCCACAGCAAAACTACAGAGAATCATTAGATGGCAGCAGAGTTTTCTTTGTTTCTTTGCTGCCATCTCTTGGTCATCTGGATATTTGCAACTTAGATCTGGCAATTCTAATCTTTGAAGTCTGCTCAAAATGCAAACAATCAGCTATTTGTAATATTGTCAGAATACTGTTATTGTTTTTAATATTCAATTTCACAGATTGAAAGAAATTCAGTTTTATACTATTGTGGTGTTGGCATAATACAGAGAACCACAAATGTAGACAGCTGCATTTCAGCTTCTAGTATTGTTTGAAGTAAACGTAGGTCATGTTTATAGACCTGTGTGTCATACAAATCCAGAACTTGTGAGAATTACTTTATCAGGGTAATGTGTTAGTTTTATGAAGTATTTTACTATTGGCCAATCTCCATTTGTAGATCAATGCTTTCTTTAAATTATAAGATATACAAAGTCAAAAAGAAAAAAGGCACAGAGAAGAAATCATGAAATCTAAAATTGTTTACCAATGGCTGGATAAACAGGGTAGAGATTAGGATTTTAATATATATTATTAAGCTAGGACCCAGACAACACATTGTTTATTAAGCACTTATGAACTGTAAACATACAAAATTAATTTAAAAAATTAAAAAAAGAAATCTAAAAATTAAGCCAGATGATTCAGCCACATTTGACAGAGGGTTTCTTCTGCTAAATGCACACGGCTTTAGGAAATTCTTATGGACTACTTTTTAAGTTGCATTTTTCCTTCTACTAAACCTCACAAATTAGCTTCCATCTCAGGACCATATTTAATACAGCCAATTAAAGATGAAATTATCAGAGAATGGCTGCACTGACAAATGTGTCAGTTTTGCCACAAGTTTCTGTCCCCCCCCTCCCTTTGGTTTTATAAAATAGGAAAAATGAAATATCCATATAGCTCATGAGAGGGCGCACGCCTTCCTTTTTTTAAAATAGTTTGTTGTTGATTCGCAATCCGGAACAATTTTATTGTGGCTTTGCTTCCATAAAAGCTGGATATCAGCGCCCTCCCCTTCCCTTGAGGTAAGGAACCAGGAAGTCTTTGCTGAGCAATTGGAATAAAGCAGCCAGCAGGCAAGTAGCTTTTTATTTATTTTAAATTTCACTCTCGTTTGGATGTTCAGATGAATCCAGACAAGAGGGACGGTATTTTAACTGAATCTCCTCCTCATAATTTGCTGAAATGTAACGTGCTGTTTGATAATTTTGTTACTGTAGGACCCTGTGTCCACAATAGTGGAATGATAAGCAGCAATTTTACGGTACCAGGCACAGGAAAGTTCATGCAGAATGCATGCATGATCTGTAAGCGTTAAAGGAACTAATTAAGACTGGGAACACTACATAAAGTGAAAGGATCTTGTTCCCTTTCAGATCGTGTTGGTTTTTCTTCTAGCTAACTGCTAGAATCTCTCTTCAATAAACTATATGACCATGACAATCATGAATAAAAAGAATATGAATTTCTTTCATATTCTGATTAAGATGCACATCTGTATTGCTAAATAATATATATGCCTGTGACCACATTGAAAAAATACTGTATATACTGCAGTGTCACTGCAACAAATAAATTAAGAACCACAAAACTTACAATTAATTTCCCTAGAATCAACATTTATTTTACATCTAGATTATTATATATTTTCATGTTTGCATTAATCCACTACAGCTTTTGCAATAATTAAATCAGAATACCTATTTTCGCATAGCACTAATTTTTGTATACCTTTATATAACATAAATGTAATAATCTTATAATGAGCTTTGAATTGCTCTATTGTATATGCTGACACAGCCAAAAAAAATATCTCTCTACAAGATGACATTAAATTAAGTTTGGCTCAGGGCTTCATTGTGTGAAAAACACTGTTAAGTATATATTGGCGAAACACCCACTTCCCTTGCTTTTTTTGCTCCCCTTAAGTACTTTAGTTATGAATATGGCAACATGATAGTATTTTGTATGCTAACAAAGCATTGAGCTGGACAAAATTAAAACCATATGGTGTATTCATAGCATTACTTAAAGCAGGGCTTTTCAACCTTTTCACCCATCGTACCACTTTTAGGATATGGCAATATCCGAGTACCACCAGTCGCTTAGCAAGGTGTCAAAAACTTGATGACCCCCCCCCCCCAAAAAAAGGAAAAAAGTGATAAAGTACAGGTAGTCCTCGACTTACAACATTTCACTTAGTGACTGTTCAAAGTTACAATGCCACTGAAAAAATGCCCCCCAAGCCACACAGCTGAGCAAGACACCTGCCTGCCCACCCGGTGGCGCTCTTCCTCCTGTCCAAGGTTTTCATTGTTGTGAGCATTTCTGTTGAGGATTGGCAGCGGGGGTGGAGTGGGGGTGTTTGGTTTTTATTCCCCCCATCTGCTGGGTGGTTGCAGCAGGTTTTGGTCACTTCACATGACCCTGGGACACTGTGACCATCATAAATATGAATCAGTTGCCAAGTATCTGAATGTAAATCACAAGAGCCTGGAGATGCTGCAACATTCCAGTTGATTGGCGCTTCTTCTGGGCTCAGCAGACGCGCCAGGATCAGCACCGAGCTCCAGCTGGAGCCTGGCGCTGATCCTGGTGCTTCCACTGAGCCCTGACAGCCCCGAAGAAGCGCTGATCCTGGCGCTTCTACTGAGCCCTGACAGTCCTGCAGCTCCAGCCATCTCTTGCTCAGGCTTGTGCGGTGCTGCCACCTGTTCAGCTCATTCCCCTCCCCTGCTACCACTTTTCTAGGATGATCGCGTACCACCTGCTAGGTGCCCATGTACCACAGGTGATACCTGTACCACTGGTTGAAAAGCCCTGACTTAAAGTATTCCTTAAAGTATATTCTGGGATATGTTCACCTACAGTGTTTTCTCCTTCAGATAGCAACCCTAAAAACCCTATATTTACCTTAAAGTACAGTGTTCTGTTCATTATGACTTCTGAATAGATAAGATATGCTTTCAAAAATACTATAGAATTTCTATGATTACTCAAAAATAAGTGTCAGTAGAATTAGTAGTGATTGGTCTCCTAGGCATTGTGCTGATGAAACTTAGAACATTTGAAAATCTGAGAAATAACTGAATTCTGAAAATGGGAAATTCATTGTGTACGACTCACACTTATGGAACTTTGTCCTAAGGTGTGTGATGTTTGCTCTTATTAATCAGATTTTAAATGACTTTTGAAATCCACTTCATTTCACTGTTGAAATGTACTGGATTTCCTATTGATATTGTTGCTAACTAATTCAGATTGCTTAAGTTGTAAGACATTCTCTTCTGGACTGTAGAATGCTTTAAACTGCTCCCCCCCCCCAATAATCTCAGTGCATAGATATTTGAGGAATTTAGATTTTAAATTTGCATATAAACGGATTTTTGGACATTGGACCTGAAATTGACAGAGACATATTAGAAATAGTGGTTTATTAAGTAGCAATATTGGGAAGGGAATATTATCTAGAAATTTAACGATCTAATATTTATTAATTTCCCTTACAATTTTGTTTTCTAAACTAAAGCTTTTCTGTTGGATTCATATATGACACAAAGCTGAAAAGAACCAGATTATATAACTCATTGTCTTATTCAAATTTGTTGTTGTGTTTAATTCAATAAACTATAGATAATCCTAATTTATCCCAGAGTGTAAACCAACCTCTATTTTAATGTATTTTCGCATTTTCTTTTGTTCTTTTATGTGTTATTGTTATGTTTAAACTTATTCTTTGACTCTCTGGAAATGGGATCAATTTATTCATTTTTTTTATTCCTCCTGCCTGCTAGTAAGATGCAAATCTTTATGTAACAAAGGAATCTGAAAAGTAAAAACTAACATCAAACCATGATAACAGTCTAGGCTAAAAAACTAATACAGTAAACAAACCAGTAAATAGAGCATGTGCTTTGAATGCAGAAACTCACAGTTTCAGTCCTTTGCATCTTCATGTAGGAGTGAAAAAAAATGGATTAAAACTAGTCACGCCATCCTGCCAACTAATTTAACAATTAACAATTATTCTAATCAATTTTCCTTTACATACTGAACCTTTAGATCAAATCAAGTTCTCCCCAACTGTGTGTTAATAATGCTACCAGCCAGCTGGATTCCACTCTCTTATTCTCTCACTGCAGATGGGGAGTCTTCACCAATTTTCAGCTGTAACCTGGAGAATATATTGTAAAAGTATCTCTAAAATCTGGTTTTGAGTCTGCTGAGTTGGTCAGTTTCTTATCTGACTTCAGAATGGCTCCTGGAACATCTCAGAATAAGTCCCAGTGGCTGAACAGTTTATTTAACAAAGGAATCTGAAAAGTAAAACTATAAAGATATAAAAAACTAACATCAAACCATGATAATAGTCTAGGCTAATTAGAACATTTTTTTCTAATGTTCAGAGGGTGACAGAATTAACCATTTCTATTCATTATGTAACATTGTGGTAATTGTTGCAAGTATTTTATGCATCTGGTTGAACTTGAATTCAGATGTTTATTCATTGACTATAATTAATGATGATCATGTAGCCAGCCATATTGTAAACATATATTGAGTAAATATTGAAGCATTGCAAATCAGGTTAGCATTGCAATTCCAAATCATCATGGCCCTAAGTAATAATAAAAAAAATCCTTGCTGGAACTATTCTAATTTGAAATTTGCTTTGCAGGATGACAATTGCAACTTTTGCCAGGTGCATATTCTTTCTGAGAATCAAAAAGTTAACAATTCTAGAAAAGAACAGACTGAAGAAGTCCATTAAGGAAAATGGTGGGCAGATTGCATTTGGATTAAATCAAGAGGTATGTTTAGCCATACTTCTTTGGATCTTTGGTAGGGAGAACAGCAAACTCAAGAAAGGAATTTCGGGGTAGAATGAAATACAATTGGATAAATGAAAAAAATATTTACTTCAATGAATGATAAACATGACTGATTAAGTTTGGGTCCTATGTCTTCTATATGTAAGAGAGTAGATTTTATATCACAGATGTTAACTTACTCCTTCTGGGATGTCATGTTACAGAAATGAAGGAAATTGAATTTTTGTAGGAGTTAAATAGGAAATGTAAAATCTCTTTGTATTCTATCTATTATGAGAAAAGTTTCTTTAAAAAATTATTAACACTATGAATTAGATTAACTGTTTGTGTTTTAATACACATTTTTAAATAAGAATCTCTATTAGAAAAGCTGCAATTTAAGATATATGTTTTTTTTTTGAGATTTATTTTGTAAATAAATTCCTCCTGAGATTAGGGAGAAGAAAACAAACTTGAATCACTTAAATGCCTTAGTAAGAAACCTTCAAATATGATTCAAAGAGAGAATTTACTTTTTTCCAAGAAGTAGATAGGTAAAGAGATGCATTAAAATTATATAAATGATTAAACAGATTGTCAATGAGAAAGAAAGCAATTAAAAGTGATCAAATGTATGTTCAGTTATTTAAAAACAACTGGAACCTGGTTTTGTAGAAGCATGGATCAGTAAGAGTAATGCTTCATGTGATGAATTGGTCCCTAATGTAATTTTAGTGCACTCATGTTGTCACTGATGATGCTGATGCACTCAGCCCCAGTCATCTGAAAACCATCCAGAAGTATGAACTGCCTATAGTAAATGTTGATTTCATATGGGAGTCAATCAAAGAAAGAAGACTTCTACAATGTGAGAACTATGAGCTATCCCAATCAGTGCCCTGTGAAACAGGTAAGGAAGTTTCTTTTGGATTAGATATATTTTATTCAAAAGAATTTCCATCTATAACAGTAACCTAAAAGTACTGAACTATGTGGCAGATAGGTAATTTTCTCCCCATTACTGTATATGAAGATATAGCATTTAGACTTATATATTGCTTCACATTGCTTTAGAGCCCTCTCTAAGCAGTTTACAGAGTCAGCATATTGCCCCCAACAATCTGGGTCCTCATTTTACCAACCTCAGAAGGATGGAAGGCTGAGTCAAACTTGAGCCACTCAGAATCGAACTGCTGGCAGCTGGCAGACAGCAGAATTAGCCTGCAGTACTGCATTCTAACCATTGTGCCACCACAGCTTATATGAAGTTAGAATTTCAGTAAAATCTTCCCAGTCTAAGACATTTTGCCACAAAAAGCAAAAGAAGCATCCTTCGTACTGCCACAGCAGCATCATAAGCACCCTATTCTCTCCTTGAAAGGTCCAAAATAACTTTAAATCAGAAAAAAAGTTGGTGTCCTTTGTTTCTGAGATGCTGCCTTACTCTGCCAGATGTTAAGATTGGCCCTGATAATCCATCTTCCTTAGGTTTTAGAGCAACTTCTGGTTATATTTCTTATACTCATTCAAGCTAATAAATATAAACATTGCATGACAAATAGGTACGGAGCCGACTTTAATGAATGGCGATGACAGCCCTAAGGAAAACGATGTTTCTGAGGAGAATCACAAGCATAAATGGGATGACAGCAGAAACTTAGAAAAACTAAGGTAAATCCTTTATGTATCATTTTGTTTAAAAACAAAACCAAGTTCTTCAAGGAAATCTTTTGGAGATAGAATTCAGTGCATTATATGAAGAATATTCTAGGGTCACTTTGTTGCATGCTCAATTAAGGCAACAAATTATAGGAATTGCCTTTATTTTGTCTCTACAAAAAGACAAAAGAGTTGCGAGTTCTCTGTTGCATTTGACTAGATAAATTCTATGTTTTTTCCTTTTGCAGAGGAGAGGCAAAATGACGGTATATTTATTGTTAAACTTTTTTTAGCAGCAAAAGGCCATATAAAGTGTAAGACTAATATGATGATGTCAGTGGAAGGGATGAGAATTAGAATTATTGTTATGTTTGTACCCAGTACACTCAAGATGTATTGGACTTCATGCTAGCTGGGGATCATGGATATTGAAGGAAAACAATGGAGGGTGTCAATTGGGTCATTAAATGTCTTCCCTCAGCCATTGTGAATATTCTGATAAGCTGACCAAAACTAAAAAGCTTTCCCCATATTATTATTATTGTTGTTGTTGCTAAGCTTGCATGTTGCCTGATTCCTAACAATTCTGGGAGTATTAAAGGACTATGATGTGTCTCTCCCCCTCCCCACTTACCTTGCATCACAATTATTATTTTGACAGACAGGGTTTTAAGAAGTGCAGGTAATTAGCTACAAAGCTGTCTTGAAGCCTAGTATGAGGACACCATGGAAATTCAGGGGCTTAATTGCTGTGGAGAATGGAGAGAACTAGAGACCCTGGAAGTGGAAATTGGTGTGAGATCTGGTCAGTAGAAACTGCCCTTTTCCTAGCTTGGCAGATCTCCTGTGTTCCCAGTCATAAATGGGAAGCTTACCACAGCCGAGCCTGAAGAAAATCAACTTCCCTGTCTAACCCTGATAACATGTAGTACAGTTTTGGAGAGTAGCACTATACTAGAGCCTCCTTTGGAAGTACACTCTGTCACTGGCTTTGGAAAAGTTAAATCTCATTATTTCTATTAGCCATCTGATTATTTCCAATGGTCTTAACCATATTCAGCAACGAATAAGACATTTTTTTGGTTCCAGATGGTATTCAGAGAATGATGAATATGTTCCATATTTTCCTAAAGAGTTTGAGCTTGCAAAATATGACATCCTTGAAAAGGTAATTTTTCTTTGTTATTGTACTTTCTAACATAATATACACATAAAAACAACTTATACAAATTATGTGTTTATTTGTACAGGAACACAAAGGTAAACTATACATGCATCGTTTACAATCTATAAATGTATTTCAAATATATTAAGCCACTGATTTTTGCTTGCCATTAAAACTATAGTTATTCTAGTTATTGCTGTAACTAGAAATTAGTTGTACCATCAACTAGGTAATTGTATAATAATTGCTGTATGAATAATTCCAAGAAGCATGATAAACAATCTGCATCTGGGAAACTAATAAATGAACAAAGAAATGTATACATAATATTCTTTTACATCTATTTTATATTCACTTAATATATTTGGATATGATTTAGCATTATACAAACAATCTACAAAAGGGTCCAACACTCATTCTGTCCTCCTTTAATAAAATTCCAGAGGTGACCAGAAACATCTATTTTCTACTTTAAATTAACTTCAGGTTGCTATGCTATTCTATGCAAACAAGGAATTTTCATTCATTATGATTAACAATACTTGATCAGTGGAAGCCAGAATCAAAAATAGTTCGTTCTTTCTGGATGTAAGAACAAATTACTGAAATTTTTTTTCACCACTGCATTTATCAGTCAGATTTTTAACAAAGCAATTGGAAAAGATAGCTTCCTATGGAAAGTTTCAAAGTAAGAAACATCCAAAAGTTGCCATCAAATATTTTTAATATGATAGAAAAATAAATACTTTAGGTATAATTACACTGACTGAATTTAACTAATATATTCAATATATCAATAAATTTTCTGGTTTAATTTTTGTCCTTAATTATATTGCTTTAGCCAAGTACATTTAATTATAATGCCTTTTTTTTCAGATTGCAGCACATGGTGAATATGTTGTTCTTGAAATGCAATGCTTTCAGCAGGAGTGCAGTTACCCATTTTGTATAAGAGCACATTACAGCATGCTGGAAGGACGCCCAGTACGTTTGGATGGCTTTTATGGATACATATTAGTTTCTTTGTCATCTTGAATGCTATTGAATGTTTATTGTTGTAGATTAAATCTTATATTGCTGTGTTGTTTTGGACTTTAAAGGACTAATAGTTTTAGTTATCAATATAGTTAAGTATAAATTTTAAAAAATCATATTACTGGTTATCCTAGTAAAGATAACCCTTGACATACAATCACAATTGAGCCCAATATTTCGCTTGCTAAGCAAGACAAAGTTTGTTAACTGAGTTTTGCCCCATTTTACAACCTTTCTTGCCACAATTATTAAGTGAATCACTGCAGTCGTTAAGCTAGTAACATGGTTGTTAAGTGAATCTGGCTTCCGCATTGACTTTGCTTGTCAGAAGTTGCAAAAGATGACCACATGACTCCAGGACATTGCAATTGTCATAAACATAAGTCAGTTGCCTAGTGTCTGAATTTTGATTACATAACAATGGGGATGCTGCAATGGTCTTAAGTGTGAAACACGGTCATAAGTCACTTTCTTCAGTTCTGTTGTAACTTTGAATGCTCACTAAATGAACTGTTCTAAGTCAAGGCCTACCTACCTTATCTTTGTTTTCCCCCACATGTTTGAGATTACAACTCCAGTCATTACTAGACAGTATGGTAATAGCTGCAAAGGCAGGAATAATGGCAGCAAAATATGCTTGGTATCCTGAACTAATTCTTCTTTCCAGCCCTCTGAACCGGTTCCCAATCCCTATTGATCAGATTACACATCGAATCTGGTTTTTGATTGCAGTAGAGCAGCTGAGGAGCAACTGTTTTTCCTCATCCTGATTTAGTTACAGTGATACAGTATTTTGTTGTTTTTATCGATTGACAAATTTGTTATCAAGTCGGTGTTGATTCTTATCAATCCCATAGATAAATCTTTTCAAAGATGATCTGCCCTTAACTTGGTTTTGCAGTGGTGTACCCATCGCCACTACAAATGAGTCCATCCATCTCGATGGTATCATCTTTTCTTTCCTTCCATCTTTGCCAGCATTAGAGATAATATATCCAAAGTATGGTAATTTGAGTCTGGTCTTGTGTGCTTCAAGTAAGAATTTTGGATTGATTGTTTTATGATTCATTATGATTTCACAAGAGCCGTGGTGGCGCAATGGTTAGAATGCAGTATTGCAGGGTAGTTCTGCTGACTTCCAGCAATTCGATTCTCACTGGCTCAAGATTGACTCTGCCTTCCATCCTTCCAAGGTCGGTAAAATGAAGACCCAGATTGTTGGGGGCAATATGCTGACTCTGTAAACCTCTTAGAGAGGGCTGTAAAGCACTATGTAATGGTATATAAGTCTAAGTGGTATTGCTAGTTCTATTGCTATTTGTTTCCTTAGTAATCCACAGTATTCTCAGGAATCTTGTCCTAAACTAAACCTTAATACATTTTCTGTTCTTCTTGGCCACTTCCATAAAGTGTCGCAGGGAAACCTACGGGTTTGACCTCTGTAGATATAGATATAACATCTGAATATCTTTTCCAATTAATTGCTAATTAACAATTGCCAAGTGCTATTCTGCAATGTATTTCTTGAGTGCTACCGGTGGTTCCTTTATTGTTCATATTTGATCCTAAAAGGCAAAAGCTATCCACCACTTCAATATGTTCATGGTCAATTCAAAGGCTCTTTGCCAAACCTTTGGTCATTTCACCTTCTTTAATCTTAGTCCCATTTTTTTCGCTGTGGTGCTTGACTTTCATTATTAGAACTTGCAGATTATTTGCATTTTTAGCTAACAATTTCATCACAGGCTATTGTTGTTTCTTTTCCAATTTTAAAACCACACTCATCTTTTTCCAATCCAGCTTCCCATAATATATATTCAGCATATAGGTTGAGTAAATAAGAAGATAATATACAGCTTTGTTCAATACTTTACTGATCTGGACCATTCTATTTCCCCATCTTTTGTCTAGATCAGGGATAGGCAACTTCAGCTCTTTTATGACTGACTCAGGAATTCTGGAAGTTGAAGTCCATAAGTCATAAAAGAGCCAAGGTTGCCTATCCCTGATCTAGATTGTGGCTTCTTTTCCTGAACATGTTTTCCTGAAGACATTTCATAGCTTGACATGGTCAACATAATCAAAGGCCTTTCCATAATCAATGAAGCTCGTCCCCTCCCCTGCCCTTCCCTGTCGTTCCCCTCCTCTCCGCTAGCTTGAACATCTAACATCTCCTTGTCCATGTAGATTTCTAATCTGCACTGAATCATCCTAGGTATTATTATAAGTTTGTGTTGCCATTTATAATTATGTTTTTTTTAAAGTAGTCAGAATAATCTGACTTCAATTTTCTCCATCTGAAAAATGTTCAACTTTTGAATCAGATCAAGTTCCTTTATTCACAAAATGTTTCTGCAGAAATAGGAAATTAGTTTAGTTGCTGTTCCCCTCACCACTTCCCAGTTTCTTGCAGGTTATCAGTATGCTGTGTCAATAACTAGATTTGTCAAGAGAATTATTGTTCTCAAGTGCAAAACTGTGACAGATGTTTAGAGACAGAAGTTTAAAGGAGGCACATTCCTTTCCAAATGGCAGCCTTGTAGGTAATACCATAAGATAAATATTGGGTTCTCTGTGAACTTTTCTCCTTATTTTTAAATTAATTATTTTAATAGCATACTTTTTCCTTAGAAACAAAAACGACTGATGCCAGCTAAGACTTCTGAAGAAACTAGAAGACTCTATGCCCTTTCTATTCAGGATTTAAAGAAGACGGGTTTTGAATTAAGAAAAGACTTTCCATATCAAGCAGAATATTTAGTATCAGAAAAATTACAAGAGGTTAGCATATTTTTTAAACTCTTATTTAATGGTTTCATTAAATGATGAAGACTTTAAAGTTTTTCAAGCTTCAGATTTCTGTGGTAATGGTTTTTTTATGTAAAGCAAAATGCAAATATTAGTTTTTCTCATAGCAATTGTTTCCTTTTAGTTGCCAGAATTAGCTTGGGTCATTCTAATCACTCAGTCTCTTCCTAGTCACATACAGAAAGGAAAAGAAACGCATCAAGAAGACACTACGATTTAGTTATTTGTTTAATTCAGAGGTCATATCCAACAGGGTTGTTGTTTGAAGTCAGATCCAGAGCATTTCACATCCCTCTTATATGTAGTAGTTTGTGCTATACCACAAGCAGTTTCTCAGCCATAAGCAGCATGGCTTCTCACTGCCGCTATTATGCTTGTGGATTGTACCTTACTAATACTGCAAATAAAAATAGATATTTTAAAAAAATGATATGTTTATGTTTAGGTCTGTTTCAGGAATTTTAAACATATTTTTAAAAGGCATTTGAGATTAAAAGTAGAAATAAATGGACTTTGTTCATATTTTTTAATATATATTTTGAATGTATTATGTAGTTTAATTTGAATGCAACCAATACGAGCAGTTAATTAGTGAATTGTCTTTATTTTTAACTTTTTTATCGCTGATTGTCTTTTAGCATCTTAGTTTTAATTCTTTATTTACAGATGCTTGTAGCAGATGCAGTCAATACCATTGTTTTGTCTGAAAAAGTTGGTAGGTTTGTGGAACTTATCTGGACCGAAGCAGTTGGACACCTGGATGGTCTGCTAGATAAACACGTAACAATCAGCCTCAATGATGTATGCAACTTTGCTTGGAAATTTTAGTTCTTCTAGTGTTGTGAAGAGAAATGAAATGTTAGGCAAAGATATTTTTATCTCTAAGTTGTGACAAGGTTCTCCACAATTGGGATTAGTATGTCATGAAACATGCATATCATGTAATTGCATAAATTATTATTTGTCTATTCCTTATTGAAGCACACATATTATTGTATGGAAATTACTAAATTATGTGGCTGTGGAATGTGTGCAGATACTGCATTCAAATGATGTTTTGTTTTACTTTAACCTACTTATTATTTTGTGATACTTAACAACCAACTGTTCATTGGGAGCTCAAGGCAAGATACTTGGGGATTTATTCTCCCTTTTTTTATTCCCACAGTTAAAGAGAATGGCTTGAAAATTATTCAGTGAATTTTGTGGTCAAATTGGGATTTGGACCCAGGTCTTTCCAGTCCTGTAACCTCTACACTCCTTTTGGTCGTTATAGGTTCTATCAACCCATTACTAGTAATAAAAAAATATTTTTCTCTCACAACATACCAGTTAGGTGCAAAAATGTTCACGCATCTGTGAGAGGCTTTGTGAAGGGAAGTTCAGAAGATGGCAGGAGATTTCCCCAGTTTGTTCTTCCTATATGTCATAATGTTTTTTTCTTTTAAAAAAAGCCTTTAATACAACGTTTTTTTAAAAGGTGAGCAGAGCTGAAGGCATTCTTCTTCAGGCAAAGAAGTCTTGGGAAGAAACAGCATCTCTAACAGAGCTGTCCGCAGTCATGTCAGAATTCTATAAAATCATACCCCACCAAAATGTTTCGGATGATGATGTTAGCAAAGAGTTGATATATACTAAACGGGATCTCTGTCAGGTAACAGTATCAGATTTTGTTTAACACTTCAATGCTTCCTATATATAAGCAGAATCATTAATATAATAAGATTCCACAGCAGTTCAATCAACTACAAATATGACTTTATGCTTGAAAGATACTTCAAATTAGTCAAAATCATAGAAAGAAAAAAAATCACTTGAGGTATTGAGGTCATAAACTGAATTACAACTCTCAAAAATATTTATTGGTTGATTTTTATATTGGTTCCTGGTATAGCCAGTGGCTAAGAATTGTAAGAGTTGCGGTTTCATGTATCTGGAATATATATCAAGTTGAGGAACTTTGGCTCTTAAGGAGACATTCCCTTGTGCCTTATATTGTTGAAATTGCAGCTGGTGAATATAGGCTTTCAAGTTAAGATACCTGATTTAACCTCAGCCAGTGCTAGGATTTGCTGATCTCTTTGTAAAGTTGATTTTATTCTGTAATTGAATAGTTTAGAAATAACACCTCAAACAAAATCTTATAAAAATAAAATAAAAGAATTATAAACAGCAGGATACAGAAACAGGACTAAAGAAACAAACAAAAATAGCTGTGCTCAGTAGAACAAGTTAAAATTTGACTGCATGGAATCATATTACTCAAATTTTTCAAGACATTGGTTTTTAAAAATTAATAGGTAACAAATACATGTCTGCAGTTCAGGGTTTTCAATCAAGTTCCATAGGACATTTTCAGTTGGAATAAGACAATCAAAGACAATCAGAGCTGTCCATCTCAAGCAATTCTGGGTGCTTTGCATTCTTATTAACGTTAACCTAAAATTATGTCATTGCAGGAATATACTCAAAACATGTCATATATTCCCTTATATTACAATTCCAACATACACAAATTGAAACCAAGCTCTTATAATACATTCCATGGGACGTCGGGTAGAGACAAAAATACTTTATAGTGAGTTACTCATACCTTTACAAAGTGGGCCATTAATTTAGCATTCTTTAAAATTCTAATTTGTTAAAATGAACCTATTTCATTACTTCCGCCTATATCACAGATCTATAAAATCATAATTGTAAGGGTCCTTTGTTGATACTGTTCTGAAGACTCCCAGCAGCTGCACTGCCTTACTTCATACTTTTTGGTCTTCTGGCAAAGAGTGGAATAAATATTTTAATCAATTGATAAGTAGACTTTTTTGTCATAGAAATGTAACAACTGTCAATTCCATCTTACTTTTACAGCTGATTAGAGACATGCTGAATATTAGTGAAATAAACATGTCAATTCTTAACCCATCATCCTTTTCTAAGTATCGGGCTTTAAGATGCAGGATTGATGCTCTAGATGTGGAAAGTGAAGAGTTTAACAATGTCAAACACTTGCTGGAACAAAACTCCAGGTAATTTTTCATTTTGGTATGAGCTTTCAGGATTTGTATTATGCAGGTTCCATTTTTTTTTATGAGTTGTGATGGTGCAGTGGTTAGAATGCAGTACTGCAGGCTACTTCTGCTGATTGTCGGCTGCCAGTAATTCGGCAGTTCGATTCTCACCAGCTCAAGGTTGACTCAGCCTTCCATCCTCCCAAAGTCAATAAAATGAGGACTCAAATTGCTTAGAGACGGCTGTAAAGCACTATGAAGCATATGTAAGTCTAAGTGCTATTACTAAGTGCTATATACAAACTAGCAAAAAAAAAAAAAGTGCAAAATGCCACACTTGGAGACTGTGAAATGGGGAAAGTAGTTAAGCAACTGGTGGAATGAAAACAGGTTTTCTGCCAGCTAGGTCCAAAACTGAATTGTGTCAGGAACCTGTATGCAGCCTACAGCTTTTGGGTTTTGGAAATGCCCAACAGCTTTTACTAAATAGAAATTGTTATTGGGAGAGAAGAAGGAAGATGACAATCCAATGAAATGAAATTTACTGTTTCTCCTGGCCTCAGCACTGTATTTTGGAATGTGGCCCTTGGCCAGGCACTCAAAGGCCATGTGTATCCCTTGCTGTTGAAAGGGTTATGCTTCTGTCATGGCTATTGACTTACGGAAATCTCTCTATATTCTACAAGAGATAGATCCTCAGTGGCATTAGGGATTCTTCAATTGGAATTATTGTGGCCTGATTATACATTTTTAATAGAAAATTAATGGAATATTTATTTCCATTTTACTTTTTCTTGCAGTGAAAATCTAATACAGGTTTTGAATATATATAAAGTCAGCAGACCAACTGAAGAAATGGTGTTTGAGGAAAATCTTGGCAATGTTCAATCTTTATTCCATGGATCGTCTGTTTGCAACTTTGTAGGAATCCTCTCAAGGTAACAGCTTGAATTACATTCTATCTGTTGAAACTTTGTAGGTTTGCTTTGTTTTGCTTTACTTTAAATGGGACATAGCTATAAGGCAATTGAACAAAATAACAGTGTTATGAAAAACAAGGCTCATTCTTATATGTTAGACTAGCTCAGAGATACCTAGTACACATCTTCAGCTAAGCTTAGGCTAAGATAGAAAGGATGAGAACATCACTAACCATCTTCTAGTTGAATTGTGATTTCATGGGGAAAAGGAATGATTACTAACAATTGAAACAGAAGGAACATTTCTTTCCAGGGTTCTCTAGTGTCTGTTAGAATAGGAACCAAAGGTTTTAGCCAAGAAACTCATTTTAAAAAATTAAATTCCTTGTATCTTGGTGACAGTTGTCTCTAATTTTCCTGTATAATTTAAAGAAAGCATTTTATTTATTGAGAATCTTCAGGGAATTTATATTAGCCCTTTCTGGTCTTTTTATATTTTTGTTAAATAATTTGGAGCAGATCATTGGTCTCTTAGGCACTGCTGAAATCCTTGTATCTATTTTTATATTGGATTCTTTTCCTGTTTCATTCATTTGCTGTTTCTCAATTCCCCATGAGAAGGGCATTGTAATTTATATTTTTTAGTATTGACTATCAAATTCTGTATTTAAGGTCAGAACAAGCTTTAAAATTTATCTTTCCTGTTAATACAGTTTAACTATCTATAAAAGTCTGCAGTTTGCCAAATTGGTTTCTCTCCCATGGAGTGGAATAGTCAATAGGTCCAAACCCATGCCTTGACTCTATACAGCTAAGGGGTAGCTATAGATTTTTTTGTTTTTAGTTTTTCTTGATTGCCAGAAAGGTAGCAGGTTGGCAGACTCCTATCTCTCTGGAACTGGAATAGTTGATACCAGGTGAGGCACTCCCTAGAAGATGGCTGGTGACAATGATTAATACAAAGCTCTGTTCCCAAGGGTCAGAAATGATCAGAGTCTGTAGACTCAGAGTTCTTTTAATGAATTTCCTACAACCCTCCTATTCTGAACCAAGCTACATTCCTTTATTTACTTAAACATGTGATGACTCAATCCATTGAGTTCAATGGATGTTTTTATTTTTTTATCTCTCCTGAATATGTTAGGTTTAATGAATATTTTCTCTAAAACAAAAAAGTGGAAAGGCAGCTATATATTTTGCATTTAGTACATGTGGTTTGAGCTTCAGATCATGATGATGATGATAAGTGATAAAGGTAAATGTGAAGGAGAAGAATGGGAAATTTTTTAGAGCACGTATGTGCTGTTCTTTCTTCCTTAGTTACCCAGTTCCAAAAGAACAGCTGGTCAAAATGAATTTGCTAATAGAGAAACATTTACTTTGGTATCTCATATGTTTTACGTTGCTAATCTTTTTATTTTTTTTTAGAGGACTGCTTTTGCCAAAGGTAGCTGAAGAATATGCCTTAGAGAGAACAGATTTTGGGTACTTGGGCAATGGCATTTATTTCAGCAACTCTGTAAGGTAAGATTTGAAGACTTTTTTTTTTCAGAACAGCAGTATTGTGTGTATGTGTGTTTTTTTTTATAATATGGTGGACTAAAATGCAGTTAATTTGTATATTTTCCTACATAAATACGAACATAGAATTGGCATTGGACTAGAGCAGATTTTTCCAATCTAATGCCTTCGAGATGGGCTGGAACCATAGTTCTTTGAATTTCAAAAAAGGTGCCAAACAAGAAAAATTCTAGGAGTTGTAAATCCTAATGCATTTAGAAATACAGAATTGATTCAGATCAATTTTAATAAACTTTGACCAATTTGGCCTGATTTCAAAGCAAGTATATTCTTGGTATAAGCCCATTTCCTTCTGCTGGGGTCACCCTCACTTTGCATCAGCTTCACATTTGACTTGAGGCCAATGGAGAGCAGATAATTGTCTATTGAAGAGAATAATTAATTTTAAAGATTATTTAAGATGTGTCTGAGAGACAACGGTGTGATACACCTAACAAATATTAACCAGGTAAGTTTTTCTCTTTCTACCAGTCCCAACACACACACCCCCAAACTACATGTAACTCTGGTGATTAAAAAGTTGCATATCCCTGCTTTAGAAACTGTTATGTAAGACATGACAGTCCAAACGGAACCAGTAAGGCTCAGACTGAGGTGGTTAGGACAGCAAGGCCAATTGGCAAGCTAATTTGCCTTTTCTTTAACTAAAATAGTTAATCTAAAATATGGCTATGAAAAAAAGCATTTGGAATAAGCAAGCATTTCTCTCTTTTTAATAGAGCAAGCATTAAATACTCCCAGCCATGTGAAACAGATGGAACTCGACTGTTGCTCATTTGTGATGTAGCACTTGGAAAATGTTGGAAGACTGAGGAATACTGCTACTTTTCAAGGGAAGGACCACCATTCGGTCATGGTAGTGTGCATGGAATCCGTAGAACAGAAAAGAATGAAACTATTTTTGAGGTATTTGATCCAGTTGGTTGTGAATAATCTAGAATAGAAGGAGAAAAAAAGGCAAGCTAATTGTAGCTAATAGTAAAAACGTTAAAAATGAGCATAGAGCCAATGGCTAAAAGTAAAAGCTGTTAGCTTAGTTTAACCATTATTAATTTTAAAATCCAATAAGCCCTAGTCCCTCTCTGATGTAATCCATTTTCCAGAGAAGCATGATTTTTGCCATTTTAGCAGCAAAGTTCCAGATGTTAATATTACCGCTTTATGCATTTCCCCAAAGAGGATCACACTGTGCATACATTCCATTCTTTCAAATATGCTTAAGATGCTCTGCATTATTCCCCAACATGTGTTATTTCTAACAGAGTTCTATGAGAGAATAGGTCTTAGGAAGGGAAGAGATTTGTTTACAGTCCTGTGTAGCCAATAAACTTTCAATTAACTGTTTTTTTATTTTATAATAATTTTATTAAACATTACAATTAAACAAGAACAACTAATCCAAACTGAAAAGCAATAAAAGAGTATAAAAATAGGAAGTGCAGAAATGAAAGAAAGAATAGAAAGTAAAAAAAATAAAAATACAGTAAATAAAAATAAAAATAAAAAGAAGTAACTTCTCCCTTTTTAAAAAGTATGAACATTTATAGTAACTAATAACCTTTTAAAATGCAACAAATGATCTTTTCTTCCCATATCTCATATCTTATCTATAAACAAATATTTCAGTTCTGGTGTCAAAAAAGTCCATTAAGGATTACCACAAATAGCAACATACCTATTTTACCCTTGATCAAATAAACTAACTTTACATTTCTTCTTCGTACTTTTAGCAATCTTGGTCTTTAATCCCATCAAATGTTGTCCTAGAAGTTGATTTCTTTCTTTCTTTCTTTTTTTTTGTCCTCACATAATTCTTCAAAACTAGATTTTTTTTTAATCCAATACAATGGTACCATGGTACTGAACTCAGTGGTGGGATTCAGCCAGTTTGCACCACTTTGGCAGAACCGGTAGCTAATTTTTTGTTGCCCATGCACAGAATAGACTTCTGGAAGTGGCATCCACGCAGAGAACTGGTTGTTCACATATTTGAATCCCACCACTGGCTCAACTGATTTGAAACTCATTGAATTTAGTACTCAGCACATTTTGATATGAACATTTTGTTCCAGTACTCATCGTTTGTTTGGTACTCAACGCACAAGCTTGAACTTGTTGGCTGCCTTGTGACCCACTACATTATTCCTTATGGGGAAAAAATTGTTTGGTACTCATTGTGTTTAGTACTCACCACACCTCCCAGAGCCAATTAACAATGAGTGCAGAGGTACCATTGTATTGGAAAATTATGTTAGTCAGTCTTTTGGTTTATTATTTGTATATCCCTTTTAATTATTAAAGCATAAAACAGTTAATTTCAAAATCTTATTTGAAATCGATCTGAACTTTAGTTCATTTGTGACTTTCCATAATCTATATTTTAATCACCCGGTTGCTGTTTATTCCAAGAGAAAATAATATTTTTTTAAATCCTTAGGACAGTTTTAAAAACTTTTTTTAAAACTTCTTTCACTAAAGATTAAAGGATATCAACCCTGTATTTTAAAACGCCATTACAAATGTTCCTAATAGTTAAAAAGTGATTAAGAAGCAATTTCTGAAAGTGATTAAGAAATGAGGCTTGGCAAACCTGCTCTTATAGACTATATTATAGCTGTGTACTTAGATGGAATCTCTCAATTTCCAGCTGCTCAACTCATGAGTCACCTACAAAAACTTTGGTTCCAGCCAGTTCCTCACAAGAAGCAGCTGACCAGCAGCTGTGGGTAGTTTTTCTATCTCTCCTATTTCCAAAGAGATTTCATTAACCAGAATCCACCCTGTAGTGGTTGATGTTTGCCATAATGAATTTGCAGTGTAGAGCAGTGGTGGCACAGTGGTTAGAATGCAGTACTGCAGGCTAATTCTGCCAACCGCCAGCAGTTCATTCCTGACCGGCTCAAGCCTTTCATCCTTCTGAGGTTGGCAAAATGAGGTCCCAGATAGTTGGGGGTAATATGCTGACTCTGTAAACCACTTAGAGAGGGCTGTAAAGCACTGTAAAGCAATCTATAAGTCTAAGTGCTATTGCTGTAACGTAGTCTTTTGAGACATCAACTTTGCCATGAATCCTTACTGGAAGTCCTCAAATGACTATTTAGAAGCAGTTCATCAAAGTTCATAAGGAAAGCAATAGTTTGCTAAATTGGTATAATATTTCAGTATTCTGAACTTTTCTCTAGCTAACCTGACTTTTTGCAACTGTGAGTAGGACTTCAGGATCAGTTTATGTATGGTTAGGTTCCTAAAATATATGTTTTATTTTGTTTTCTTCCAATAAGGATGATGAATTTGCAGTGTACAGAACCAGTCAGGTCAAGATCAAATATGTGGTTCAATATTCATGTGTTAATGACAAAATTAAAGTATTCCAACCAATAATTCAGACTGGATTAGAAGACCTGAGCCTTTCATTTGAAGATGATGACCAGTCTAAGGGTGAGAAATAATTTTTGAAATTACCCACAATATCAGTTAAGTCTGTTTTATTGGTATTTTCTGAAACTGATTTTTTTTATTTTTGAGTCTTTTGATAAAAATACATCTGCACTAATTTGGCACAAATATGCAAAATATAATAAATATCAATTTTTAATTTTTGTCCAGTTCACAAATAAAGTCATAAGTATATTTTATAAGTCCATCTCTAAAACCTCTTCTTTTCTTCTACATTTTTAAAATAGGGAAAGTAATTATGTAGAACTAAATGGAATGTAGGTATTCTCTAAACTGCTTTTCTCTGAATATGATTTTTTTCCTATATACAGAGGGTTTTTTCACCAGAATCATAATGAGATGTCTGTAGGCTATTTGTGGCTTCCTATCTTTATGTTGTCACCTTCACAGAATGCCAGGATTCATACTGAAGTTTACCAGCAGGCTGCCAATCCTGAGAGATATAACTTTTGAACTTGCATTTTGGTTTTGTTTTCTGCAATCTCAAACTTTAAAAAGTATAGGTGTTATACTTCTATAAGTCTTAGCACATCTATTTTTAATTTCTCTGAACAAGGAAAAAAGGCTGAAAACAAGGTCCCTATCCTTGCAGCCACTTGAACAATAAAAAATAGAGAAAAAGAGAAAAGCGATTTTAACTGCAAGAAGGTGCTTATCCCTATACCAAGAGGATTAATTGCTCCTCTAATAGGGGGTCAAGGCAATAGCAATGTTGTTGTTGTTGTTGTTGTTGTTGTTAATTGCGAAGTCGTGTCCGACCCATCGCGACCCCATGGACAATGTTCCTCCAGGTCTTCCTGTCCTCCACCATCTTCTGGAGTCCATTTAAGTTCACACCTACTGCTTCAGTGACTCCATCCAGCCATCTCATTCTCTGTCGTCCCCTTCTTCTATTGCCCTCAATCTTTCCCAGCATTAGGCCCTTCTCCAGTGAGTCCTTCCTTCTCATTAGGTGGCCAAAGTATGCAATAGCAATAGCACTAATTTTTCATCATAGTTCCCAGCACTTACATTTTGGTGATTTTAACTCTGTATTGCCCTTGAAGAAATCCTTTGGGAGATCTAGTTAATTTATTGTTCTTATACTTATTTTTATAAACATTCTTCATGCCTCTTAAGATATTGAAATAGTTTTTCTTTGTTTTTACAATTAAAAGTTAAGGTCCAAAGAGTTGAGAGCTATTTTTATGTAAATGTGATGCTGAGAACCACTTGGAACAATAATGCCTCCAAAGCTTATTCAGGACCCACAATTCAGAAGGCACCCACATTTAACATCACACATACACACATATAAATTACAAGATCCTTGGGAGAAAGGAAGGCAAGGGGAATTGGGAGATGAGAAAGGGGAGAAGAAAGGGCAGTTGAAGGGGGAAACCTTTCAGGGAAAATAAAATTAAATGCCAGGAAAAGCAGGGAAACGTTCTCAAAAGAGACCACTAGTTTAAGATTCTAATTACAGCATGAGTGTACCTTTGACTTGTCTCATTTAGATTATACAGTACCAAGCTGTGATCTATTGAATGATATTTCTGCTGGCCTACTGGACAGAGCTGGAAATCGAATTCCTCTTAAAGATATTCAAATCAAAGGAAGAATAATAGACTTTATAGCAGAGGTAAAATGCTTTTTGTTTTTCCTAGAAGTGCTTCAAATTTCTTCAAAATTGTATTTTTAATTCTTCAAAAATTGTAATTTTAATTCTTTAAACATCTTTTACTACCACATTTTTAATTCAGTATAAAATCAGAAAATCAGAACAGAAATTAAATCTTTTGAGCCAGGAGCAGGAATGGAAAAAAATTCCAGAGAATTTGTCTTCATATAATACTCAGCCAGGATACAGTTTTCTACCACAACTGATTGACTTATTATTGTTCTGAGTTCTCTTTCTTTGGGCTGTATCCTGGTATCGAAGTTATATCCTTAAGAATCTTTTTATTGAAAACCTCTGTGTTGTCCAAAGTAATGCATAAAATGTATTGCATTATATTTCAGGTTGTGGTGTTTCAGACCTATGAAAATGAAACAGAGAGTCCCATTGAGGCAAAATATGTCTTCCCTTTGGATGACACAGCTGCTGTATGTGGATTTGAAGCATTCATTAAAGGAAAGCATATAATAGGAGAGGTAAGCTGATGCAGTGGCAGAAAGCTACATGACTTTAGGTCAACATTTCCCAACTTGGGATTTCTCGGGGACAACCCCGCTTTGCTCCTAGCCTGTCATGAGAACTGTGTTAACATTCTCCAAGCCAGCAATCTATTACTTCCACAATGAAAGCACACAACCGATTGCTTTGGTTAATGCTTGATTCCCTTTAGCAGTTTTTTATACATGTCTTGTATTGGTTTTTCTATTGCTACGGATATGGTGGATAAATAGCCATACAGAGTATTGAGTTGGGGGATTCTTTGATCATCCTAGTGGTCCAGATAATGGCCCCACTCTGTCAGGCCCTGATATTGCTTGAAGGAGCAATGAAAGGAAAATTCTCTTTGGATATATTGATATTGCTAGCTTGAACTACACTCCTGCAGGATTTTAAGAGGAAATGGAGCAATGGTAGAACAAGATAGTTTCGGATCCTAGATATAGTAATGGCAGAACCTCTAACTTTGTAGTAAGCTATATTTTTATATAAGAATAAGAACTATAATGTTCTAGAAAAACTTAATAAATATTTAAAAGTAAAAAAATAATTCAATATCCATAACAATGTATATGCATAGCTAGCTCCCTCCTGACTGTGAAATGTTTAAAAGAATAAGAAGGAAAGATCCTACATTGAGCATCATCTGCTACATGTGGGGCTTGACTTTATTTTGAGTTGTGGGGCTCTAGACTTTATTTGGAGATTGTCTCCTTTTACTTTCAGCAGGACATCATTTCTGATAGAATCATCTAAATTGGATTCAAAAGAGTTTACTATGTCTTTGTTGCCAATAAATTAAAATGAAATCTTTCTCTAAATAGCAACTATTTTGAGGCACAAGTAACCACTTAATAAGATGGTTGTCTACATTAGCCCACCAACTTCCCGTATCTGCTTCCCAAGAATTATTATGGAGTGTGTCATAGTGATGTATGTTACCGTATTTTTATTTTCGTTCAAACCAAGATAAGTATTGTATGTAATTCAATGTTAATAGGTTAAAGAAAAGGAAAAAGCACATCAAGAATATAGAGAGGCCATCAGTCGAGGCGATGGAGCTTATATGATGGATCAGGATGCACCCGTAAGTGATAAATAGATTTATTGTACAATTTATGACAATACATGTTGGACTCCATTTTCTGAAGTTACGCTAGTCTCTAAACTGGAAATATTAACATGCATACATACCTTCTCTAGATATAGAATTCATTTAGCTCCACTCAGCAGACACTTAATAAGACAGAACAGTATCCAAGTTGAGAAAGATAAACTCTTCTTTGTTTGTTTGTTTGTTTGTTTGTTTGTTTTTTGCTTATGGCAAAGAATCAGCAGAAGAATCAGCACAATTGCTTATGCCAAAGAATCAGCAGAGAGCAACACTGGTTTTTGGAATGGGCAGAAAAAAAATTTATTGACAGCTTAGGGAAATAATATCATGAGAACCTTCCTCAGATTCTGTACACTCTCCTTAAATAAGTAGCTCTGTACTATTGGGAGATCTACTTGCTCAACGTGTATCCCTAGAACAATGATGGCAAACCTTTTAGATACCAAGTGCCCAAAAAACGCTCCCCCACCCACAGTGTCACCTACCGCCTCCATGGCCCACCGCAACAGATCGCCCAGGCAGCCCTGCAGCACCATGGCACCCATGCCCTCTGCCTTCACCCTACAGCATCATCTGTGTGCAATGGGGCATGAGGGCAGAGTCTTGTCCATGCTGCCCAGCTGCCATGTCCTTGGCTGCGCTGCCCCGCGCAGACCGTGCCTGGGGGTGACTCTTCTCTGGGGGGGCTACTGGTGAGGAGGGGACCATGGGGGGAGGCAGGGCTGGGGTGATGGCACATGTGCCCACAGAGAAGGCTCTGAGTGCTGCCTCTGGCACGCGTGCCATAGGTTCGCCACCACTGCCCTAAAAGAATATGCCTACATGTTCAGAAAAAGCTCTGGGATATCCAAATTTATTAAAAAGTATTTGGTATTTTCACAGGCACTTTATTTTAAAATACAGTTTTCACACATACCACAGGAAAAAGTGTTCATAGAAGTCATTCCCTTTATGCTTTGTTCTCTATGGTTCTTAAGTAGCTCACAATGCACTACAATGTATCTGGTCACTGTATGTTGTGCGGTTAATGTGCCTTTGTTCTATGCTGATTGTCTTTTTTCTGAGAATGTACTTATGATTCAAACACTGAGTAAGGGTATTGTTCTCTGCTTAATTAAGGACAGCTGTTCAATAGCACTGGACATATTGGAAGCAAATGCGGATTGTCATCAGAGTTATAGTATATAGGCTCAGTTATATGGACATTTTTGTATATTTCATGCTTATAGATAGATCTGACATTATGTAAATGTAGACTCAATCATCCAGGCCAAAAGCATGTAAAAGGTTAAATCATGGCAACTGGACCAAAGTTTGTTAAACTGAGATGTTTTGTTACTCATCCAAGTAACTTCTTCCATCAAAATGCAAGCGTTAGTTCATTCCAACAACTCTCTGGCTCTATGCCTAAAATTGTTATTTTTACTGAAGAAGTTACTTGAATGAGTAACAAAACATTTCAGTTTAATAAACTTTGCTCCAGGTGCCATTATTTAACCTTTTACATGCATAGATTCAACATTCAAATAATAGAGCAGATTCCTCAGAAAGGGCTGGAAGTCACAGCCCTGATTCTCCACATGAGCTTGAACTTCTGCGTAGATCTAAAATAAGATATAAGTCATTCCTGGTAATCTTTCTCTTTGCCATTAAATAGAGTTCAGGGTTAAAACTAAGGAAGCTGCCTTACATATCAAATCAAAAAATGTATGGTTTGATCTTTTTGGTTTAGGGCCTGTGCATTGTGTAAACCCATCCAGTAAGTGTTTATTGTAAGGCATGATTAAGCAAACTGTGCAACATGGGATTTCAGGTAGAACGTTGGTTTTTCTAGGTCAGGGGTAGGCAACCTTGGCTCTTTTATGACTCATGATAGCTGGCTCAGGAATTCTGGGAATTGAAGTGCATGAGTCATAAAAGAGCCAAGGTTGCCTACCTCTGTTCTAGGTTATCAGTGGCCAACTAATACCGATAGCAGTAGCTCTGCAGCTTTTCAGAAAGAGCTCTTTCTCTGCTCTACATTAAGATGTCAGGGATCAAACCAAAAGCCTTTTGCTTGCAAAGTTATGCTTAACTACATTTCATTAATAGCATTTGCTATCCAATACTATTGCTTGTACTATTGTTTGTAAAATCATCATTCTATAAGCAACTGAAACCTTATTTCACAGGACATTTTTACTGTTTCTGTTGGAAACTTGCCACCTTCAACAAAAGTGCTTATCAAGATCACCTACATCACAGAGCTCAGTTATGAGAATGGAAATCTGTGCTTTCACTTGCCAACTGCTGTAACTCCTTGGCAACAAGACAAAGCATTACATGAAAACACACAAGTCAGTATGCTTTTACTAAGACATTGCTAATTAATGTTACTAATAAGTTTCTGGTTTAATGAAATGCCATGTAAACTCATTTATTCTTCTTTGAAGATAATTGAAAGAGACATAGTTGACTGCTATAAAGTGTCAAAACTATATGGTCAGAACCATACTGTGCTTAAGGAAATGGTTTGCATTTATAACCAGCAAACCAAGCTAATTATCTTTATAATAGTTTACTTTGTTATGGACTTAATGTGCTTAACAGGAGGAATGTGACTTTGAAAGAGCCCTAAATTAATGTAAGCCTCTATTGAATATCAACTTTTCTGGTAACTCTCTTGTACTGGAAAATCCAAAGTGATCAATGAAAGAAAGAATAAGTTTTACTAATATACCCTTGCCAAGATAAATGTCATCTTCCAGAGCATGATGTTTCATAACTTAATATTTATCTTTTGACTAGGACTCAGTAAGGAAAATTTGCATTAGACAAACAGAAGCAAAAAGGTGAGTTGGTGAACTGCCACAGTTTTTTTATTTGCAGGTTAAAACTTAGATAGAGGTAGTCCACAAAGTTACTAGAGACCTGGGAAAAATTACTTATGACCCATCTTTAAAGCTATGATTGCTGCACCATCCCCGTAGTCACATGATCACATTTTAGGTGCTTGGCAACCTCTTCATACCTATGACCGGTTACCAAGCATTCTATAATCACGTAATTTCCATTTGTAATCTTCTCTGCTGGCTTCTCCAGAAAGTCAGTGGGGAAACCAGTAGGAAAGGTTGCAAGCTGCTGCCTCCTGCAAAACGATTTTCCATCTCCTCCATGTACTTGGGGAGAGAGGACTTGCAGGGGCTTTGGAAAACAAGAGCTTCAGGATGCTAGCTTTTTTCTAGCCCAATACTGGAGTTCCCCACCACCCCCTGTGCAGAAGACAACTCAAGCAGTGAGCTGAAGAAAAGAAGCTCTCATCTTGAAGATTTGAGCTTCTTTCCAGCCTTTCTACCATTCAGAAACATCGTGAGAGGTGACGTTTATCTCACGATTGTTCTGAAAGCTAGGTTAGTGGGTAGCTAAATAGGTAGATAGACAGTCTGTTTGACTGAATGATTGAAGAATGCTTTTTTTCTTAAGAGGAAAAAATCGAAATGACACCCTGCTATTAAAAATATAATAATAAATATCAAAAATGTGACTTTCATTGTGACCCAAATTTTGTTTCTCTGAATGGGATATCTTAATCTGCTTAATTATTTACCTGAGTATCTCAGTTATTTATTAACATTCTGTATCTTCCCTAAAATCTCTTACCATCCATTAAGCTTCCTTGGTATATTATAGAAGTAGTTTACTGGTGTCAACTTTCATCTTTCTAGTCTAGCCAGCAGCCCATAATTTCTCTCAAAAACGTAAACAACACATGAGCTGACTGCTCACCTTTCATATCTGGGTCCTTTAATGCAGAGTTTCCCAAACTTTTGGGGGCTGCCTGGAGCGGGGAGAGTGGAGTTGCAAGTGGTCATGGCGACACTCTTGCAAGTGGGGCCACAAATGGTTGTGGTGACGCTCACGTGAGTGGGGCCTCAAACGCCCACAATGCTTGTGTCAATGCTTGCGAGAGTGGGGCTGCAAACACCCAAGACACTCGTGGCAATGCTCACACAAGTGGAGCTGTGAACATCTGTGATGCTTGTGGCGGCGCTCACGCAAGTGGGGCTGCGAATGCCTGTGACACTCGTGATGCTTGTGCGAGTGGAGTTGTGTACGCATACACTCATGCAAGTACCAGCCAGCCACTCACGTGGACCAGTGGCCAATAGGTCGTGGCCTGGTAGTGGGCCATGACCCACAGGTTGGGGACCTCTGCTTTAATGGATTTATTTTTTAAAATAATCTGCCTACTTATCTAAATTTGTATTATATCTTAGCTGTGTCCTAAACTGTATGTGGATTCTCTTTATCTTATGACAGAGAGTTCAGTTTAGAAATGTCCATTGAAATGCCCTTCAAAATCAACAACATTAGTAGTTGGACACACCCGCTTAAAATAAAGGTAAGTAAATTGCTTAATACAACATTAACATATCAATAGCTTAAAAAACTATGAAGCTTTCTAAGTCAGGCTATGCACAATTTCATCAAAATAAATTCTTGTGTGGCACTACTGCACAGTATTTTATATTAGGCAGCCTTGCCAGAATAATTCCTTTTACTTCCAAAGTTAGACTGTGAATGTTGTTGCTAAATTATTATCATCTTTTCACAAGAAAGATATTGATAGGCTTGTGCGGCACTCTAGGGCAGAGGCTTTCAAACTTTTTCAGGCTGCAGAACCTGTTATTAAATTTCTTAGAATCAATAATCAAAAGGGTAGTGATCAGCTCTAGTGATAGAAAATTGGCTGTGTTCAAGTCAATATTTTTCTTAATTGCTCTTATTTTGTCATGGAACCCCATCAAATTAATCAACCAGGTACAGTTTGAAAAACATTGCTCTAGTGTTTGTAGAATTAAAAAAAAATGAAAATCCAAAGCCAGATAATCCTTAGGTGAGTGGAGAAGTATAAAGAGAGACTAGAAGGCAAGATTTCAAGATTGTAAAGTCCTATTTTGCAAAATTTTGTTCTCACACCACTTTTATCAGTGCCTGTGGCTAGACACATATGTCTGAAAAGATCAGGTTGCAATAATTCAGGTTTCTTACAGCACTTTTTTCTTTTTCTTTCTTGCATATTCCCTTAATTTAGAAAACTGATTGCAAAGCAATGGTTTCTACTACTGAAGGCAGTTTCTTGGACACTAGTGGCTTTTCAATGGAAATCCTGATTGGGGATGTATATTTGCCCAGAATGTGGGTCGAAAAACATCCAGATGGAAATAGCGAGGTGATTTTTAAATTTTTTAAACATATACTATGATATATAATTGTGTCTACTTTTAGGGCCAAACTAGACATTTTATTCAGTAAGTCTTTGCATTTAAAAGATTGCATGTGTTTGAAGAGTGCATGTGAGAGGATGATAATTAGTGAAGTCAAAGAGGAATGAGCCCTTTCTTTGCCGGTTGCATCCCTGATGAAAATCTGTCTTCTGAAGGCGATAGTCCTCGACTTACAACAGTTTATTTAATGACTGTTTGAAATTACAATGGCACTGCAAAAAATGACTTACAGCCATTTTTCACACTTAGGATCGTTGCAGCATCCTGATGGTCACGTGATTTATGTTTGGATGCTTAATAACTAGTTCATATTTGTGACAGTTGCAATGTCCTGGGGTCATGTGGGCATCTTTTGCAACCTTCTGACAAGCAAAGTCTGTGGGGAAGCCAGATTCACTTAACAACGGTGTTATTAATTTAATGACCACAGTGATTCACTTAAGAAATGTGGCAAGAAAAGTTGTAAAATGGGACAAAACTCTCTTAAAAATTTCTCACTTAGCAACATAAATTCTCCGTCATGGTCATAAGTTGAGAAACACCATTAGAAAAAACTGTAAGTCCAGCTTGGATATTGTGCCATCTGCAAGAAGTTCTAGGGCCCTGAAAGAATTCCTAGGCAACTGATTCACAACAATAAGTGGGATAACATTAGTTAGTAGCATTAAGCCACTTGTCCTCCATGTACTTCCTATTTCAATTACCTACAAGTAGTCCTTGATTTACGACTGTTCATTAAATGGCCATTTGGACTTATAATAGCTTCAAAAAGGCTCTTTATGGCTTGTAAAGCATTTCCAGCTATCATAAAATGGGTTCATGTGAGTGCATTACAGGTGCTTGGCAACCAGCTCACATTAATGACCAGTTGCAGCAAACCATGGTTAAATGATTGTGATTTGCAATGCCTTTTCCTGATTTCCAGCATTTTTTGCTGGTTTCTGGCAAAAAACCAACACCCATTTGGGAGAGGGGTTTACAGATTTACAACCCATGATTCACTTAACAACTGGTAAAAGCGGTCAAAAACTCAAGTTCAGTCATCTGGTGCCTCAATTTACAACCACTATGACTTACAACTGAAATTCCAGTCCAAATTGTGGTTGTAAGTTGGGGACTTCCTGAATTCAGATAGATTTTTCAGGATACTGAATTCATGACACTCCAGGTGTCTATCTCTGAACTGCTGAAAATGCCAGATTTTATGACCTGTGATGAGTCTTCTGCCTTAGCTGGCATCTGCCTGTCATTTCAGATGGATGCTTTTGGTTGATTCCCCCCACCCCCATTTCTTTCCTTTTAGGCCTGTATGCTTGTATTTCAACCAGAGTTTGAAGTTCCATTTGATCATTTAAGCATCCACGGTGAAGCTGTTATTTGCCTAGATTGCTCCAATTCCATGGCAGGTTCAACAATCCAGCAAGCCAAGGAGATTGCATTACATGCTCTAAACTCATGTCATTTGACAAGAAAAATAAGTGTATTCAAATTTGGGACAAGTAAGACCCATTATGTCATCTTTTCTATTCTTCATTTTAGTACAGGTAGTCTTTGACTTACAGCCATTCATTTAGTGGCCACTCAAAAGTTACCACAACCCTGAGAAAAGTGACTTTTTTCATGCTTATGATCATTGCAGTATCCTCATAGTCATGTGATCAAAATTCGGACACTTGGAAACTGGCATGTATTTATGATAGTTTCAGGGCCCCAGAGTCATGTGATCACCTTTTGCGGCCTTCTGACAAGCAAAGTCAATGAGGGAGCCAGATTCACTTAACAACTGTGTAGCTAACTTAACAACTGCAGTGATTCATTTAACCACTGGGGAAAAAAGGGTCATTAAATGGGGCAAAATTCACTTAACCGTCTTGCTTAAGAACAGAAATTTTGGGCTCAGTTGTGGTCATAAGTTGAAGACTATCCATATATTCTTTAGAACTCTGTCCAGTATCCATGCAGATTTTTTTGAATCCCCATTTGATCATCCTACAGTTAACCAGGACTAAACTCTATGTTATCAATGAAACTTACTTCTGAACTACCGTAAATGCCAGTGTATAAGACGACTTCCGCGAGCGCTGAAATCGGCGCCAAAGACGGGGGTCGTCTTATACGCCGAGTCGTCTTATACGCCGGAAATACTGGTAGCTTCCGGCTTATAAGACAACGTTCTAGGATTGCGGCCCGGCTATAAAGATGGGGGTCGTCTTATACGCCGGGTCGCCTAATATGGCGGCATATACGGTATATGATTATGCTCTGAATTTTGCCGCTGCAATTATTATAACTTACGTCTAATAAAGATATATCCTTTATATATCAATACATATATAACATTTTTGCCCCTCTATAGATTTTGTAGAAGTTTGTTCCAATCTTGATGATTCTCCAATGGATTTCACAGCTTTGAAAGAATTTATTACAGTAAGTGTATTATTAGAGAAGGATGCTTTGAATACCAGTTTTCTAGTATCCCTAGGCTGGGATATAGTTCCATAAAACTACAATCCTAATGTTCCAATTATCAAACCGGTCAGTCCTAGAGGAGATCAACCCTGACTGCTCTTTAGAAGGCCAGATCCTGAAGTTGAAACTCAAGTACTTTGGCCACCTAATGAGAAGGAAGGACTCACTGGAGAAGGGCCTAATGCTGGGAAAGATTGAGGGCAATAGAAGAAGGGGACCACAGAGAATGAGGTGGCTGGATGGATTCACTGAAGCAGTAGGCGTGAGCTTAAATGGACTCCAGAAGATGGTAGAGGACAGGAAGGCCTGGAGGAACGTTTTCCATGGGGTCACGATGGGTTGGACACGACTTTGCAACTAACAACAACATGGGACTTGAGGTTTGACACATCTGGGAGAGGATGGTCTTAATTTAGCTTTTATTTTTTATTTTTAGTCAGCCACAGCTACAATGGGAGAGTCAAACTTATGGAAGGTACTGCGTTATCTGAGTTTGCTTTACCCTAGTAAAAGCAAGCGCAATATTATTCTTATATCTGATGGACATATTCAGAACGAAGGCATGACCCTGCAGATTATGAAGAAAAATGCACTGCATACCAGAATATTCACATGTGGAATGGGGTAAGTGCACAATCAGTGAAAACTGACATTCAAACAAATACAGAGCATATTTGACTTGGCAAATTATACGGCAGTTTTCTCTGCCTAAATAGTTTTAAGGTGTGTGGAATTCAGCTGCCAGCCAGCATCCCCTAACCATTCTGAAAATTGAGGTCTACACATCTTAAAGTTGCTCTGGTTGAGAAACATTGCTATAGGGCAATAGAGATCTTACTGGTAGGCAAAAACACCCTTTTACCAGAAGACAAATTGGTGAAGTTATTTTAGCCCTGTCAGGTAGTCCAGACAGAAGCACAACCAGGACTACTAGCTGTATTTTTATTGTAAGGTTACATTAACAATATCTTGCAAGATTGAAAGTATTTCTCTTCCCCCTCTCCTTTTACTCCCCAGAAAACTAGGGAGGGTCCCTTTTGAAATTCTTCCTACATAATCTCTTTCTGTACGCTGAGAACTCTTTTACTTGCTAGTTGTTCAATCTGTGGCTCTTCCTCCTGTTTGCAAAATCATTCTCACATACCATTACTCCTTGCTGTTTTCTCTAACCTTCCTATCCCCACTCCTTGGATGCCCAACTTATACTAGTAAAACTTATTAGTATGTGTATTCGTATTTATTAATATTTATGTGTATATGTATTTATTAGTATTTATTTGATGTGTGGACTAAGGTAACTATAAAGGAGTCCTTGCAGATCTTACTCTGCTAGTCATGGCCAACTTTAGGGAGCAGTGCTCCTCTCCATTTCAAAGCCATTGAGCTAGTGCTGTCCAAAAGTATTTCTACAATCATGTGGCCAGTATGACATCATGCTGCAGGGTGGAGTGTGCAGAGAAACACATAGCACTGTAACTATGCCCAGAATATATTGCATATAACAGTGGTTCTCAGTCTGTGGTCCGTGGACCCCTGGACGGCTGCAATGTCACAGGCAGTTTGTGAAGGCTTGAAGAAATGTTATGATTTAAATCTTGAGTTAAGTCTTGGTGGTCTGTGGCCACAAAAGGTATTAAAAGGGGATCCCTGGTGTGAAGGTTGAGAACCACTGGCATATAACATTCATGTTTTCCTGCTCAGATTGATTCTCTGTTCCAGATTTTTATATATTGTAAATCATCTTAGTCCTACAGCAAATTGTCACATGCTGAGATCTTTATCCCACTATGGAGCTGGAGCTTTTGAATATTTTGATGTGAAGTCAAAATATAACTGGGAGAGAAAGGCAAGTATATTTTAGTATTTTTATAAGCACAGCAATCAGCTGGGGAACGGGTTTCACTATTTAATATACTTATTAGTTATTTTTCAGGATATTTCCATACTACAACATTCCCCTTCCTTAGCCCCCCCAGACCAATTTGAAGGCAGTTTACTATCATTTTTTGAGGGCAACCTGCTATCCTTTTAATGTCAGTCCTTGAAAGTCAGAGAACAGGAAGGAACATCATAAGCCAGATCTTGCTATTCTTCCAGCCAATCAGCTGGAATAGTCCCATCTAGAATAGTACAACTCTGGAATGCAACAATATATCAATCTTCTTCATGCAAAAAAATAATGAAATAAATTGTAAGTCTAATTTTATATTTCTACATTGTTAAGTATATTTGCATGGTTGTTTGAAAATAATATTGGCATTTCTTATTGTGAAGCGTACAAATGGCAAGCACCAGCTAGCAGTCAGAAGACATGATGAAAACTCCTTAATTTCACAACACATAGACAGACTTAATTTTCCCAGTTTCAGCTGGGAAACAGAGAGATGAAGCTAAATCCAAAAATACTACAGAATTCCTGGAGGTTTCAGACAGATCAGTCATCAACAGTCCCAAAGGTGCTTTTTCAGGAGGCAACTGGATTTTCTTGTTTTTCTTGATCTGGATGACTGAGAGTATAGATAGACATTCAGCCATCAACAAGTACATAGAGATAAACAACATTTACACAACATTCAAAAAAGATAATAAAAAAACGTAAACAGGAAAAAAACAAAATCAGAGCTCCTCACCAACAATCAATACTCAGATAACTAGAGATTTCACCAGACAATCAAACAGAAAACAATAATTGAGGAACTACCAAGGAGACAATCAAGTAGACAAATATTGCCCCAATTAAGGAACTATCAAGAGGAAAACCACATTCCCATTAACATTGAATAGGCAAGCTATTCTTATAATAACAAGAAGCTATACCCAGCACTGAAATGTTATATAGTCAGGTAACAAAATATCTGCAACCAACCAAACTCCAAGAGCATCAAAGAGCTCTCTGGAAAAAAATAATTTTAGCCTTTGCATTTTTTGCAATTCATTTTCTCATGTTCAAGACTTTAGACTAATTAATTTTAAAAAATGGATGTGATTAAATCACTTGATAAAATGCCCTGTAAGACAGCATTTCTTCATATTTGTACGATTTTGCTGTGTTTTTACTGCTCTGTGTAAAATGATTTAGCCAAAGCAACTAATACTAATTTTCTGTTTTCATCTCTATGCAGGTAAAAAGCCAGACAACTAGAATGTTTTCTCCACAGTGCAGTTCTATTCTCATTGAATGGCAGACTTATAGTACACAAAATCCTAAACTTAGTTGTACCCCTGCTCAGATACATGCTCTATTTAACCATGAGCGTCTTCTAGTCTATGGATTTATCCTCAATTGCACACAGGTAAAAAACTGTTCAAACAAACATGCTATTACATGATGTGTATGCCACCATTCTTAATTTAAAAAATAATAAACTAAGACGAATATTCTGGTTTTTTTTTCTTTTTCAGGCCATTTTAAAGGCACAAGTAGATAATCAAAAATTGTATACACTGGTGTCTACAACTGAACTGCAGAAGACCACAGGAACTGTGAGTTAGGCATTGATTGCTCAAACCATAAACTTGCCTCAAGCTCTTGATTTAATATTTTAAAATAGAGTACTTGGATCCCTAGCTTCTATTGATGAATATTTTTCTAGTTACAGTATAGTCATAAAAGACATTCAAAAGAGTAAACCCCACTGGATATAGACATTGCACATAAGAATAACACAATAAAAGAGTAGAAGGGACCTTGAAGGTCTTCTAGTTCAATCCCCTGCTCAGACAAATGGTTGTCCAGTCTCTTCTTAAAAACTTCCAGTGTTGGAGCATTGGCAACTTCTGGAGGCAAGTTGTTTCACTGGTTAATTGTTCTAACTGTCACTAAGTTTCTCCTTAGTTCTAGGTTGCTTCTCTCTTTGGTTAGTTTCCATCCGTTGCGTCTTGTCCTGCCTTCAGGCGCTTTGGAGAATAGCTTCCTCTTCTTCGTGGCAACTCCTTAGATATTGGAACACTGCTATCATTTCACCCCTAGTCTTTTTTTTTTTTCATTAAACTAGACATACCCAATTCCAGCAACCATAAGTTATTTTATATATCAGATGTAACACCAACTCACTGTCAATGCTGCTCTACCTATTGAAGAATTCTCCATGCCCTTTAAAAAAAAATTAGAAAAACTATATAAAGAGATTAAAATATTAAGTAAGTGTGTAAAAAACTATAAGAGTTTACATAAGTATTGAGCCTAACTGCTATGATCTCAGGTGCTTACAGAAGCCTTATGTTGGAAGGGCGAGTCTACATTCTACTACTGCCAGCCCACCAAAGAGCTCCTCAGCAGACCTGGGAAGTTTGGAGAATAAGAAAGATTATCTTGATGGAGATATGCTAGAGCTGTTACCTAGGCAACAGCATCAGCATATCTGCATCAAGATCATCTTCCTCACTCTCTACAGGAAGGAAGGTACACCAAATCTATGCTCCTCTCAGCCAAGGACAATTTAGCCATGGATTGAGGATGAAATGAAGACAATGCTATTGAGACATGACATTTACCATGTTTAGATGCAATTGGACAGTTACATGGGATCTATCAAGACCATGATGTCTATTTTTCTCCTGCTGCAGTCTTTAACTCTGAACAGGGGGTAGGAGCTTTGAAAGCTGTACATGGCCAAGACACCAGAAAAGCAGTGACAGATCCAATTGCAATAGTGATGTCGCCAGTCCAGAGGCAGACGATGGTTTGATACAGAGGCAAAAAGATGCTTTAAAATGCATTTGTCAGCACAAATTCAGCCTCATTCTGCACTTCCTTAAAGTAGCCTCATCCTTGGCAGTGGAATCATGTTTATTTAAGGAAGTGCAAACAGATGTCACTAGTGTGTTTTTGGGCATTCTGAAGTGCCTGTTGTCTTAGAATCCAAAACCCTAACTAGTTGTTGGAAACTAGCCTAGCATTGCAAAGCCCTTCCTTCTCCATTTTTCACCATAACTTGTTAAAATGTTGGTTGGTTTGTAGTTATATAATAAAATCTTTGTTCCTGAAATAGGAAGGCTATTAAGCTAACCCATATATAATGTGAAAAGATAGGATTTTAATATTAGGAATAGATATGTCCATTTATGATTAGCTGAGATGAATTACTTGTTTTCTCTGATGATATAGACATAATAATTACTTTCCAATACACTATTTACATTCGGAGGCAAACTGCTCAATGTACATTTGACAAGGCCAAACTATTTAATAATTGCTTTAATATTACTGATCGCAATGTCTTCTTTTGTACTTTGTACAGATGCTCCATAAACTTGCAGCAAGAGCCTTTATTAGAGAGTATGAACGAGGAATGCTCGATGAGAATGAAACAGAACATGAGGTGCGCACGCAAGAAAATAAAAATTGTGTAACACTATATTTATTATCCATTTTTATTATGACCGCCACCTATAAAATTGCATGATATAGATTGCATCCTGCTTTTGTTTCTGTAACCTTCTCAGAGACATTAGGTTGCTCATTTAAGAAAATAGGATGCTGGACTAGACTTTGGGCTTTTTAATATTCTTAGTTTCAGATTAAATTACTGATTTAGGACTATGATTCTCTTACGGAATTAAATTAAGTGTTCTCCTATAAGCCTGGGGTTTTTCATGTTTTTGTTTTTATTTATGTTGAGTGTTTCTTGCATTGCCACATACTTTTCATTGTCGTTATGTTCGTAAGCCATCCAGAGTTGTTTTGTTTGATGGATGACTATCTAAATTTGCTAATAAATAGAATAGGTTTGGAACAAACTACATAGTGCTGAGGCTCTTTCCCCTCACAATGGCTGTGATGATCTGAGATTGGCTCTATATTGCTATGTCCCTAAGATGCTGTGAGATTTATGGATGGATTGTACAGTGGGATAGTTGGCAGGAATTCCTATCTCATTCCTTCTTCAGAGGACCTCCTCTTCCTGTCTGCAGAGGGGTGCTGTCGTGCCTTGCCAACCTCTCTTGTGCTTCCCAGTCAGGCTGAGGGGCAGATCTTCTACATGATGACCAATTTCTTCGCTCTGGAAACATGTATGGCAAGAGGAAAAGAGAGATGCAGTTTGCTGACTGCATCTCTATTTTTCCTACTCAAGGAGTTTATTCAAAAGCAAGTTAAGGACATTCATAAGATGACAGAAGGGTGATTGTGTGCGTTGGGGGAAAAGTGCCCTTGATATCCCATTCTGTCACCATAAAACATTGCTGATAGGGTGACTAGCTGCTCCAAGAATTGCAAAGATACAATAAAGTAAGTGTCAAGTGTTATTTACTTGATTTATATCCTGCACTTTGTAGACTAGAGGAACTCAAGGTAGTGTTCATAGTTCTTCCTTCTCGTATTTTTATCAGCAGCAACTTGTGAGATAGGTAGAGCTGAGAGAAATTCATAGTCCAAGGCCACCCAAGAGTTTCCATAACGGAGAGTGGATTAGGATAGGACCTGTATCTAACCCAGTGTTTCTCAACCTTGACAATTTTAAGGCATGTGGACTTCAACTCCCAGAATTCCACAGCCAGCAACGCTGGCTGTGGAATTCTGGGAGTTGAAGTCCACATGCCTTAAAATTGTCAAGGTTGAGAAACACTGATCTAACCACTCCTATGCCACACTTTAACCACTACACCATACTGGTTCTCAGTTTATAATCTGAATTAACACATGAACTAACAGTTTTGTGCCTTTAACAGTAGCTTTTAATTGTGGAAGGATTCACACAGTGTGCTAAACAAAAACCTTATCAAACACTTGGCTGGCATGGATGTAATAATCCAGTTGTAATTTATATTTCCACTTCCTTCTTAATGTTATAACTGATAATGATAGTTTTCTTTTTGTGGACGCTCACATTTTAATAGCACATAAAGAATGTAATTCTATGTTTTATTTTGTTTTGTTTTATAGTATTGTCCTTTCATGAACAAAATATATTTGACTATAAAATAATAATGGCAATATGGTTTAAAACATGCTTGAAAATATATATTAAAAACTATAAATGAACTGTTGAAGATCTGCCACTTTAGGAACTAAACCAACTTGTATAGAAGGTACTGCCATGGCAAAAATCTGGATGAAATACTCCACTAGCTTGGCTCCCTGTCGGAGGCACCAGGTTGAAAGGATTAGCCAGTGACATCACTTTTGCCCAAGCGATGCCTGCGAGGGCTTCTTTCATGTTCCCATTAAGGAGCTGGAGTGAATGACAGGAGCTCACTGGGTCTAGAACAGCGCTTCTCAACGTTTGTGTGACGGCGACCCCGTCACATGGACGTGCCCCCATGCGCGGCGCGCATGCGCGGCGCCACCCCCTGAGGGGTGAAAGTGGCGGATCGCGTTGTTTGGTGACCCCCGTAAAATGGTCGTTCGACCCCAAATGGGACCCCGCTGGTCTAGAACACAGCTTGCTAGCCTCCAACTCAGCATCATAACAATGTGAGCCACTGCACACCTGCAAGCCCAGCTGTATATCACTGATAAAGGTGATAAGCAAAGCAGGAAGTAACAGGATGTCCTTTAGATATTTTGGAGAATAATTCCTGAAGTCCTATCAATGTTGCCCACTTGCTATGGTGGCTGGAACTTACAAGTTTTGTAGTCCAAAACATCTGGTAGATATCAGGTTGCTTGTCCCTGCATACAACTAGACTCTTTAACATTTGCCTGGGCCTTACTATTTAGATGAAAAGAGAACAGCTGAAGTCCGACATCATTGAGCTCAGCCTGAAGAACTCCATTGTGACCCAGTTTACAAGCTTTGTGGCAATTGAAAAAAGGGTATGTATGTTCATCTTCAAACAGTTCTTCTCATTTTTTCCCAAAGTAGTGCTGAATTATGAAATCTGGAAGACATCAGAACAGGTAGTCTAAATTATCTTAATTTCAATGAATATTAGTCAATGAAGATTGACTGTGCACTAGAATATTAATGAGTAGATTCATTAAAATGATTAGTGATTAATCCTTGCTTTATTGCACTTGATGTTTCAACAAGAATCAATAAAACTAGAATAGTGGTGCAATAGATGGCAGCCATGTTAACTAGTACTGCCAGAAGACAAAGCTTTGAAGAAGTGGCAAGATGCCACCTATCAGAGACACATATTGAAGAAAATGATACCTCAGATTATGAATGGGGGAGTAAAGCAAATTAAAAAGAGTAAAGGATGATAGAGAATAGTATGTATCCATGATGAATGTTAAGAAGAAGAAAAGTAAGCATTCTTCTTTTGTGGGCTTGGAAATATACAATCCAGAGAAAAGTGTAATAGATTGAAATATAAAATAACAACAACAACAATAATAATAATTTATAAAGTATAAACCCTGAGTTTAGTGATGATGAATAAAGTTCTAGTATTCCAAAGTCAATGCTAGGACATATTCGGCTCTGAACAACAATACGATGATAAATTCGTTCTGAGCAATCTGATCAACAAATGAGAAATTGTATTCTGCTTTTTTAAAAGGGAAAGCATTTTTCTGTTGAACTTCAGGAATATGTTTTGTTCCTAACTATTCATTTGCAAAGCAATAAGGAGCCATGTTTCTGAACGGGCTGCAGATTAGTTGCACTAGAGAGAGAATTATTTCAGAAATCATTATTTTATTTCAGGTTAGCTGTATACTGTACCACCTTTCATCCAAAGAAGAAACCTATAATGGTTATAGTAAACAAATTATATGATTAGCTGAGCAAAGTAAGCCCTTTATATCCAAAATTTAATGAAAGAATAATTCAATTAATAAGCAATTTAAAACAGTCTAGCACAGTATAAAACTTATAATTTCTATAAACAGTTGAGGAATAATAAAATCCAATATTGTTTTCATTTACATCTTGCACAATTATATACAGGTAGTTCTCGACTTACAACAGTTCACTTATGACTTTTCAAAGTTACCACTGCACTGAACAAAACTGACTCATGACCATTTTTCACACTTATGACCATTGCAGCATCCCAATGGTCATGTGATCAAATTTCGTACGCTTGGCAATTGATTCATATCTATGATGGTTGTAATGCCTTGGGATCATGTGATCACACCTTTTGCGACCTTCTAACAAACAAAGTCATTGGGAAGCCAGATTTACTTAATCGTGTTACTAAGTTAAAAACTGCAATGATTCACTTAACAACTGTGGGAAGAAAGGTCGTAAAATGGAGCAAAATTGACTTAACAAAGGTCAGCAACAGAAATTTTGGGCTCAGTTGTGGTCATTAAGTCGAGAACTACCTATACTCCTACCAAGAGAACAACCTTCCAGAGTTTCTCAACCAATGAGTCATTTGAAGTCTTGAAGTTCGTACATGTGGATGGAGCTCAGATTAGGGAAAGGCCTATCATCTCATCTCTGGCATCCAGAGATAGCGGGACCAGCAAAGTTAAGGAATCTGAGAGTTGTAACTTCAACAGAGCTGAAGAGTGGAATAGAGGAGCTGGTTCTAAGGGAACTATTTGTAGTTTTCAGGTTAATTCCAAGGCATATGTATAATTAACTATTATTTTTGGCTTTGGATATTTAACAATATTTATTCCTTCTCGTGTATTCTTTTTTGGTACTTCTTGGTTAGGAGGGAGATGAAGATCAAAGGGGTGATATTTTACATCACTTGGAGCCCGTAGCTAAACATGATGTCGATATTTTACCCTGTATGGAATATTTAATAGGAGAGCCTCTGGACAATGACAGTACGGTATGTATATTGTCCCCCCCCCTTAATGTAATGTGATTTAATGTGACTACTTTGGTAAAGATAAGGCACCTCCCATGTATACTGGGACTAAATGCTCAACATTTTACAAGGACTTGTGGCACTACAATTTCAACACTTGTGGAGGGCAGCCTTTTAGAGAAGAAAAGCCAAGTTTCTTTCACATTTTTTTTCCTCAGAAGATACAGAGATTGCATGAAAGTTTTTTATTTATTGGAGTTGAAACCAGACCCATCCAGAATAAGAGCAGAATAGTCATGATGTGTTCCTTTGGCTGTGTGGCAGAGGAGCGGAGACAAAATTGATTTCCCTCAGCTATACATACCTTTGTGATGTATCACTGACTAATTACCATGGGTGCTGGATGCACAGATAGGAGATGAATTCTCCAGCAATTGATGCAGAATAATATTTGAGTTGTAAAACTTCCAGTGACCCTGGTGTTAGAGAAAGTTGTATTGCTATGCTTGCATAGGGACAGATTCCTAGTAATACCATTCAGAAAGATAGTATGATGTCATAGTTCTAAATTTTCCCAGCACATTTTTGTCTCTTTTATTAGTTCTAGAGAAATAAAGGATCATAAATTTGGAAGTTGCTATTTGGGCTGAATTATACTCCTCATTATTGAAGGGATTCAAATTAAAGCATACCTGACAAACCTTTATATAGCCTGTCTTTTGAACATACCTGGAAAAGAAAGTTCATCTTCCTCAATCACTGGTTCCAGTGCCAAGCTGTTCATAGCATTAAAAAGATTCTTCTAACAGTCAGCCAGAAAAGGAAGTTTTTCAGTCTTGAAATACAGTCTATATAAATTCACTTAGAACAGTCAATATCATTTAAGCAAAAATGAAGTATTTTATCCTGGGAGATATTGAGAAGTGTTTCTCTCCCAAAATAATAAAGTATTGCAAGAGCTTCTAAACAGTACACAAGAGATTATTGTGTTAGGGATATGTTAATTTGTCATTCCACAAGTATTTAATATTGGGAAAAGAAAAATACGGAAAGTTTATATTTATGGTTGGAAGCCAACATCCTCCTTCTATTCACATAAAACACAGGTGTCAAACTTGATCGTGTCACGTGATGTATCATTTTTTTTGCCTTTGCGGAGCCAGGGTGGCCGTGGCATGCGTGTGACGCATCCAGCCAGTTTGACACCCCTGACATAAAAGAAGCCTCCTTCGTGTCTTCAGTTTTGTTTCCTGATTACCACACATATTAGGAATTGCATAAGAATAGGGATTCTTAGATCTCATCCTTGTAATCAGCATTGCAAGCAATTGTGGGCATGCCATGGTATTCCTATGTAACACTGCTGCTTCATGAGCTGCATTGGTTGCCAGACTGCTTCTGAATGAGAATCAAGGCGCTGATTATAATCTATAAAGCCCTACACAGCATTGGGTCTGGCTGTTTGATAGATTGCCTGCCTTCAGTGTCTACCCAGCAGTTTGGACCAAAAGAACGGTCATATTTCATCTCTCTTCAGTTAAACAATGTCATCTTTGGAAGCTCTGAAATTGTGCCTTTTCTGTCACAGCACCTGCCCCCTGGAATGTTGTATACCCTTATTCAGGTAGGCCTAAAAGATCCGGGTCTTCTCCCAGGCTTTGAGCTATGGTGGATGGGACACTCCCCCCGTCCCCCCCAAAAAAAGGCTATTAGGGGGGAAGCCATGTGGATTTCAGGGAGAACCTCATTCCAGAAGGCAGGTGCCACTATAGAGAAGGCACAATTCTAGGGTCCTGTTAGATGGCACTTTTTAATTGAAGGAACTCAGAACAGACTAACTCTGCCAGACTAGATTGACCCGGCAGATACTGTGGGAGACAGGCCTAATTAACCAGGTCCTATGCTCTTGTTCCACAAATACAACAACACTCCTGATTTTGATTCTGGAGAATATACATAATTGCAATAGTGTTATCTCTTACAAAGTAATTCAAACGTAAAATTACTTGGACAAAATTGTTGGTGTAAACAAAAATAATGTTAAATGTTTATTATTTATGATATTTAATCTACGTACATATACAAATAAATCAGGGGTCTCTAAACTTGGCAACTTAAAATTTATGAACTTCAGCTCCCAGAATTCCCCAGCCAGCATGGCTGCTAAGGAATTCTGGGAGTCCACAAATCTTAAAGTTGCCTACTTTGGAGACCCCTAAAATAAATGATTAAAGGTATTTGTTACATTTCTGTAAAATAGAAATTGGAGTGTCTTTTAAACTTTATGACAAACATTACAGAAAAAATGTTTGAGAAACCAGGTAATTGAATCTTTTAAGCAACTTCTCTGCTGTTCTGAACAATAATTTAGAATTTATGTTTATGAATCTAATCTAAATCTAACATATTTATTCAATAGTTGGAGCATGACTTTATATCTGAATGTGAGGTCAGTATCTAGTTAGTTTAAAAATAATAACAACAATAACAATAATAATAATAATGTTGGAAGTCCAACCCCCTGCTCAGACAGGAAACCCTATACCATTTCAGACAAATGGCTGTCCAGTTTCTTCTTAAAAACTTCCAGTGTTGGAGCATTCACAGCTTCTGGAGGCTTAATAGTTCTAACTGCCAGGAAATTTCTCCTTAGTTCTAGGTTGCTTCTCTCTTTGGTTAGTTGCCATTGGTTGCTTCTTGTCCTGCCATCAGGTGCTTTGGAGAATAACTTGCTGGCTCAGGAATTCTGGGAATTGAAGTCCCTGACCTGTACTACACCCATGCATTTGGTTTTTCTTGCCTAAATGTAGAACCTTACTTTTTTCACCATTGAATTTCATTTTGTTAGATAGCACCCAATGTTCAAGTCTGTCAACATCCTTCTGTATCTTAAGTCTATCTTCTGGAATGTTGGCTATTACTGCCAGTGTGGTGTCATCTGCAAATTTGATGAGTTCCCCATCTATCCTCTCATCCAAATCGTTGATGAAAATGTTGAAGAGCACTGGGCCCAGAACAGAGCCCTGGGGCACTCCACTACACACTTCCCTCCATGTAGATGCAGTTCCATTGAGGACCACCCGCTGAGTATGGCTGGTCAGCCAGCTACAAATCCATCTGGTGGTAATGCTGTCTAACCCACATTTTTCTATCTTATTAAGCAATAGGTTGTGGTCTACTTTATCAAATGCCTTACTGAAATCCAACTAAATTAAATCCACAGCATTTCTCTGGTCCACTAATTTTGACACTTGGTCAAAGAATGCAATAAGATTTGTCTAGCATGATTTGACAAACCCATGTTGGCTTTTGGTAATGACTTCGTTTGCCTCTAGGTGTTCGCTGATTCATTGCTTGATTATCTTTTCCAAGATCTTCCCAGGTTTTGAGGTCAGGCTGATAGGTCTGCAGTTTCCTGGATCCATTTTTGTTTTCCTTTTTTGAAGATGGGAACTACATCAACTCTTTTCCAGTCATCTGGTAGTTCCCCAGTGCTCCAGGATCTTTGAAAGATATATGGTAGTTCAGTGGTTCTGAGATCACATTTACCAGTTCCTTCAGAATCTTGGGGTGTAGTCCATCTGGTCCTGGTGATTTGAACTCATCTAGGGTGGACAGGTGCTCACTTACCATTTTCTTGCTTATCTTAACTTGTGTTTCTAATCTGTTTTTTACGGTACTGATAGGTTGGACAGTTTTTTCCCTTTGTGTAAATACGGATGCAAAAAACGAGTTGACTAGTTCTGCTTTCTCCCTGTTACTTGTCATCTTCTTGTCAATTATCATTGAATATTCCATTTTCTACCTACCTTTTGTCAAACACCAGATTGTGGTCAACCATTATCTTTAGGCAATTCTATTAAGACTATTTTTTCTATAATTTAGATTTATAAAGGTGGAGGTTATATATTTCCTGGGGTTTGAGATAGCAATTGGCTTTATAAAATAAAAATTCAGGAGACTTTTGACAAGCTGCAGCTTCATTCAGGAAAAGACTTAAATATTCAAGAGTTGGCAAAGGGCTTTTCTATGATGATGATGAAGAAGAAAAAAAACAAAACAGAACATCTAATGTTTTTTTTTAACTCTATAGATACTTGGCTTCTGCGCCATGCCTGCCAATTACTGTTATTCTGCAGATGGTACTTTAGACCCTGATTTTCAAGTGCAGGTCAGTGCTCAGATAAGGAAAAAAACCCCCACAGTGGGCCATCAGACATAACCAGCTTACATTTCAGACAAAGTGACAATCTGTTCACAAACTTGGTTTTGGTTTTCAGGAAATGTCTGTAGACTTGTGCGAGTTAAGCAGGAAAGAAATTGCTTTTGGACAACCTCGCAGACCCCCTGTTTCTAAGCAACTGCTTACCTTTCAACCAGAAGGAGAAATATTAAAACCAGTAAAAAAAGTGAAGAGATCTGCTTCTTATAAAAGAAAGACAAAAGCTTCTGAAACAAAATTAAAGGTGACTCATTATGCAGCTAATTCTTCAGAAGAGAATTCATGCCAGGTAAATTGTAATATATATTTAATATAGTTATTTCTAATATGGATGTTCTTATATGCTTTGTTTATGAGGGCTGAATGAAAAATAATGTATCCACCTCCATAACTTTAGTTTAAATGGGGATATTTTAATAAATGAAACAGGAATTCTCAAAATGAAGTCTATTGCTACTGTATTTATTTCTCCACATAATTACCACCATTTGTTGCACACATTTGTCAATGATGGACAAAGTTCTTAATGTCATCATGAAAGAATCGCATACTTTATATCCTCATCCAACTCCTGATAGTCCTTTCCATCAGTCAAACAGTTGTCCAAAAATTCCTTCAATTTTGGGGAAGAGTGTAAATCATAATGCACCAGATTTGGAGTGTATGATGGATGGGATATGATAGTAAGATCCAACTTCACAAATTGCCTTTTGGATGGCTTGTGTGGTATGAAACTTGTCACTGTTAGAATGCATCAAAATTTCCTCCTTATGCTTCCAAATTCTCCAAACAATAATTATTATTTCAAAGATTTCAGTGTGGCAGTGTAGCTCATTGAATTGATAGTGGTGCCAGATTCAAGAAAAGTTATGTGAATAACACCATTTGGATCCCCAAAAACTGCAACCATGAGTTTTCCTGCTAAAGCCTATGCTTTGAGCACTGGGTTTTCAGGCAAAATTTTGTGATGATGTTCCATGTACTGACATTTCATTTATTGATCATAAGGATAAGCCTATGATGTGTTGAGTGTTGTTATACTGTGAAAGCTTCCATATAAGCTTCCATTTCAGAAACAAAAACAACACAGCCTGTTCTCACAACCACCTTCCACCAACTGAAGTGAAAATACAGATGCTAAAGAACATATCAGGATTTCTAGTACATTAGTATTATCATCTGGGGCCTTATAACATCGAAGGCATTGCTTTTCACTCATCCATTCTAATTTTATTTCCCAAAGTGATTCATGCTTTTTTCGTAGTATATAATCAGTTGACAACAAAATAAATTTGTTTTTGACCAAAAATGAACCATGAAATCCTTACTGAAAATAGCTTTGATCTTATAATTATGATTGAGGAGTACTAATTTATAATGTCAGGCTAAACTTCTTAAGAGAACACAGAACTGTAGCTAGCAGCAATCTTTCCTCTGCCAAACCCAACAGGTTTTATTTTTGACAAGAGTGCTGCGGATTGCTCCTTTGCCTCTCTTCTCACTTGGTATGAAGAAGTTAGCAAATTATGCATATTCCTCTAACCACTTGAAGATTATTTTGCAAAATTGTTTATGTTCAATATTTTTCATTCTCTTCCTTCAAAATCTGTTGTTGCATACTTTGACTTCCCAGCTGACTATGAATTTGCAGGATAGAGTTCCCAGATCATTTAGGGTGTTGACCTTAAGTTCTGTTGACTGGCCTCAGCTCTTCAAGCTTCAAAATCAGGTACTACTGTCTTTATATTTAACGAAAAAAATAGGGCTCAGTTTTGAATAAGCATATATATGTTTACATTTGGTTCAGTTTCCAAGTGTAACCTACTTTGTCAATTTGTAATAATAAAAAAGTGGGGAGATGGGAATTTATATTTAAAATTTTTATTTGGTTGTTGTTTTTAATACTTTCTCCATGTGTATGTATGTGCATGTGAAATTCCATTTTTTTTTCTCTAGGAACTTTGAATTACTGGATTATTATTTCCCATTTTTCTTGCCTAGTGAGAAGGGGTCTCCTGTTATCATTATTACAGATTTTAAAATGATTTAAGTGGTTTGTTATTAAAGCAGAAATCACAGAAAGGAATGAATTTGGAATGTCTTCCATATTACTATGATTTAAATCAGTGGTTCTCAGCCTTTTTAATGCTGCGACCCCCCAACCGGTCGTAAGTCGAGGACTACTCAACCAGTCGTAAGTCGAGGACTACTCAACTGGCGCAGCACCATTTGCAGAATGGGACTTTTGGCGGGCTCAGCAGGGCAGAGACAGGCTGGACAATTCCTATTGGCTTTTGAAAGCCAATAGAATTAGACTCTATTCAAGAGAGTCTATTCTATTGGCTTTCAAAAGCCAATAGAATAAAAGGGAGTAGCACAGCTAAGGAAAAGGGGGAAAAAATGGTGGACTGCATTGTTTGGCGACCCCCATGAAATGGTCGTTCGACCCCAAATGGGGTCCCGACCCACAGGTTGAGAACCACTGATTTAAATAGTTTTCAGTGGCGAAAGATGCCTTGTTTTGTAGAGCATCCACTTGAATAAAGTTTCCTTATTTAGTGTAAGATTGTATGACAAAAATGAAAGGACAAAAATATTATAACTTTGTTTTATAAAACAAGTACATTTCTTTCAAATTTTGAGAATCGTATTTTATTTTTTAGGATGGATTTTGGCAACTTACATCTGAGCTTGGGATGCTTTTAGATCTTGATGTGCATCATTTAATTAATGTTTCACTTGCAAAAAATGGAATTCAATCACTTGGTAAGGACACTTTCAATCATTTTGACCATGTACTTTCCAATACATCCAGGAAAAATAGGCTATTCAGATTCTCTGAGAAGATAGGATTACTTGTTAAATTTGATATCAATTAATACTTTTCCCTAGCTATGGTGCACTGTTTGTAATGGACAGTTAACTTGCTCTGAATTGAAGCCATAATAATTAAAATGGGCTCATTGGAAAATTCCCTGATGCTGGGAAAGATTGAAGGGAAAAGAAGAACAGGATGGCAGAGGATGAGATGGTTAGTCAGCATCATTTGACGCAATGGGCGTGAGTTTGGGCGGACTTCAGGAGACAGTGGAGAACAGGCGGCCTGGCATGCTATGATCTATGGCAGGGGTAGACAACCTTGGCTCTTTTATGATTTGTGGACTTCAACTCCAGAATTCCTGAGCCAGCATAGCTGGCTCAGGAACTCTGGGAGTTAAAGTCCATGAGTCATAAAAGAGCCAAGGTTGCCTACCCCTGGTCTATGGGGTCATAGAGATTCAGACACAACTTAGCAACTGAATAACAAAAAACAATAATGCTAGGAAATGAATTTAGTTTGCTGAAAAAAACCCCACATCTATTTTTATGATAAATCTTTAGTTTTTTCCCCCCAAAAAATCTCTATTCCGGGCCAGATTAATAATTGTCAGTATTACATCTTTGCAGAGATATGGAGTAGTAACTGCATGTCAGTATATTAAGAATTATAAAAGTTATCAGAACACAAAAAATGTATTGCCATTCTTTTACTTTATATAGATTCTTGTAAATCCTGCATTAAATTGAGTCTGTGTACTTAAATTTCATGTCTTCTAAAATGATGATCAACAGACATTGAATTCTTTTTTCATAATTGGAACTTCTGGCTTATAGAGGTATTTTTCACCTCTTCTTAAAATAACATCAGCAAGATGAGAGCATGCTTGATTTGGTCTTAGCACAGAAGTGGTATTTCCATGGGATGCCATTAGCATTGAAAGATGACTATGGCAAACCGCTTCTGTATAGTTGCTAAAAAAATTGTAGGCATGTTCATGTAGTTATCCAGAGCCAATCTTGATTGGAGAGTATCTTTTCCTTTTTATATCTCCAGGAAGTGAGGGATGTATATAATCAAAATCTTTAGATATTCAACATTCAGATAAGGCTATTTTAACAAGTGTGATCAAGAATTAAATGTTTAAAATGAAAAAGGCACTAGTCCATTCTTTCATTTTTCCCCTCTAGGTCCAAAAGGAAAAGAGAGGCTGTTGCAGCTGATTGCTACCCTTCTAGTGCTCCAAGCTATATATTTCAAACAACTGGAAGGTCTTATCTTCAAATCTCTAATGAGACTGAAAGACTCTCCTCCATCATGGTATACTTGGGAACAAAAACAAAATAATATTCAGGCTGTTTTAGAAACATGACTTTTAATTAGTTATGCCATTCTGTAGTTCCTATAAGAAAAATATATCCATTCAAAAGCAATATAAAAATGAAAACTAAATTCATAACCTCCCCTAAAATTAAAAACTGATGGATTTTAAGAAATCCCTCCTTTGGCACCAAGTTCTCTGCTCCATATTTAATTTATTTAAAGAGTGGGAAGCTGGCAGCGTACAGATTAAAGGCCTAATCTGCAATGGCATTTTTCTGCCTGAGAAAATCTCACAACTTCTTTGATGACCAGTGGGCATTTTAAGAAAATCAACAGCTGGTTCCTGCAGCCTAAAGTTTTGTTTGCAAGTGTGTTTACCTTTTAAGAAAAAGACAACAATCAGCTGGAGTACTAATGGCATTCATGTGGGCCAGAAGTAGGTAGCATGAAGCAACTGTATCAGTTACCTTACTGGCAAAAGCATGCTGTGTGACTGAATATGCTCATTGTGGCAGCTAGTCTACGAACAGATACTCCTGCCTAACCCCCCCCCTCCAAAAACTAATAGCCAATATTTAAAATACATGTGTGCCTATTAGCCTGCAGAAATTAGCTATTCCTGATGTGGGCTGATAGGTAGAAAGTGGTTTTTCAGATAAACTAATCCAGGGGTAGGCAACCTTGGCTCTTTTATGACTAGTGGACTTCAACTCCCAGAATTCCTGAGCCAGCTGTGCTGGCTCAGGAATTCTGGGAGTTAAAGTCCACGAGTCATAAAAGAGCTAAGGTTGCCTAACCTTGAACTAGTCCTAAATCAGTCAATCCTTTGAATGTTTAAAGCATTGAAACTGGATCCCAAAATGTTCTGTATCCACTATATTGGGCATTTCTTCACTTTGGTTTAAATGTGAATCCTGTTTGGAGACACACAAGCATCAGAATAATTTTAATACAATCTGACATCATGCTTTTCATTACAAGTAGTCTTCGACTTACAACCATTCGTTTAGTGACTGAAGTTACAATGACACACAAAAAATGACTTATGAGCATTTTTCACATTTACGACCTTTGCAGCACCCCCACAGTCACATGATCAAAATTCAGACACTTGATAACTGGCATGTATTTATGACAGTTGCAGTGCCCCAGAGTTATATGATCCCCTTTTGCAACCTTTTGACAAGCAAAGTCAGTAGGGAAGCCTAATTAATTTAACAACCACCTTACTAACTTAAGGTCATAAAATGGGGCAAAATTCACTTAACAACTACCTTGCTTAGCAATGGACATTTAGGGCTCAGTCGTGGTCATAAGTCACCTGTATTCCAGACTGGAGTAATTGAATACATGTACAGTAGTCTGTTTTGCTGTTGCTGTTTGGAATGAATGCTCTTACATATTTTTCTTTCTTTCACCACTGTTTACAGGGCACTTAGTCCAGTAAGGAAAGCTATTGAGTGGGCAAACAGAACTAACCGTGAATTTCCAGGTATTTGCCAGCGTCTTCAGCTTGGAAAAGACTGGGATGATGCCACTAAAAAGCTCCTGGGCATTTAAATAACGAACACAACATACTTCATGGTTCTCCTTCTGTTAAAAATTGAACACTACTAAGTTTGCTCTTCTCTTAGTAATGAAAATGACTCACAGTAAAAGCACACTATCGTTGATTTCCTTATTTAAGATTATAATTATGCTGAGGTTCAACTTAGTATTTTTTTTTTTTGTTCTCTTTATATATTTCATTATGTGTGCAGGTTGTAATCAAGAATACTGTTGTTTTAACCAGTCAGGTTGGTGACTTTATAAGCACGTGCTCTACATGCTGTCCTGTCAAGCACAGCTTCTTTCAGTTGTTGGATGTTTATCTTTGTATAGTTCTTCTGTTATCAAGCCAGCGTGTTTTTTGTCTCTTTGTTCCACTAACCCAGGGATAGGCAACCTCGGCTCTTTTATGACTCATGGACTTCAACTCCCAAAATTCCTGAGTCAGCTATGGAGTTGAAGTCCATGAGTCATAAAAGAGCCAAGGTTGCCTACCCCTGCACTAATCATTCCTAGCTAGCATCATTGATTTCTCCAATGAATTAGGTTAGGGTTAGCCAAAGTAAATCAGACATTGTCTTGTGATTTTGGTTTCTAATGATGTGTCTGATTTTATATGAGCAATAAAGAATATACTTGTATAAATAATATGCATGTATTCTAGAAATACTATTGAAACAACATTATTTTTCTTCTTCCTCTCACCCTCTAAATACAGTTATTTTGTATAGTTTTGGAAATATTGTTTCCTTTGTCAAAAAAGAGTTTGAAATTTTGGTTTCTTGTAGGCACAATTGATTTAATAAAAATCAAGTGATTGATACAATTGAAAAAGAAATTATTGAAGACTTGCCCATTCTTATCTTCAATTGTATTTAAGGGAAAACTGAAGCATAGAAAAACAACAAAATACAAATGAGAAAAATATATTTTCAGTCAGAGAAAAGAAAGTGCAACTACTGTGTTTCCCTGAAAATAAAACCCAGTCTTGTCAATTTTGCCTCCAAAAGAGGCACTAAATCTTATTTTCAGGGGATGTCTTACCCACTTATCTCATGACCGCCGCAGCCAGGCCTTGACACCTATCGCACCACTGCCCGACTTCTTATGCAGCCACTTGCAGACCATGTGGCGTGTTGCGCTAGTGCCACTACTTGCGGCAGGAGGCCGTATGATGTGTTGCGCTGGTGCTGCCACTCGCAGCAGGATGTTATGTGGTGCGTTACACCATGGTGTGAGCGGCAGCACTGGCATGGCATGTCACGTGTCTTGCCGCAAGCGGCAGCACTGGCGCAATGCTCTGCAGCGTCCTGTCACGAGCGATGGCACCAGTGTGACGTGACATGCGATGTCCTGTGAGTGGCGGCATCAGTGCCATACACCATGGGGCCTCCTGCCATGAGAGGTGGCACTGGCACGCCACACCACACAGCCTCCTGCCGTGAACGGTGGCACCAGTGCAACGTGCCACATGGCATCCTGTGAGCGGCTGCAAGTGGACACAGGAGGCAGTATGACAGTTGTCAGGGTGTGGGAGGCCTGGCTGCAGCAGTCAAAAGCCAAAGTCAGGGGATAAAATTCCAAAGGTTGGGGACCTTAGCAGAAAAGGGTCATCTCTTGGATCCAGATGACATTCTTTTGTGGACGGAATCTGCAATGTGCCCTTCCTGCCAGACCTGATGAGACGGTAAATGGGATTGGGAGGGACAATCCCTCAAATAACTTGGCCCCCATGTCATGTGAATTTGGAAATCAAACATATATTTTACAAGCAATACAGTATATTATTTTAGAGGGGGTTTGGCCAATCTCCCTGATCAGAAAATGGCATTCTGCTCCAGCTTGCCGACTTCCTGCAGCTAATTTCAGCCTTTTGAAAGCATGCTTCTTCCTCATTCATGTTAGAAACGTGATTAAAACACTAACAAAATTGGATTGGTACGAAAAGAGTTTATTCTTCAGAAAATAGAAAAAGCAGTTTGCAGAGTGTGGTGGATCTCTAAGAGATACTTCAACACGAAGTTCTAAATTAGAGACCACACCCAAATGTTCAAATGCATAGCATTATATACACTCCTATCGCGATGCCCCCCCTCCCCTCCCCTTTGGTCCCATTTGAAAGGACCTCAGAGGTCACAATCTTGTCCGAGACGCCTAACCAAAATACATCACCCCTCCCCTTGATTACATCTGTTTCAAAACTTCCCCTGGCCATCCTTTTGTCTTGTTAAGATAACATCAGCCTGTCTCTAACTCACATTATAGCAGATATAAAGTGCAATAAATAATAGTAAAAGGTTATACAGAGCAATAAACAAAGGAAGCATTAAACTTGCAGATACATTCCCCCCTCCCCTCCGGGAGACATAGGATAGGAATGGGTTTAAAGAATCGTTTTATTTTTAAACTTATGTGTTGCTAACATTCAGATACGGATGGACTTCAGTACAGGTACAGGTAGTCTTCAACTTACGACCACAATTGAGCCCAAAATTTCTGTTGCTAAGTGAGACATTTGTTAAGTGAGTTTTACCCTATTTCACCACCTTTCTTGCCAGTTATTAAGTGAATCACTGCAGTGAGCAACCCAGTTGTTAAGTGAATTCCCATTGACTTTGCTTGTCAGAAGGTTGCAAAAGATGATCACATGACCTTGGGACACTGCAACCATCATAAATATGAACCAGTTGCCAAGTATCTGAATTTTGATTACATGTTCCAAGGGATGCTGCAAATGTCATAACTGAAAAATTTGTCATGTCACTTTTTTCAGTGCTGTTGTATAACTTTGGTCCCTAAACGAACCACCTGTATGGGTGGACTACCTGTACGGGCGGGAAATTCGCTTAAGCTCCGGGGAGGGGGGGGGGAAGTGCACCGTAAAACCCTCAGCTACCTAAAATTCAAGGCGTGCCGTTCTTGTGTGTTGCAGCAGAAATGCAAAAATCCAAGTTCGGTACTCGGATAGAGAATCACAGGGCATAAACTAGATTGGGATTAAAAAAAAAAAAAAAAGCTGCCTAAAGAGCACATACGCGCTCCAAGCAAAACTCCAAGGTAGCTTTTACTGAGTTATCCCGCCCCGCCTCCTTTCCCGTCGCGTTTTCTGGTTGGCTGCCTTCCGCCCTATGTACGAGCGCACGTTTCCCACGCTTGCTCTGATTGGCGGCCGTTTTGCTTACCTCACTTGGCATCGCGGGGAAGTGATTCGTAGTGAAAGCCAGCGCCGCTCTCTCAGCAACCTATCAGGGCCTTCGGCTGTCTCCACACGCGGGGAGGGGGATGTTGTTAAAGATTCGCCTCCAGCATGGCGGCGGCCGTGACCGCGGCTGAAGAGGAGGAGGAGGCGATGGCGGTGAAATCGCCGGCGGATGGCCGGGCGGAAGAAAGCCGAATGGAACCGGAGACGGCGACCGTGGCAGCGGGAGCCGGTGGAGGTGTCGACGGTGAGAGTGAAGACGAGGAGAACAACGTCTACGAGGTGGAGAAGATCTTGGATATGAAAACGGAAGATGTAAGTCCGGTGGAGGCGAGCTTTGTGAGGGCAGAACGGAGCTGACCTCGCAGGATGTTTCTCTCGCCCTTCCCGGGAGAGGCGAGGAAATTGGGACAAGACGACCCAGGACGAAGGGAGAGAAAAAGAGGGAATGCGATGAGGAAAGAAAAGGCTTTCCTGTCGTTTCCCGCCTCGGTCTTTTTCTCTCTTTCTGCAGCTAGTACGAAAGTGAAGGAAATGCGGGGCGTCTGGCAGCTGAGATCGGAACTTGGCCTTCTGTCTCTAAAGGCTTCCTCCCAAAAAAAGGGAGGAAAGTTGAAGGAAAAAAAAGAGGAAAGTTGACCAAAACATATGACGAAAGGTTGCAGGAATTGGGTATGGCTAGTCTAGAGAAAAAAAGGACTAGGGGTGACTTGATAACGGTATTCTAATATTTGAGGGGCTGCCACAAAAAAGAGAGGGTCAACTTCTTTTCCAAAGCACCTGAAGGAAGAACAAAAAGCAATGGATGGAAATTAATCAAGGAGAGAAGCAACCTGGAATTAAGGAGAAACTTCCTAACAGTGAGGACAATTAACTAGTGGAACAGTTTGCCTTCAGAAGTCGTGGGCACTCCATCAGTGGAGGTTTTTAAAAAGAGACTGGATAGCCACCCATCTGAAATGATATAGGGTTTCTTGAGCAGGGGGTTAGACTAGAAGATATGATATGAAATGATATAGAGTTTCTTGAGCAGGGGGTTAGACTAGAAGACCTCCAAGGTCCTTTCCAGCTCGATTGTGATTGATTGCAGTTTTCATGAGAAACCAAAGAATGGGGCCGGGGGCCAGTTCAGTCTGTTTGCCTTCAGAGAGAATTGTCTAACTTTTCCGAAGTTAAAGCATCTTGAACTGAAATGGACAAGTGACCTGTCTAGTTCCCTTAGCTTTAGACACTTTTGCCTAAGGTCTCAGACTGAAAGATTTGCAGAAGTTGGGCTTCCTGGATATTCCAGAGAGTTGGCATGCAGAGCTGTTCACCTGAGCTGTATTATTGTGAAGGTTTGGGAACTTGCCAAACCTTTTCTTTATCAGTACCTTTGTCAAATACAATACAGGTAATCCTCACCTTTTGACCACAATTGAGTCCAAAATTTATGTTACTGAGACAATTGTTAAGTGAATGTTGCCCCATTTTACAACTTTTCTTGCCACTTTTGTTAAGTGAATCACTGCAGTTATTAAATTTGTAATGCAGTTACTCTGGTTTTCCCATTAACTTTGCTTGTCAGAATGTCGCAAAAGAAGATCACATGACTCCAGGATACTGTAACTCTTGTAAATGTGAATTAGTTGTCAAGCATCTGAATTTTGATCATGTGACCATGGGAATGCTGCAATGGTCATAAGTGTAAAAAATGACCATAAGTCACTTTTTTCAGTGCTGTTATAACTTCAAAGAGTCACTAAATGAACTGAGATAAATCAAGGACTACATGTATAATAGAGGAAGTCCTCATCTACCAATTAACTGTATGTTCAGTGACTATAGTTATAACAGCACTGAAAAATTAGGTTCACAATGGGTTCGCAAACTTGTAGCATCTATCTGGTCATGTGATCATGATTGAGATGCTTCAGAAGTGGCATGCGCTTTCAATGGTCGCAACATTCCATGGTCACATGATTATCATTTTCAACCTTCCCTGCTGGCTTCTCACAAGCAAACTCAAGGCAAATACCAGCAGGACATCACAAGTCTGGGTCACATAGTGTCTTCCTTAATGACCTATTGTAATTTGCTTAACAACCATAGTAAAGCTGACATAAGTCCAGTGCAGTCACATGATGTTTTGCTTTATGACTGTTGCCTAGCACAGAGTGAAGACTCCTGTATCGCATTTTTTTCAGAAATTAAATTGATGTACAACTTCCCCACCCTCTAAGCTACTGTAATAATAACAAAATACTTTTTTCTGATATAAAACTTTTGAGTTGAAAATAGAACATTTCTTCACATAACTGATATTGAAAAATAATTTCAGCATGTTTAAAATTTCAAGAAGTTGCTCATATCTTTCTGGAAGTTATGATTGTTCTGGGCATGATCAAACTTTGAAACAGTTCTTTTTCTCATTCAAATCAAAACATAATCACAACTTTAATAATTTTCCGTAATAATGGAACAATACATTTAATTTGAGCCATTCTAAATTGAAATCCTTCACCCAAACTGAATCAGTCTATGGCATGGAAAGTTTTTCTGTTGTTAAATATTTTGTTTGCTATTTATTACCCATTTTCCTCTCCATTGCCAGGGTTAATTAATCCAAATATTTGTATGGACATCCATCTTAAAACACA